AGCAAGCAAAGTTTTGTTTAGGAAACCTAAGACCAGACACCAAATGAATCTGCGTATGTGTCATGCGAAAACAGCATTTTTTGTTGATTAATGGCTGTGGCGATATCTCTGCAACAGACAGAGGTAAAGCTGTTGAGACTCCCAACTGCCTGTATTAGAGCTCTAATTAGGTGATATTGTTGGTTTTAATGTTTGTCCTACTACTTAGCATTGCTAGCTAGCCTGCTCTCCGCTGCATTTTTTTAAGAATAAATGACTGTGCGCTGGTTAGCAGGCCATCTATCTGGAGCAGAAAAAAAAACTTCAACTGCACCGGCCTTTAAGACTGACATAGTTGGACACATGCTCAGGTATAAAGTGTTTTTTAAACAGCATAATAAACCTGATCGTATAGATTCCAAAATATGGTTACCCCTCACACACTGACAAAAAGTAACCAGGTTTTTCAGTTTTTAGAACAATGTGGTTAAAAAGATGCTGTTTCCTTTGCACTGCTCTTAACTGACAGGTTTAAACAGTCTCAGCAACCTGTCTTGTAGTATTTCAAGTATTTCTTTTTCCTAGTTTGACCTTTCATACCATGTTTAGTTGCCTAAAGCCCAGCTGCTGGCATGCACTGTTGATATGGCTATGTGACTGTAACACATTTGTTCAAGTGCAGCCTTTCACTATCAAGTTTCTTTCGTGGCTCTCTTGACAAAGCCAAAGTTATTTCCAGCTACTGTCCTGGTAAATTTGTATATGACCGAACTAAATTGGAGCAGCAGCAGCGAAGTAGTAAAAGCAACAGCAATGTGGAAAAATACAGTTCCCCACAAAACAAGACTTAACAGTGGTATGTGACCAAGAGGATAGAATCGCATATGAGAACTATTGATTACATACAGTACTCACTGCGCACTTTATTAGGAACACTATACTACTACTGGCTAGGGCCTCTCTTTATTCTCAAAACAGCCTCAGTTCTTCGTGGTATGGATTCCACAAGATGTTGGAAACATTCCTTTGAGATTCTGGTCCATGTTGACTTGATTGTGTCATGCAGTTGCTCCAGATTTTTCAGGTGCGCTTTCATGCTTTGAATCTCCAGTTCTACTACATACCAAAGGTGTTCTATTGGATTCAGATTTCAGATTCCGACCACTGAAGAATACTGAACTAATGGCCATGTTCGTAAAACCAGTTTAAGACAACTTTTGCTTTGCGACATGGTGCATTATCATGCTGTAAGTTGCTATTAAAAGATTGGTAACTTATGGCCATGAAGGGCTGCACGTGGTCAGCAATACTCAAATAGGCTGTGGTGTTAAAGCAATGATTGATCATTGATAACCCCAAAGTGTGCCAAGAAAACATTCCCCACACCATTACACCACCTTCACCAGCCTGGACGTCTGACACAAGACAGTTTAGGTCAGTGATTCATGCTGTTGATGCCATGTTTTGACCCTGCCATCTGTGTGCATCAGCAGAAATCATGATTCATCAGACCAAGCTATGCTTTTCCAGTCTTGAGCTGTCCAGTTTTGGTGAGCCTGTGCCCACGGTAACCTTAGCTTTCTGTTCTTGGCTGAAAGAAATGTCTTGGTTTTCTGCTGTTGTAGCCCATCTGCATTAGGGTTCAAGGTGTCATGCGTTCTGAGATGCTTTTCTGCTCACCATAATTGAACAGTGTTTACCTGATGTACTGTATGCTTTATGTCCGCTCAAACCAGTCTGGCCAGTCTTCGCTTATTCTCTCTTCAGCAAGGCAATTCTGTTGGCAGAACTTCTTCACAATGAATGTTTTTCTTTTTCTTACCATGCTGTGGTAACTCCTAGAGTTAAACTCTTCTTTCACAACTGTTGTGCATGAAAATGCATCAGAAATACTCAAACCAGCTTGCCTGGCATCAACAGTTATGCCACGGTCAATCACTGAGATCATATTTTTCCCAATTTTGATGGTTGATGTAAACATTAGCTGAAGCTGCTGGCCTGTATCTGTGCTCCTGACACACAATTGATGGATTAGATAATTGCATGAATGAGTAGGTGTACAGATGTTCCTAATAAAGTGTTCAGTGAGTGTATTTATTCATTGATTGTGACATGCAGCTGCTGTTGCTGTCGGTGAAAAACTTGACTCTGTGTTCACTCTGTGGAAATCACATGATTTTCATTTTAATTTCTTGTGAATCCTGAATTCACACAGTGTAAATGTTACTGACTTCACTCATGTAGCTATAAATATATTAATATAAAGCACAAAATACACTGCTTTTTGAGTGGAAAAATGTTTTTGCAGTTGTTGGTACTGTCCTTAGCAGTTATACCATCAACCTGTTGGAGTGACTGTGCATTTAAAGAGTCCAGTTATCTGCTGGAGCAAGTGTCTTCTTATTTCCCTTAGAGCGTAATTCACCTTTCCTCTTTTTAACTGTCTTCTGCTCTATACTTTTCTTCTGCTCTCTCTTATTCTCTCTCTTCTACTCCTCTCTGTTCCTCTCCTTTCCTCTCTCAGACAGTCTCCTTTGCTCTGTAATCCTCTCTGCATTAGAATATTAAGCTCTTCCTGTTTCCATAGAGCCCTCAAGGTGATTACCCATTTTTTCCCCCCTCCCTGTCAAATACAAAGGCACTGGAGTGGATCTCTGCTTAGCCACTTCCCTCCTGTCTTTTTTTCCTCACTGCTTTTAATATGCACTTCAAAAACAACAAATCAAGATGTATATTTTAAGACGTTTTTGCATGGACCCCTTGGGCGACGTGTGTTTTGTTGTTTATCACCCTGAGCGTTGTTGTTCCTCGATGATCACGGCTTGACTTTTGGAGAGAATTGGCTTAGATAGAGAATGTTTTGCTTCTGCCCGTTGTTCTCCGAAAGCTTAAAAAACAGTTGGCAAGAAGGGGCGAGAGAGACCCACACTACGCTAGAGAGAAAGAGAGAGAGCCTGAGAATTTTATTTTGGCCAAATCCTGCCCCCTGCCTTCACTGCAGCCCATCCAACCCCCCCCTTCCCAAACCATTCACACATTCAGGAAGCCGGCGTCTCTGCCAGAAGCCCTCTCTGTTTCCGGGAATCGGGCCCACAGGGCCGCTGTGGAGTGGGCCGGCTCTGACGTGAGAGCCATTGTTCCCTTCATTGTAGAAGGGAAGGAACAGCAACAAAAACAAAAACCACCCACGGAAGGAGCAGAGGGAGCGAGGGAGGGAGGATGAGAAGTCTGAGCTATTTCTGTATTTCTGTAGAGAGAGAAGGAGGCTCCTCCAGTTCTGGAGCTGGGCATTAGCATTCTTACACACTGATGATTAGATAGATGGCTGTTTTGGTCAGTTGATACATCGCGTGTTAACTGGTATCGTGATGACCCTATCACCAGAAGACGGCATGTAACGCATCCCACTTATGAATAGGGCTGTCGCTATTGATTGTTTGTTTTAAGAATTATCATTAACCGAGTTAACAGAGTTTGAAAAAAAATAAGAAGAATAAACAATAAAACAATTGGCTGACAATTACAAAACATTACACAAACATTTAATTGCATTAAAATGGAATTAACAGAACAATGAAAAGTAAAAAAAAAATTATGAAACAAAATTAGAAAAAGATAAACTAAGAAACTATTAAAAATACTTCACATAAAATATATAAAAGTCATTGTGAAAGAAATAATGCATATAAATCACACTAATTATCGGGTCCTGTTTCTCGGTATTATATTATAATAATATAATTAATTATTGGCATTAGCCCACAATTCCTGTATCTGTGCATCCCTATTAAGTAATATGTATGTCATTATGTAGGGGTGGAGCTTCCCAGAATTTGTTGGTTGCTGTTTTTTTGCACTTGTTTTTCATATTTTTTCATTGTTTTTGTAGAAATGAGATTGTAAAAGGGCAATCTTGTGTAAGAGAGACCAGTAAAAGAATTAAAAAATATGCCATCATCATGCAGATTTATCAATGATTCATTAATAAGGTTACTTTTAATTATTATTTTTTTTTAAATAAGATTTATTGAGTAATGAAGTAATGATGACAGCTCTACCATGATTCAAACTTAACCATGAGGTTTCTTTTTTGCACCTTCTCCTGTCATGCACACAAGCAGAAAAATGACACGGGTATATTGTGCAGTATTTTTGCAAATCTTAAACTTGGCTGTAACACTTGTTGTAAACAAATGCTTGAAAAGGTTAAAGCATTACTGCAGCTTCTTTGACTTTGACTGTGAAGTGTTCTGTGGCTATTATACTGTCATGAGGCGTGGTTTGTTGTCTGAAAACATGTTTGCACTGTATGTGCCTTTTTTAATCCTGTGCTGTGACAACAGGGGGGAGGAAAACTCTCCCCTGATAAAGCAGTAGTAATCAGGACCCATGCAGGCAGAACTGATTCTGGATTAGTAGACACTAAGGCCCAAACGATACAAGCATTTTATGACGCACCCACCCCACTCACTCACTCCCTCCCCCTCCCATCCACTCACTCATCCACCCACCCTCCCACTCGGTAACTGACCTACCAACCCAATCACTCACTCACTCACTCACCCACCCCCCTCTCACTCATCCCTCTTTCCCACTCAACACAATCCCACTCATTCACTTAGCCCACCCAACCGCTCAAAAACCCACTCACTCACTAACTCACCCACCCACCCTAGGTCAATACACGTGCTTTCCAAATAGATTGTGCCCAGCTGATGGGCATATAGAACAGGTGAGGAAGGGACAACAATGATCGACAGCGCAGAGCGGATTATGTTACGTATGTTATGTAATGCAGCAACAATACAGGTAGTGCTTCTGTCTGTAGTATCATGCATGTGCAGAGACAGTTGAAGGGAGTTAGAGGGTGAAATAATCAGGTTAGATTCTGTCTGACTTTTACCTGCTCTGTGCCATCTGCCATGTACAAAGATGATGTAACGCAGTTTTACAAACTGTGTATTTACCTTATACTGTAGAATGAATGACCCTTGTTTTTTTTTTCTTTCTTTGTCTTGCAGGTTTCCCAAAAAACCAACCAGGTGAGTCCTGAGCAACTTCCTTACACCATTCTTTGCTGTTTACGTCAGCCTGCCACTAACCCTTAGAAGTCTAGAGTTATTATTGTTTCGCTATACTGTTTAACTATTTGCTGTATTATGTAATTCTTATAACTCTTATGGAATTAATAAAGTAGTTAATGACAATAAATCAGATTTACATTTGATTTAGGTGGATGTTGAAAAGTTTATCTACACTTCTGCCTTTTTTCTATTTGTTTCAACATCATCAAATGACAGGTACATGGGAATTTTTTTACATTGCATTCAGATCATAATGTCTGCTGGGTATCAGTTCAAAGTTTAGAATTTTGATCAGATTGTTCCAAATATCTGTGAGTGAGGAATAATTAATATAAAAGTACACCTTACTTTCTATATTGCCTGTGATATCTGTGGTTTTAAGGGAAAAGAGAAGAACAGCATGCAGGCCGAACAACTAATGCCCATTCTGTGGTTGAAATGGTGATATGAACAGGTTGAGTCATGGGCTGCAGGGTGTGGGCTGCTAGACACAACACTGATGCTGGAGATATAGCAGACACAGTACAGTGCACAACAGTGACTAACTTACAGTTGCTGTCTGCTTAAGGATTAAGATGTGATGTGCATGTCCTGAAGGTCTTTAGTGTTTTTCCTGCCCTGATGGACCACATCAGCTAATTCATAAGTTCTTTACAAGGTGAATCTAGTGTTTTTGAGCAGGGAAAACACTGAAACGGTGGTGATTAAACAGAACACTGAACACTGAAACGGTGGTGATTAAACAGAACTAAGACCAGCACTAGCTAAAGTCTTTTTAACACCAGAAGCGACATGGCATGCTAGGCAAGCCTGAACTGCTCCATGATGCTTGCTATTTCACGGCATATGCGACTCAAGATGAAACAAAAAGCATTTTGTATACGTTTGTTTTTTTCTTTAGTAACAGAGAAGCACACACCACTTTTTATTCTTTATTCTGTTTACAAATTAATGACTGTTTTTGATTGGCAGATTCCTTAGACATTTTCCTCTTCAGCACAGCAGAAACTTGGTGTTTGTACTAGGGCAGTGCTGCTGCTACAGCTTAAAATACAGCTGTCCACTGATTTGATTACAGGCCAAGATTGTACGATATAGCAATATATAACACTGAATTTTGTCCCGCTTCTAGCTAGAAACCGCTTGCATGCTGAATGTGGCAAGTGGCAAAAATAGGGTCAGAGCATATTTTTCAGCTTTACTTGCGTGATGTTACCGGTGTGAAAAGCGAGAGGGATTAACATAGGAGCAAAGTGTAAGTAATGTGGTTACTGTGATTGGTGTAAAATCGGCAGGAATGCCCCATTAATTACACTTTTAGAAAAAGTGCTAAACTATCTCTGGGGTGTTACCTACAAGGGTATGTCTTAAATACCGTATTCCATTGCAGTCTGGACATCTCCTAATGCCCTATCTTGACTCCAGACTTTTTCTTTTATTTTTCTGTTTTAAAAAGTTTGGTGTGCCTTTAAAACTCATTTAAGGTACACAATTGGACCTCAAGACCATTACTGAATTTTTGAGGGTACATTTACATTGTACCTTGATGATCAAAAATTCTGACAATGAAGCATCATAAAAATTGCATGTGTAATCCTCAAACATGTCTCAGTAGACTTTGTTATATGATATCTGACACTATATCATTAATGATATTGGACAACAGAACGTTGCTTAGCTAAAACAGCTTACTTGGATCACAGACAGTATTACACTTATACGGACAGTATAGCTTTGTGCCACACAGTGTCAGAAAATGATGGACTTTCACCAGACTATTGCTTTAAAACTAATGATTTTGAAATCTCTGGAATACCATAACTGATGTAAACTCTTTTGTGTGTATGTATACAGGACAGGAAGTATTCTCAGCAAGGACCACCCACCAGACAAGAAACCCAAGAGTGACAAAGTGTCAGCACCCCCCTCACATGAGTTTGACCCCACAGGTAAGTGTGGTGCAGAAGGTACCTGATCAGACAACTGCTGTGCAGTACAGCCCTGAGCTCTTTTTCACACACGGCAGAGAAGGGAGAGAGATAAGAGAGTCTTTTTCATGCAAGCTGCTCTGTCTCTTTTTTTTCTTCTCTCTCTCTCTCTCTTTCCCATCTTCACAGACATGCACTGTTTGTCAGCATCACTTGCAAGTAGCTGATGTTATCATTCATTTTTCTCATTAATTCTTTGATGCTGTAGTGTTTAGTTAGGCGTGGCTAATGCAGCTGGAGAATGTGCTTCGGGCAGAGCTTGGTAGAAGAGCTTTTTAGAATGAAACAGTCATTCATTGGTTGCAGTTTTAGTGTAGTACTAATGTAAAATTTTTCCAAGCCTGTCAAACTAGTAGACTTTAGCAGTGCAACCTTGCAAGTGCAACACCGTTATGGTAGATAAAAGTAATATTTTGGCAAAAAATAAAAGTTTTCCAAATATGTTTAATCAGCCAAGATGGTTTTGATTTGAAGAGTTTGCACTTGAGCTATTAGGCTAATGTGGCTAACAATGCTAATTAGTAGGGTATAAGTTTTAGTTGCTTGTTAGCTTCGTTAGCTTTGTAGCCTCAGTCCATAACTTTTTTACATGTCTTGAATGATTGATTAAATTTAGTCAGGAAATTTGATGTTTTGCTGAGCTACAGTAGATACAATATAGTACCCCAGAGCAGTTCTTTCTCATAGTACACAGAACCGTATGGTAGAGTACATTTCTTTTTGTTTCAGCCCACTGTAGTGTAATCTGGCACTAGATTGTAGTTATTATTTAATCTGGATTGAGGATTGAAGACTGAATCCCATAACCTCTTTTATCATGCACTTAGTCAGCAGCCAACATTGTGCATGGCTCTGTAAGCGTGACATTTTTGCTGGAGCCTGGTTATGGGATTACCCAGAAGTCCATCTGTGTATTGCCCAAGCTTTGACACTGGATTATAATCTCTCCTTCAGAAATACACAGCTGTGCTGTAATCAGGGAAAGCCTCATCTAAACCCAGCGATTGAATGTAGTGAGATGGCTGAGTCATCTTAGACAGCATGACGTGTCAGTGTCCAGTTTCGAATCACAAGTTACTCATACCGTTTCATTCTTTCTTTCCAGATAAGAATTTTCTTACTGTAGTCCAATGCAGAAGTTAGAGACAACACTTCATTTAATTTCTAGTTAAAACAGCCATTGAACAGCCAAGTACAAGTTATAGGAAATTAAATATGACAATCCTTTTGCATAACAAAGGGGAACATCAAAGGAAAATGAGTGTTTTATTCCACTGAACCTTTTATTATTAAAAGGTTTAGAGAAAATGGGAAACCTAACAACTAACTGCAAGACCTGCTAGACAACCAAAACTGTCACCATCACATAAAGAGCATTTAAAAGTTTCATCTTTGAGAGAGGAGAAGAAGGAGAACATTTGCAAATCACTCAAAAAAGCTGCTGGTGTTCTCAGAACAATTGACTGACCACCATAGAGTCCAGACCTCAATATTACCGACTGTGTTCGGGATTACTTGGATCATAAGAAGCAGAAAATCACCAACTACTAAGACTCAACATTGAAGGTGTGGAAAATATCCCTGCAGATTTCACTAAAAACTTGTTTTTGTAGTTTTGCAAATTAAAGAAAAAATTAAAGCCCTGAACTTTGCTTTATACAGATCTTTCTAATATTGGTAGTTTCTTCCAAAAAACATGTTCCAGCAGGTTTGAGTAAACCATTGCTGTTACCCAGCAGTCAATGTTCGGGGGAATGATACAGGTGCTATAAAAAAAAGTGCTGTCAGATATAACAACATAGGTAAGATGGATTGCAGCCAATCAGCCAATCACAGTGTGGTAAAAATGAACTGTTTCATAAAAATAGAATACTTGTTCATTTATTCAGTGGCTTTGTTGTTTATTTTTGTGTTATGTTGAACATATTAGCCAGGACTACGGTTTATTTTCAAATGTTTTGAACGTTTTGCTTCTATAGTTTTTTATATATATATATATATATATATATATATATATATATATATATATTATATATATATATATATATATATATATAATTTTGCCAGTATTTGCCATAGCTAAGCTATCCCATATGTGTTTTTTTTTCTTCCATTCGTTCTGTTTACATCTTTAATTTCTCCACGTTTGTTTTTTGTATGTGTATCCTGCATGTTTTCCACTGTCAGAGCTGCCTGTGCAGAGTGTAGTGACAGAACGAAGGCCAGAGTCGTGTGGTAAGAGTTCACTGAAGGCTGCTGCCAGTGGGGTGTGTTGTGTGCTGTCTTTTATTTTGCTGTGGTGTTCCTCTCTCTCTCTCCACCCTTCTCCCTCTCCTCATCTGCCCATCCATGCCACCCTCACCCATTTTCTCAACCTCCATCAGTGGGGCCCAGTTCTCTTCCCTTACCCGGTGGAAGCCCTGAAGTGGTCCACTTGGTGACTGTCTTGAATCCGGGATCCATATGTAACAAATATCTTTGACTTCGTTTACACCTGATCATTCCATGTGACTTACATGTAGAGTACCCGGATGAGATTTCAATTAGTTGCATTTACAATTGGTGTTAACACGTCTCTGGTTAGTGAGATTGAAATTCGATTGCTGTGCAGAGCATAATGTGCAAGTCAGTTTTACATGTTCTAATCAAAAATAGGTTGCCTCAAAAATTACAGTTTGCATGCCACTATTCATTATTCATTGTTTACCAAAAAACAGCTGTTTTAGTGTAATTAGCTTCCTTTATTCCTTTATTAGTCATCACGGTCATGGGTGTTAAAACATAGTGCCTTGTAACGAAAAAAGAATAACCAAAAAGTGAAAATTAACCAAAGTGGCACTGTATTTTACAGTGTATGTATTTTACAGCTTGGGCCAGTGAAGGCTATCAAATTAAACTCAGGGGAGAAACTCATGTAAAAAGATTAACTGAAGGAGCAGCAATGCCTTGGTTTAGTGTTGGCAGTGCAGTGGGCATTGTTTTCCCATATGCAGAATAGCAGAGGAAGGTGCTATCACAGTATTGGGAGGGGTTTTGGTTGTTGAACATGGCTTGGTGAGGTGAATGCAGTTTTACTCGGATAAGCATTATCCGGATATAAACTTGACGCATGAAATGACCGGGTGTAAACAGGGTTTTTAATGACACAAGCTCAGCTTTACAGCCAGATGTCTTTACAAGAGAATATTTCACCCAAAAATGCTAAAGAAACTATCAGCTAATGAAAGCTAGTCTGCGAGAAGTCTTTGCATAATGCTAACTGACCCTCTTTTGGCTCAGTAATTCTGTCAAGTTTGCAGTGTTCGCCTTACCCCAGATGCGGTCAGTCAGCCAAGATATGTTTGGTGTCCAAAGTTTGCTTTAGTTTTGTACTGAACCTATAAGGCTATTGTAGCTAACAAGTAGTAGAAACTTACAGACACTAACTAGCATTGTGCAAACTGCATGCATAAATCATCATGCACTTTACCAAACCCTGTAAAACTTACTTATGTGGTTTCTGACATTGTATTTCACTATGTGTCTATAAAAGTAGATTCGTCCAGGTTTCAAGGTTCCTGCTACTACTGTTTTTAGCAATGATATGTACATTTGTCCATTTTAAAGATATCTGTGTGCCCTACAATGTCAGCAACCACATAAAGACGTCTATTTGATATTACATAATACGGGGCACAGTTTCAAGAGTGAAGTGTGAGATCATTTAGTTGTTTTGCATAAGGGGGAAGTTAGGTTAATTATATTTAATCTGTTTGGCAATGTCAGCATTTTGGGGAGAATTATTCTTGCAGTCACATGTTATTCTTGAGTCATGTTTTTAAAGGCTGGATTTAGATTCAGTATTGTGTGGGTGCGTACATATGACTCCTGGTGTCTGTGGTTCATTGTGCATGAGTGGAGTGGTGCCTTGCCTGGATAAACCTTACTAACCTCCCTTTGATTTCCACTGAGCAGTTGCCCTGCATTCATGTTGTTGGATGAATAAGGTGATGATTTTAGGTGTTCATCATTTGTCCTTTTTTTTTCAAAGAAAATATTGCCCAAAAATATGGACATTCCTACTGATGACAAAAGAAAGCTATTAGGAAGAGACTAGTATCATGCAATGAGCCGTGCTCCATAGGTTTTCATTAATTGTTAGCTAAATTAGCCTTTTTTTTAATATTTTAGTTTATTTGTTTAGTGATTGATTTCAGTAAAAAATCTGTTGGGATTTGATTGAACCTTGGAAAGCATGCGCTCCAAAAATAAACACTACTGAAAAGCTAACAGATTGAGGTTAGCTTGGTCGAAGTAGTTACTAAAGAATTCACTCAAATTCAAGTTCATATGTCAGTATTTAAGTCGCTTAAGTAACGTCAAAGCCTGCATAGGAAAATGTACATCGTCGTTAGTTAACGTAGCATTGGAAACATCTTAGGCAAGTGACATCATTGTCACTACAATGTCTTATTACAATGTTAGGTTTTCTACATTAGAAACTGCTATATTATGTTCACGAATATGTATATGAAAACAAAAAGTGGACTATCCTATTCTTTGTTTTTTGGCACAGGTTATGCTGTTATGTTGTGGAGATGACAACAGACCAAAAAAAGCATCAGGAGTGCCATGGAACAGTGGTGCTTTGCATAAAAGACATAGATTTAAATAGCATTAATTTAAAAATGTGCATTATCAAATAGCAAACATGGTTAAAATGCTTATCTCTAAGGGGCTATCACCCGAAAATATTGGAACGTGTAAGAAAGGCGGACACTAAATACTGAAATGTTATGTTTAGTTCTTGAAGCTTCTGCTTAGTTTTTCTGTTCAGTGTACTTTTTCAGCTTTTTTACCTGAAGCTGAAAAAATGATCACTTGAACTTTGGCCATTTTGACTGGAAATGAACCCTTGTGTGGTGTTGATGTTGTTACTTAGTGGTCTGGTGGACCCACCACGTTATTGTTTTTTTTTTTAATCAATACAGCCATAACAATTTATGTAAAAATACCACGTTTAAAATATAACAAGTGGCCAGCGTAGGGTTCTCCTTTAGCAGCTGTAGCCAATCAGCAGTCCATGTTGTCTGCCCTGACACACATGCACACATATACACACACACACACACACACACACACACACAAACACACACACACACACACACACACTAACAGCAGGCCATGTAGGAGGAGAACAGAGTGAAGGGACACAGCACCTCCACACTTCTATTCCCTGTGGGTTCAACCCAACACCACAAGTGTAATATGAATGTGTAGTGGTGTACAGTCAGGGTGTGAAGTCACTGAAAATGTGTTTTATATGTTCTTCACAGAAAATGATCAAAGGCTAAAGAATCTGAGGTTGAAATAATAAAAAAATCACATTTTTTATTTTGGTAAACATTGAAAATGGGTCCCACAGACCTCAACACTGTACATTTGGGATCAGGAGGAAAACTGTAGTGTGGTTGTGTTGTCATGTTTTATGAGTCAGCTGTTGTTGGGGGTTGAGTGGACAGTGTTAATGGGTTGGTGGGTGGGTATTTTTAAGTGCTGGTCTGGAGAAAAAGACATTTCCAAAGCTTTGTCCTGTGCAGACAGCGGAAGATGCAACTGTGATTTAGGTCAGGTCAAGTGTCTGTGAACAAACACACATGCACACTTACACTCAGTCTGTTGCATTATATAGTCACAGCAATGTGTGGTCGCCATGGCTGATGCTCTGTTGTATGTAGTCACTGCACATGGATGCTTCATAAATTACAAATTCATGAAAACACATTGCAGTCTGATGCAGGCAATTGTGTTTGCTGAGGCTTTATATTGCTGTGTAAATTTATTCCTACGGCAGATTAAAATGAGCAGCTGTGTAATGAAAGTGCATACTGCCATTCACAGAATGACGAGATGGAGAGAAGATCACTCTCAGACAGACGTTATTAATGTTTTAGTAGTCTCAAGACACGCAACTGTTGACTCTCAAACAGAAGCGGTCAGCGGGTTCAGTCTATTGCAGTGCTTTCATGTACAAAATAGGGCTTGTTAACCAGTGTTATAATACTGATTATTTTTGGACCATTTTAGAACCATCCAGGTCCTTGAGAAATAAGTGCTTGTTTTTTAGAATAAGAGCATTATTGTTTTTGCCTTTTCATTGCCTGTTGTGTCAGAAAGTAATATTCATACTGTTGCACCATGTTTGAACAACTTTGACTCATTAACTGAGCAATTGCAAATAGCAAATCAGGGCTGTACGGCTTGAGGCGGGGGCCCCTATTTAACCCCCTTATTTATTTTAATTACTACAACTATGCTCCCAAGTGGCGCAGTTGTCTAAGTGCTGGCCCTGTCACCGGGAGATCATGAGTTTGATCCCCAGTGATGCCATAGCCTTTCGGGGCTTCACTTTCTCTGTTTGGGTAGGATGGACCACCTTCTTTCCCCATCATGCTAGTGTGGTGACATAACAAAATTGGCAGTTAGATTCTCCTTCAAGCACATTGGTGGACAAATGTCCAGTGATATTTGTTAGCAGCAGTTTGAAAACAGAGCTTCACATGTCTTGAAGGACGCATGTGCGAGCCTTCACTCTCCCAGCTTGGTAGCGTCGTGATAGAACTTGCCAGCGGGTGGAATTCGCAATGAATAAACTGGGAAGAGAATTGTATTAAAAAAAGCCTCCAGATGAACCTCTCTGGCATTGCATACTAGGCTTGTAGAATGACTTTATTACATTTATGTGTTCTGTTAATTTATATTATTGAAAATAATGATTCTTAACTTCTGAATGGGTGTGTGTTTTGTGTGTTTATTGGCCTGTCACAGATTTCTCTTGTATTTCTGTTTGTGTATGTGTTTTGGATGACATCCGTCTGTCTGGGGCATGCTTGGGAACACAGTCTGTGACGGGAAGGTTGTATGCTGGTTCACTCTGTATGCTGGAGAACACTCCTGACTGAATTTCTCAACTGTCTCCATTTTACCACTGAAATGTTGCAGGCTAATAAAATTCTACACGTGAATGCTTCCTAAGGGACACTTGTTAATATGTGTGTGTGTGTGTCTCTCTCTCTCTCTCTCTCTCTCTCTCTCACTCTCAGGGCTAGTTCAGCGGTGTGTTATCATCCAGAAAGATGAGAATGGCTTCGGGCTAACAGTGAGCGGAGATAACCCTGTATTTGTGCAGCTTGTCAAAGAAGGTAAGAAGCAAAGCCCAGCTGTGATTTTTCATTAGTCTGTGTGATCATTTAGCACACACAATTGCTCACTGGCCAGTTTCTTGGGAACACTTACCTTGTATATACACTTATTGTCTGTTTTGCAAGTTTTACCGAGCATATTGGTGTACTTCGTAGTTCTACAGTTACAGATTGTAGCCCACCTGTTTCTTAGCATAACGTTGGCCCCTCTTTACCCTGTTCATCAATTGTTAGGAGCACCAGAGGACCACCACTCAGCAGATATTATTTGGATGGTGGATCATTCTCATGGTAGTGGCATATACCTAGCATAACTGTATACAGGTGTGCAGTTACAGACTGTAGCCCATTTGTTACCATACATAGCCATCCCATTGTCTGCCTCCCTCCACCCCTTTCATCAGCAGTTACTTCTACCTTTTATTTGGCCTGTTAGCACTGAAGGGAGTTTTTAAACATTATGTCCACTTTCTGTCCACTTTCTGTACTCTCTGACGGACAATTCTCAATCCAGCAGCGACACAGATTTGTTGATCTGATTTGTAGAGCTACGAAGTGCACCTTTATGTTCTGATAAAATGGACGATGATGAAATGTAGATGCAAGGTAGATGTAACTAATAAAGTAAGTGCATATACATAAACATAGATACACATGGCAGCTGGAACTAAATATGCTACATAAGTATTGGTGGTGTCAAAGTGAATGCTTTTTTATAAATGTTTTTAATGCATTATTCTTGTTTGCCCTTTAACCATCCATAATCCAACTCTGAAGGTCCCCTCAAGTGTATTGCTATGTCTCCATGACTGTCCTGTCATTCAAATACAGCTTTTAAATGGCAAGTTACTTTAATGGATGGACTTGGAGTATGTTGAGTGTGAAGCATCATTTACAAGAAAAACACTATGTCGATGCAGTGATATCAGAAATTTGGCAGACCATGCTTGACAGTGCTCGCAGGAGAACTATGGAAAATCAACAAGCAGCAAACTAACAAATGCAGCAGCAACGTGGAAAACTCTGGTTCTCCTCAAAACAGGATGTAATGTAGCAGTATGAGTGAGCAGGAGCTATTGACTGTATATATGTGCTGCTGTTCACTTAAAAGATTTTCACATTTTCAGATTTTACATTTTCTGTGGGGCTACATTAGTAACATTTTTCTCTCTATGTTGACAGATGGAGCTGCTATGCGAGCAGGTGTTCAGACGGGTGATAGAATTATTAAGGTAAGATTTTTTTTTGGTGCAACGCTTGTAGGCTGTTGTATGATAAATCTAAGTGTATGATTTGTTGCAGACAGTTATAATGAGATTATTACATAAACATGTTTTACAGGCACAAGTTTCAAGTTTTTATGTTTTCTATAAGTGTGTAGAAGACAAACCTGGACAGACAGACTCACCTGATGTCTGTTGCTTCTACTGACTGACTGCTACACTCTGCACCCTTCTGGCAGATTGTAGAAATACAGCTGTATTACTGTGTGTCCAAGATTGATTTAAACAGACTACACTGTGTACACCCTGCACTTGCAACAGAATTTTTTTTGCTGATGGCTTTTTTTTTATATACTATATGTCTTGGTAGTAATATACAGTAGATGAACGACATGCAGCTTTTAGACTTTCCTTAACAACATTTCTGTCAGCTAAGTTTGGGCAGTTTTCCCAGTTTTAGTCCTAGTCTAAAAAGGCATCATGTTTAAAATAGACCTTTTTTCTGTTACAGGTCAACGGGACATTAGTAACACATTCAAATCATGTAGAAGTTGTGAAGTTAATAAAATGTGAGTACAACGTTCACCACGAACTACTATTAACAGGAATCTGTCCGTACTATTGTGTTGTGTTGTATTGTCCATGAGAGGAGAATCTTGTGCAAACTGCATTGTCATTTAGTTATCTCAAATAGACTAGCTTGTGTGGTTTCTGTCACTGTTATTTGTTAAAATGGACAAAAGTCAGGACAAAATTTAGACTAGGAGACTGCTTTTTTTAGTTATGCCACATACTTTTGTCATTTTTTTATTCATTTACATTATTGTGCAGAGGTTTTAGGCACCTAGGCAAAATGTTGAAACCATTTATCTTTGGAGTGAGGTTGTTTTTGCTTGTAAAAACATGTTATAGCACCACAGTAAATATAAATAAACATAAACACAGTAAAAAATAAGAATTTCCTGTTTTTCTTGAGCTTGTTAGAAGAGCGCATGCAAGATTCCATGCACCCGGTCTGGATGTAGGCATTGTATTATTGTTAATTTTATAGACTTGTTTGTTTGTTTGCTTGTTTGTTTAACTATTTATTTATTTATTTATATTTATTCTAAAAATGAATACGAAGAACTCACTGGTCTCACTGCCTAAATAAAAACCTTTTAAATCTAATACTTGTATTAATTAAAGTTCATACTTTTAATGTAAAGGGAAAGTTGTGCAAAATTAGAAGTGTTATGTTTGTTTTCTAAATAATGATTCTGCAGAGATGTATCAGACAGTTGTGCTGCATTCCCTCACTGCAATTGTGTGTGTGCGTGTGTGTGTGTGTGTGTGTGTGTATTTGCACAGCGGGCTCGTATGTGGCTCTGACAGTGTTGGGTCGCCCCCCGGGGATGCCACAGATCCCCCTGTCGGAGGGCGAGGGTGAAGGCGGTCTCCTGTCGGCTCTGAGCTCCCCTCACTCTCCCGGACCCACCGCTGCAGAACGCTCCTCATCATCCTCCACCACCAGCCCCTCCGACCGCATCACATCACCACTGCCTGTATGAGGGAACACACATACATGCACACACTGTGTCTCACACACTCTGTTTCTCTCTCATTTTATTTCCGCAGTGCTTCATTGCCATGAATGTTACACAATACAAGCCAAAGCAGTTACGTTAAACAGTAAACGTGTGAAAATATTATATATAAAATGACAGAAATAATTTCTCTCTATCTTTTTGACACTTCTGTCATTTCCTCTTTCACTCATTTACCCCACTTTATCATATACATTCCTTTAATGCTCTTTTTACAATATAACATGTAATGTCATCTTCTATATGTGCCCATCCTCCACATCTGTCCATCTATAGCTGTGTTTTACTAATCTGTGTTCCTCTTTTTGGTCTGTCAGGATGAGAACAGTCCACTTCATAATCAGAAAGTGGATATTTTACAGAAGATGCTGACCAAGGAGCAGCATGAATTACAGGTTAGTGTCATATGGTGCTGACCCAAGTAATCAAACCTAACCAGCTCTCAAGACCAAGTGTAAACTCATTGTTCTGACTCCCTGTTTCAGCACCATGTTTAGACTCCTTGTTCAGACCCTAGGTTCTGGCTATCTGTTCCGACTCCCCGCTCTGACTCCGTGAGAGTCCCATTAGAGTCCCTGCTTTGACTCTTTGTTCCGACTCTACGTTTTGACTTCACTCTGTGCTTGGAGTCCCCATTTTGACTCCATGTTCTGACCCAAAGTGGAGTGATTTGCAGCAATTTGTTTTGGAATCTCAAATTCCAGTACGAATTGATTCAGTATTTTTGATACAGTTCACAATCTTTTTTATAAATACACCGAATAAATAAATGTGTATTTTTACTTTTCATAATTGTCAAAGAATTTGTTTTGGCCAAAAAATGAGTGAGGCTTGAGGATTGAATACTGTTGTAATCACTTACAATCGATTCTGACGTTCCAACATCTGTGTAGTTGATTCATCATCTTCACCCTCATTTTAAATCCCACTACAGCCCTCTGTAGCTTAATGGTGCGAATGACTAGACATATATTGTAATGGTGGGAAAGTACTAGCCAGTTAAGGAGAAACTGAGGCTGTTTTCCCCCTCTGACTCACTTTGTGGTTTGGTTGAGTTTGTTTCACTGTAAGACTTATATACACACACACACGTTAACACATAATCTATGTGGTGTGATCTTTGCATATTCTCACATCCCCTTTACATTCGCTTTTTGTGAGAACAGCTAGACACACTCGCACAGAGTCCCTCAGTCGCTCAGAGATTAACTGATCTCCTAACTTCATCTGCTTCTGTCTGTGTGAATGGTAGGCTATGAAAGAGGAGTACAGCAGGAACCCTACGCCTAAACTACTGAAGGAAATCCAGGAAGCAAAGAAGCACATTCCATTACTCCAAGACCAACTCAGCAAGGCCACTGGGTCTGGACAGGTATGTGCACATTAGGGCTTTCAGACCATTAAATTAAATAATCACAATTTGCCACATTATTTTTTTTAATTAATTACAATTAACTACAATTACTTAAATTTGACCCAGAAGATTTTTTTTTCTTCAATTTTAACCACCGACATCCATTAAGAGTAACAGTGGCTGTATGTTTCAGTTTCTCTGCGATTGTAGCTTCTAGCGGTCATACTGCTACATTTTGTTTTGTTTTGAGAGGATCTGGAGCGTTCCACTTTGCTGCTGCTTTTAATAGTTTGCTGCTCTTTAATTTATCATACTTCTCAGGAACAAATCAGACATTTAGTTAAATGAATGGATAAAATAACAATAAGTACAATGGGCCAAAATCAGCTACTTGTAGTTGTTGTTGATTACGCTCTCTCTGTAATTACAGTTGTTGATTAAAGTCTCTCTAAACTTGAATAAATACGTCATGAATAAATTGTCACAAAAGCTTTATCACCATTAACCATCTTGCTTTAGAAACTTTCTAAATTTTGTGACATGTTAATGTAATTTCTGATTATTGTTTTGTGTGTCTGTATTTCTACAGGATGGCTCCCTTTCTCCAAGGCCTGGTGATGAAGTGGAGGAGGGGGGAGGGTTAGGAGATGTGGATTCTCCTTTGCCCTGGCAAACTGACTCAACCACAGAAACAGCCTGGAGCAACAATACAGCAACACCAGTTAGTGCCCGCCTCCTACAACACTACTTATATACACCGATCAGGCATAACATTATGACGAGGTGGTGGTGTGTTAGTGTGTGATGTGCTGGTCTGAGTGGATCAGACACAGCAGTGCTGCTGGAGTTTTAAAACCCTGTGTCCGCTCACTGTCCACTCTATCAGACACTCCTACCTTGTCAGTCCACCTTGTAGATGGAAAGTCAGAGACGATAGCTCATCTGCTGCTGCACAGTTTGTGTTGGTCGTCCTCTAGTCCTTCATCATTGGTCACAGGACGCTGTTGGCTGGATATTTTTGGTTGGTGGACTATTCTCAGTCCAGCAGTGACACTGAGGTGTTTAAACACTCCAGCAGCACTGCTGCGTCTGATCCACTCAGACCAGCGCAACACACACTAACACACCACCACCATGTCAGTGTTACTGCAGTGCTAAGAATGATCCACCACCCAAACAGTACCTGCTCTGTGAGGGTCCATGGGGTTCCTGACCACTGATGAACAGCGTAAAAGGGGGTAACAAAGTATGCAGAGAAACAGATGGACTACAGTCTGTAATTGTAGAACTACAAAGTGCACCTATATAGTAAGTGGAGCTGATTAAATGAACAATGAGCATAGAAACAAGGAGATGGTCATAATGTTATGCCTGATCGGTGTGTATCATAATGTATATAGGCTTAATACATCAGTCTTTGTTTTCTTGTTTAGCTGTTGTAGTTTAGAAAGATCCTTTCTGTATTAGTAATTTTACAGGCTAGTAATTAGTTGGCGTGTGAAGAAATTTGTTGTAATACTTTTTCTGTGCTTTAAAGCAGTTCTTTACACAGTTTTTCCCACTAACCCAAAATATCATCGATCAGCCAAGACCTGTTTGATGTCAGAAATTTGCTTTATTTGCACTTGAGCTACGAGGCTAATGATGAGTAATGGAAGTATATACCCCACCAATTAGCACTGTGCACACTGCACGCCTAAATCTTCACATACGTGCCTCAAACTGTCTTAAACAGTCTCAAATAATATTACTTATGTGGTTTCTGAAACTATAGGACAGACTGTTACATATAAAGAATGGACAAAAAGACTGACAAGCTTCATGCTACAAGGTGGCTAATTCTGCTGTCTTAACTATGTGTACTAATGTAATAATGTACTAAAAAGACAAACTTTGGACATCAAACATGTCTTTGTGGATCAACTTCCAGGGAAATGTGAAAAATTTTGGCTTTGTGACAATATCATGAGCAAGTTTGCATTGTATTTATCATGTTGTTGCGGTTGCACACCCCCAGGTCACCCTGAATCCTGTCCCAGAAAGCCCGTACCAAAGAGAGACTCCATGCCACAGCCCAAAGACTCCCAGAGACAGCCTCAATTCCTGCCCTTCTCCTGATGCTGATGACACACCCGACCTGGTGAGTGCTAGAATACCGCATTGCAGTAATATGGCTTTCAACCAGTTTTGTGCAGGGCCTCGAAAGTTTTCATGCTATGACCCATAGTTAGTGTATATTCCGAGACCCACCAAATATTTTAACATTTTATCAAAGTGAAATACGACATAACTTCATTGAAGACAATAACATTCTTAAGTCCTCAAGTTTTTACTCCTCTTTTAGTCTGTATTGTTGTTTTTTCAGTCAGCAAGCGCAACAGTGCAACCATGATAAAAGATTAAACATGCGTAGGCCCGCACTGTTACACACTGTTAACTGTGCTTGCAGCGTGTACAAGATATAAAAGGCCTCACTTTTAAGAGGAAATCACCACAAGAAGGCGGCTTTCCAGGCTTTAAAATCCTGTGGTAGTTTGCAAAGAGCAGCCTGGTTGATTAAATTCAAATCAGTGCAGAATCAAAGCAGTTAAAATAAGCAGGAGTTGAGTGAAGTTCAATTTTATTGTGATTACTGAAGTGTGGGTAGACCTGACAGCTTATAGGTTATATTTAGCATCTCTATTTTCCTGCAACACAGTAGGTAGAGTACAAATGTACAAATTACATATGTATTTTATACAGTGAGGCTATTGGTTCTCTGGCCCAGGTTTAAATGGGAATTTTGTGGTCCATGTATTAGAGGGATAATTTGCAAATTGTGGCCCTCTGTGCAACCAGTAAAGCCAGTATACACTTCATCTAGACGTTGCTTCCTGATCTGTAGTTTTATGGTGGTGTTAACGAGTGGACCATTGCTTCAACAGGACTCCAACTCCCAGAGCAGCATAGGTAGCCCCTCCTCTCGCCTGCCGGCGCAGATCATTGGTGCGGAGGATGATGACTTTGACACTGAGCAGGAGCAGGTAATGGGGCTTCATTACCATCTTCTTTTGGCATCATGCTGTCTTATGTAGATTCTTTGTAAAAATTTGTTTGGCATTTCCCTAAAATGTGTTCTCTTGTCCCATTTGCATCTTACCAAATGACTGATTCAGCAAAAACATACTTTTTTGACAGCGGCAGAGAAAATTAAAAATATGGTTCTGACTCTGCCTTTCATGCTATTTTCATATTGGTTTTTTTTCTCTCTCTCTTTAACTCTCTCAGATGAATGGCCAGTGTAGCTGTTTTCAAACCATAGAGCTGTTGAAGTCTCGGCCCGCTCACCTCGCAGCCTTCCTGCATCACGTGGTCTCTCAGTTTGACCCTGCACCTCTGGTATGAGTCACCAACCCTCTAACCAGCTTCCACTTAGACGCTTAACCCTCTCCTTTCACTTTTTGTTGGGAAGAAATTTTCATTTGCCAGATGGCAGGCCATCGATATTGACTGTTTGTGTAACTTTATCTGCATTAATCTAGAATCTACATCTATTACATCTGCTTTATGCTAGTGTGAGTCAGTCGACACATTTAATTGTTGTTCTGCTGTGTCTCAGCATTATTAAGATTGCTTGCTGGGATTCTGTGATTCAAGTGGAACCAATTAATTGCAAAGGCAGATGTCAGGCTTGATGGCAAGACTTGAGTAAACCTACTAGGGATGGGTATTTAGTATATAATTTAAATAGTTATTTTTATGAAAAAAAGTTTATATTAAGTAAAAGTAAAAATACAGGAGGTTTACCTTTTATTGTGTGCAACTGACAGTAATCTGTACCTGATCATTCCGTTGGTTTTGGGATTTGTCTTTAAAAACATAATTGAGATTTTTTATTAGTTAACCCACAGAACATTAACTCATGAAACACTATATGAATGTCATATTTTTGTTAGATATATTTTAATGTAAAGCTCTGCTTAAATGTGGTTATTTCACTTAGGTTGAGGAGCAGTATCAGCTGTTTGTTTTCAAATGTTCTCAGCAGTGGTACAGCACACAAGTCTAAAACATTATTTAAAATTTAGCAGATCATACATGATTCTTTTCTTTATTTTTTATTTATTTATAATCAAAGTCTGATAGATTTCCTCCTATATGCTTAAAATTTGCTAGAATACATTTTATAGTATTTGTCACAGTTTTCACCTGTGTTTTTTGCAAGATTAGAATCAAGAATAATGCTGAAATATTTATCAGACACTACCTGAAGACTTAAACTACACCTGCTTTATTTGAATACCATCATAAAATGAGTTTCTATATTTATCTATCTATCTATCTATATATGTATATATATATATATATATATATATATATTTGAACAACTATGCTGATGGATGTAATCCATTCTGTATTGACTGTTCTTCTCCCTTTGCTGCAGCTTTGCTACCTCTATGTCGAGCTCTACAAGCAGAGCAACTCCAAAGAGACACGGCGACTGTTCATAGACCTCCACACCTTCTTCATGGACAGAACAGCGGTGAGATAGACACACATACACTGCCCATCAAAGGTTTGGTGACACGTAGCTTTTTCAGGATATTATTAATACAAATAAGCATGCTTTCTTTGTTGTTTTGCAATAACTCAACATTACAGGCTAATCAGTCTTATTTTGAGGTAAAACAACGTCAGGTAAATATTTGTGACAGTAAACAAACCTTTCAGGTGTTTAAACCATCTTTGGAGCAAAAGAGTTACAACCTGTGATTTTAATAACAATTTGGATGTGTCAGACACAGTAGACCAGCAAATATCAGCAAGATAAAATTAAAATTTGTTTTTACGTGACATCTATAGTACGTTTTAGATCAGTCTTTGCATAAAAACTTACAATATACAGGCTTTTCTCCTCTTAAACTTGTAAAACTAACCCTGCCATGTTGAGGCTGTGCTTTAGCCTAGCTTGAACTCACTATAAGTAGGTTATATGTTTAAAACAGTGCTCTATTGCAGTCAGTACTTACTGTATAAAGTGCATAATATAGAGGTGAATTCTGTGACTCACAACTCAGTAATCAGGAAACATAAAAAAAAATTACGTTTATAGTACAAAAATAGTCTTAAGGGCGAATTGTTAAAATTCGCAGATGATGTTGCTATGAGAATACAGGACACTGACCAAAAGCATGTTCTACATGAATCTGTTTACTACATAAAATATCCATGTTAGCCCATTTTAGTTTGTGCTCTGCTCTCTCATATTACCAAAGTATTAGTAAATAGCTGTTATTGCTGATATTTTCTATTGCTCAATTGGACAGTGACAATGAAAGAAGGCACATATTGACAATGTACATACGGACACAAACGCCCACACACACACACACACACACGCACACACACACACACACACACACACGCACACAGATTTAGAACGATCTGTCATGGCTAAAACCACCTCTTGTTTTGTTTTCACACAGCACCTGAAAGTAGCAGTGCCAGACTCTATCTCAGCTGATCTGGGTAATCTCACGCTGTTTTATTTTGCTTCATGGACATGTTGTGTCATTCCTGATAAGTTGCTTGAGATAATGTAAACCAGCATGGAGAAAAAAAGATCAAAAGTTTTGGTTGAACTAGTGTGAATCATTTGTCTGTGGTGCATACTGTGTCTTTTGTGGGAGTAAAACTTATAATTGTGTGTTAGTCTTTTTGCCACTCAGTGTGCTTCTTATGCGTAATCTTTGATCAACATTTAAAAATTAGTCTAGTGGCTTTTTCAATGTTGTATGTGTTATGAATCATCACAAAGGAGTGTGTGTGTGTGTGTGTGTGTGTGTGTGTGTGTGTGCACGTGTGCGCGTGTGTGTGCGCGCATGCCTGTATGTGTGTGCGCATGCATGTGTAGATCGGAGGAGGCCTGAACTGATCCCAGAAGAGATTCAAAAACAGTATGTGCAGCAGTTACAGGAGACACTTCTTCTTGACATTCAGAAACACCTGGAGGACTTCAGGTAATACAAACACCTCCTTTTTATACTTTCTCAGGATATGAGATCAGTCATACAGGCTTATGCACCTGTTTGAATACCCTTTGGTCTTTTGATCATCCATTGAACTTGTAGTTCATTTGAGGATGCCAGTTTTGCCTAGAGCTGCTGTTTTGAGGTATATTGATGCCGACCCCCTACAGATCTTTTTAGTGGCCATTTTAACACCCTCAAGGACCCTAAAGGGACCTACCGTCTCACTTCCAACACTTTCCTACGTCACAGTCTTGTTGGAACTGGGTGGCCATTCACCAACCATTCAGAACTCCATCCATCTGGACCATCCAGTGTAGCACGACATTCATCAGTGAATGAAACTGTTTGAAAATTAGTCTTCATGTATTTCTGAGCCCACTGCAAAGTTTCTCTTTGTGAGCTTTGCTGGTGGCTGGAATACAGTTTTATGTGCAACTGCCAGCCTGTGGAGGATTCTGCATTGAGAGGTTGTTGAGATTTCACAGGTACCAGCAGCTTCAAGTACCTGTTTGCTGTTCAAAAGTGGTGTTTTTATAGCTGACCCTTTTAATATCATTAATTTGTCTGACAAACATTCCTTAATACGCGCTTATCTGGCCGTATTCGCCTGTGCTCTGAATCGCTCACATATCTTTTAACAGTTCGATGATTTCTTTTCAGTTTTCATGAAAAATCAGTTGTCTTCATGTCAAAAACTAAAACCTAAATTCTCATTTTACTGAAATACTACTGATATATCACTTGCGTAATAATTTGGAACTCCGTGTAGAGGATCTGTTATTTTCACTTAGTAAATCAACAAAGCATGTCATTTGACCAGGGGCGGCCAAACTTTTGCTTACGACTCCATGTGTAAATAAGTAAGTCTCTGCAATGATATGTGTCCCATGTGTATTATGTATTTATTAAGTGCCTATATGTAACACTTGTGTTCCTCCAGGCAAAAGCGCAGTATGGGCCTGACCCTGGCCGAAGCAGAGCTGACCCGGCTGGACACTGAGAGAGTACGCGACCGCGTGGCTCTGGAGAGAGAACGATCGTGCGCGGAGCAAATCATCTTAAAGATTGAGGAAGTCCTGTGAGTATACACATAAAAAATAGACACACTTGTGCACAAAAGTATTCCTTGTTTTTAAAGCGATGGTTTGACAGAAAATCTTATTTACACTGTTTTTCCACTTATCCGCAGATGTAGTTGCTCAAACAAGATACATTTTATGTCTGAAGTTTGCTTCTTTAGATTTGCACTGGATCTGCAAGGCTAATGTAGCTAGTAATGAAAGCTTATACCTTACTAATTAGCATCTATGAATTGCATATCTAAATCATGGCAGTTAAGTTGTTAAGTAATCTCAACTAGCCTTGAATATGTGGCTTCTGACACTCTTCTGACACCCCAGGCAAAATTCAGACTTCAAGATGACTACTGCAGCTCTTTTTAGATATGTGACCTACTTTTGTCCATTTTTAGATGACAGTATATCATACATTGTCAAACACTATATAAGCAAATCTAAATCTGTGCTTGATGTTAATTGGTTTACAGCAGTGTGTGTGACAGTTTAGCCATGTAGTTTAGCATGTAGCTAATTAGTGTACATAAGTTTACATTACTTCTTAGGTATGTTAGCCTTGTAGCTACAGTTTAAAACTAAAGAACTAAACTTTTGGATAAAGATGCCTTGTGTGATCAACTACTAGTGGTATAATCATTCATTTTTTCAGTGAATTGTTTATAATTCCTTCCGATGCAAGTGCACAAATTGAACACATCATGATTTATTAACAAAACAAACTGGTTTAAATGATTATGCATGATAGCAAATACAAGTAAATACATTCTTTTCAGCCTCACAGTGTGCTAGTGGCTCAGACAGTGTTAACAAACAAATTGTGGGTGCGAATCACACAGGAAACAAACAACCTCTCAGACAGTGCATATAGACCAACAAGCAGCTCTCTGTTTTAGTTTTAATTGAATATTATCAGGCTTTGACAAGCCAGCATTCTGTATGTGCATGCTCTGTAGTGTAGGTAGCTTAAAAATTATATAATGCTGGCATACATAGAGGGTAATGAAGTCGGCTGAAAGTGCTGCTGTTCAGACATGCTAGTCAGATACTTTTTTTTTTTTTTGACCTGTCAGTCATGAGGTTTTTGCTTAGATGTTGTAGAGATGATGGTGAAGAGTGAAGCAGGAGCTGCAGAGAGCCGAACAAAGCTCTTTATTTGGAGTAATGCATGGTACGCAGGCTGTAGTGAACTTGGAAGTCACATGAAAACTAAACAAGTCCTACACAATATCATATATAAGCCTTTTTTCTTGACATCTACATCCCAACAGCCCAAACTATGAACTGTCTTCATAAAAAAATCTCTTCAGTGATCGGACTCTCGCATCTAGACGGCAGTAAAATAATCAAGTGTTTACACATGTGGCTGCTATTATAATCTGTGCAACAGGCCTTTTGTTTCTCCCAGTGTAGGAAGGGTGGAGACGTCGACCAAGTAACACTTCATGATTGGGGAAATGTTTAATATAGACACGTACTAAAATACTAACTACGAGCAGTAACACTCAAACCCACCCCCCCCAATGCGATGCGACATCTCCTTAGAAAAATCACTGAAGTGAAAAACAGTAGGTAATTCAGTCTGTAATTTTCTCAGGTGAAAATGGACAAAAACAGACATGGCCGATCTGGATGGCAGTAAAATCAGAGGAGAGCACCTTTAAAAAAGGAAATCACTCAAGGACCCAGTGTAAATTTAATCCTGTCCCAATAAGAATTTAGTTGACATTTATATTACTTCGTTATGTCGTTAAGTATAGTCTGTGTTCAGGCAATTTAGAGTGTATTCCTTTAGAATCACCTTTGTTGTAATAAACACTACTAAATCATAAACCAGTGAATCATGCATCAAGTTGACTCAAAGCTCAAAGATTCATATCCCTATTGATTACCTTTGGGGCTATTAGGAAAATATTATGAATTAGATTTTTGGCTGAACTGTTGCTTTCAATGACTCTGCCTTCATGTATACTGATTCTTAGTTAAGTAAATATTAAAAACTACAAATGTAATATTCAGAGATGTATATTAATTATTAGTCAGGGGTTTTTGCTCTGAAAATACACTGCTTACTCTGCATGTCTCGAGGCCTTTCTGAGGTCACCGCGCACTTGCGTGCAATGTGTGTAGGGGAAAAACATGTTGAACAGGAAAGATTAAGCATGGATTAAGATGGTGCTCTAGTTTTTGACACTGGTTCTTTCAGGGGCCTGATAACATCTCAGTCACATAAAATACAGCAGCTTCTCATTGGTGCTTGACTTGTAGGATTCTAAGCATGATGATGAGGCTTCGCCCTGATCTTGGCTGTAGAAGTAGCCTGACAACTTCTGAAATTTTGTTCATTGTTCTGTGTTACTGCTACTGAAACTGCTTTTGTACATGTCATTTGCCCTGACATGAGCAATGAGGGATCTACAAAAGATTATTGAAGACTGGGTAGTATTTAGCTAGCAAGAGAAGCAAAACATGTTTCGAGTTATGCTTTACTGCTTCAGTCAGATTTTGGGTCTCATCAGAATGGCCTGACCCTTTTAGCTCATAGGTTGGCTTTACATAGTGAACACAACTACTTGCAGTTTGTGAACTGTATGACACATAATTTTTTAACTTAGCAGTTCAAAAATAATCAGTCACATGCAACACGGTTGGTGATTCCACTAATTAACAGGAGTGGAAGCTAGTTTTGTTTTTATGTATTGTATGGTACTGGCTATAAAATAATCTGTGATCTGTTATGTTGCCTGCTTTTGAATTTTATGTTGCAAGCAGTCAATTACTGACCTAGCTACTTAGACCATGATACAGCAGACTAACAGAGCAGAACAAAAACTGGCAAAAGCAGCCATTTAAATAGCAGTGAGGCTAACTAACTAGCTAATAATGCCTACTGGTTAAAAGCAGCACCATTATTGCAGGAGACCATCCTCTGTTTTCGAGCCCATGATGTAGTAATTTAAATCATTGGCTGAATCAGTGTCATCTAATGTGATCAGGAATTACAGTATTAGCAAAGTTCTTCCACAGAGTACAGCTAGTTGCAACTATTGTGGTTGAGCTTCAGATGAGCTTCAAGTGAATTGCAGAAGCCTTACATTATGCATCACAAGTGAAATTTAGCTTCATGTAAACATACGTGCAAGTTTCACCATGAAAAGCCACCCTTATAATTCACAGATATTGTAATTTGATGATATTGCTCATACATTGAAAATATTTTGCTTAAAATTTTGTTAAAGAAACAGATTAGAAACTTGCCCCAAGTTTACAAGAATTTGGTGAACCTACTTGTGCATACAGTCTCTATTTTTTGTGGGAAAGAAATAAAGTCCTTTACATTTTTGCCATATTTTTATTGTTTTTTGGCAATAGAACAAACTGAAACCCAAAAAGCAGACTTGAATCTGCTGATACAGAATGTAAATTCAATATAAATAATTACATATTTTGATAATTAATTATTTAGTTATGTGTAAATGCATAACTAGACAGTGGCAAACATTCTAGAGAACAGTCCAAACCAAATGATCTTTGAAAAGCAGAAATGTGCAGTGATGTAGGATGGGTAGGCTATATATATGCGTTGTTAGGCATTACGCTGAAAAGCCATTACAGTATGAAAACAAGAAGTAAAACAGAGAAACGTTTACATGTGTTTTCTGATGAGTGGTGACGTGTGTGTGTGTGTGTGTGTGTGTGTGTGTGTGTGTGTTTTCCCAGAATGACGTCGCCGGCCACAGAGGAGGAGAAGTGGTAAGGGGAATTTTCATACCCACTTACTTTTCACATTACATCAGCCACATATTAACTCTTCACATAGTCAGTCGTAATAAATACTGTTAAAGGAATACTCCAGCATTGTTCAACCTAATCTTTATCTGCTGCATCTGTAGAATACAGCACTGAAAAATCTGAGAGCATGCTTCATTTGTTGAATTTCCAGTCAAAATGACCATTAAGTAGAAGTGATTCATTTTACAGGAGAAACTTCTGTGGGGATTAGATAGAAGATTATCCAAATGGATAAAAAAGGAGAAAGTCAATAGAAAATAAGTGAAACAACAGGATTTATCAAAAGATGTCTAGCTGTCAAATTTGACCTCATATTTTGTTGTTGAGGTTTTGTCTCATTTTCTGTTAAATATGTTTTCTGATTTTTCCTGAGGCATAAAAATGAATAACTTGCATGGCTGTTAAAAGGGTGATTTCTGACTTTTGTGTTCACTTACCACAGACAATAATTTTTGAAATGTTGACTCAAAAACAGTAGCTCTTCAGATTAGGTTAAAAAAAAAAGCTGCATTTTTCACACTTACAAACCAATAAGAACAATTTAACAGGCATTTTAACAGTGCAGATTGTTTGTGGACAGTAAATGGATTTGGAGACGACTCTTAGTCCTGATTAAATACAGTTCCTTTTAGACAGTGTGGATTTAACTGTCTATTGATTTCTACAAGAAGCAGTGCATCACACTGTATTGAGTTTTCTATAGCTAGTGCAGCATATGATCTGTGTGTGTCCCATATGGTGGGCATGCTGGAGGGCTGTGTGTGTGTGTGTGTGTGTGTGTGTGTGTGTGTGTGTGTGTGTGTGTGTGTGTGTGTGTGTGTGGCAGATGGTAGAGAGGCGACAGGACCCTTGCTGCTCACAACAGAAGGTTGTGGGTAATATTTTGTGCTCTTGCACAGGCTGTGGCCAGGCCACTGTGCAATCGTGGGCCTTCATTGGCTCATCTGAGTGTGAAAACAGCTTTAACTTCCGTGGCAGCCACTGTCACCATGGTTTTAACATGCTGGGAAAACAACAGCCATGGAGAGGAATCTGTTCCTTGCCCCCCCTGCTGGATGAAAGAACAGTGATTTAGCTGAATGACTTTAGAAAACACCTTTTTCCCAATTTTTTCTTCCTGCAAATCCTAATATATAGCTACTAATAGCTAACCAGAATAAAAACCTTGAAAAATAGAAAGCTTTGAATCATGAAATCTCAGCACAAAAGTAACTAGAAGTAAGTAAAAGTAGCCAGGAAATTTATATAGGCCAGAAATAAGTGTGTACTTTATAGAATATTATTATAATGAATTTTATATTAGTATAGCATTTAAAACAAAAAATCACTGCCTTCTGATTGATGCTGCAGATGAATCAGTTGATTCATGCTGTTTTAAATCCTAGCGTAAACTTAGACACAAATGTATTTTTGAATATGCGGTATGGAAAGTACCAAGCAAAGACGTTACAGTGGATAATATCGCACTGACTATTGGCCAAATGTCTATTTGCATTGGTCAGGATTATATAAAGCATTTACTATTTCATGTTTAACTTGAGTATATTGTCCTCATGATAGTATTCAATATGACCTCCTGCAGCTCTCATAAAATACTGTTGCTGTGTATTTCATATAATGGACTCTCTCTCCTTCACTCTTGCTTTGTTTTTTTAGTAACACCATGCAGTATGTCATCTTGTCCTATATGAAGCACCTTGGGGTGAAGGTGAAGGAATCTAGGGGTCTTGAGCACAAACCTAAACGCATGAACTTATTCCCCAAAATCAAGGTAAAAACCCAAAGCTTCCAACACTTTCTAGTTTGTGCTATAGTTTTCTTGTTTCTTGTTTGTGCTACTGACTTTGATGCTCATTTTTCTGATATTTTGCGGTTTGGTTTGAGCAGAAGACCATAAAACCGGAGAAAGACGGCGGGGCAGAGGAGAAAGTGAAAAGGCCTCGCTTTCCCAGCATTCTCGGCCAACGGTACACCAAAATCGATCCTACCCCAGGTAAGCATTTCAAACAGAATAAAATGTTTTTGTTGATGGAAAAACAATGTTATGGAAGAACAGATGTTCCTCTTTTTTTTTTTATTAAGTTTAACATGGTTTGTAAATATTGTTAAAGTTAAAGGTGTGTTTCAGCAAGGACTGCATTTTGAATCGGGTACAATAGAGGATAACCAAATCAGAGCAGAGGTTATTTACATATATTGTTCTTAAAAGGCACAGCATCAACAATGGACACTATAGCTCTAAGGGAAAAAGAGATTAGAAAATAGTAATGTAAAAATGGATTGTGATTGTGTGCGTATTTTGTGCGTAAACCTACACAAATGTCTTATGTTGACCTCAGGGGGGAAAAAAAAATACAGAAAAAAATGCAGGATCTGTCCCCTTTAAGGTGAAAACCTAATTTTAGTTTAAGTCTATAAAGCTTTTAGAGCTCTAGAAGTCCCTAAAGAGCGACAGACTATTGTTTTGGACTGAACGGATGACAGAATGAGATGCAGAGAGCTGATATAGATTGTAAGTTTGTGGTTCTGAAGGTAACGGCAGCGCTGAGCTCAGTTTTGTTGTAGTTTTGATAAATCTATGGCTGATTTCACTGTAATGTTGGCAGGCCTGAGGCCAGTGTTGTATCAGCAGGACATAATGGGTGTCTTTAGGAAGTGCCTGTCTGGAGCTTTCAGGAGCGGCTTCCTGTTTGCTCCCATAGACACTACATTGTTAGATCTGACCACTGTGTCATATCCTTTTTTTTTTTTGAACGAGAGACTGAGATGCAGTTCAGACTGATCAGACATTGTTACCAGGCCTGAGAAGCTAGCATTTACCTAAGCACGTGACTAACAGTTAAAAATTTGGTGACACTTTGGCCAAGTTTTGGATTTAACTGTTACTTTTCATATAAGAAAAAGTACATGCAAAGCTTTTGTTAACATAAAACAGCCGTTTGCTAAAACTTCGGGTATATTTTGCTTCAGAGCTCAGCTTTGTATTTGTCTTTCTTGGTATGAAGAGCAGGTTTGCCTAAATAATAACGTTGATGAGTGCTGACATCCCAAGAGGGGGATTACATTAGTTGGCTTTGCCCTTATTCCTGGGATAGCTCTGTCACAAATACTGACATAGATGTCGCTATATGTGATATAGTTTTTCTCGTAATAAACCTGGTCTTTAATACTTTGTTTGCCAAAATGATAATTTGACAGTCTTCTTTCTTTTAAACCATTGTTAAAAGCATATATTGAAAAACTTTTCAGTCACAACCTTTGTTTTCCTCAACTGCTGGCATGTGTTTTGTTTTTTTTTCCTCTAAGGTTTGGCACATACTTTACATGTAATTCTATGGGAAGAGGATCCAAAACAGTCAAAATGTGGCTCCAGTGTAGGGATGCAAATTTTGACGGCAAACCAAGCATCATTAGTCGCTGAGCCTATTTTGGAAAATGTATTAACTATACGCACTTTTATGAGCTAATATATAAGCTAAATTCTGTGTTAATGGACCAAGATATTAGGTTTTCTTGTATGGGCCATGGAACATAGCACTGATAGGTGGGGCCAGGCTTAAACATGTAAATGAAGTAGGCATAAATGCCATGAACAAGGATAGGATTGGCTAAGTTTACTTCAAATGTCAGAAAAAATAAATATTGTGACATGTTGTAGTGTAAAAAACTTTAGTATTATGTATTATAATATAAAGTATTATGATATTACATTTTCCTTACCCTCCCAATGATGCCTCACACTGTCTCTCTGAGAACCCTGATGAAATAGTTCTTTGTCTTAATGCAGTGGTCGCTTTTAACATGGTACATTGATGTAGTTCCTCATGCATACGGTTCCAAAACATACTGCTTGATAGCAGTGGTCGAACAATTGCTCGTAACTGTTTAACTGTCGTTATACAATTAATCAATTAATCCCCCCCCGAGAGAAATGCTTTATCAGCCCACCAGTCAGTTTAAGGGCCTTATGAAAGCAAGACAGAGGGTGGAGTGCTGGTGGAAAAATAAGTTTTCTGAGTTTAGTGCATTTTGTTAGTTGATTTAGTTTTGCAGTTTTTTCAAAGAAAAATGGTAATTCAGCTTTCTATGTAAAAAGTTCCCTCCGCTTATAATGTTATGGCCTTCCTCTTTAAAAGGACTGCATCTCTTCGTCTGACTGTCAAAGACTGCCGTATTTACTTATGAAATTTTTATGAACTGACCTGAAGTAGGGATAACAGCGCTCTCTCTCTCTCTCTCTCTCTCTCTCTCTCTCTCTCTCTCTCTCTCTCTCTCTCTCTCTCTCTCTGTGTGTACAGTTAGTAAAGCACTGGAGCAGGCTAAGCCTCGGCCGGTGAAGCAGCCATCTCAGCCGTCTCTGGGTTTGCCGGAGCAGGTTGACTCCTTGACCGCTCGAGCACGGGGCAGTCAGTCCAGCGACGGGCCGGACAGCAGTTCAGCCTTCATCAGCTCTCCTCCCCACAGCGCCCCTGCCACACAGGGCTCAGACACCAGCCTCAGAGACACCGAGTCAGGTTAGACAAGCTCATTCACATTCATCCTCTACTGTACTTATGGTTCACTCTTCGTTCAACCCTCAGTTATTCCTCCCCAGTTAGTACGTCTGAGTTTATCTGTCTTTTCATCTCTCTGTGGTTTCTCTTTCGCTCTCTTTCTCTCTCTCTCCTCTTCCTTGCACTCTTTCTCTCTGTCTCATTCTTTCGCTCTTTCTGCATCCCTGTCTTCTCTCTTTCTTAAGCTCTCACTCTCTCTCCCCTTCTCTCTCTCTTCCTCAGTCTCTCCCTCTTGTTTCCTTTCTCTCTCTCTTTCTATCTCTCTCTCTCTCTCTCTCTCTCTCTCTCTCTCTCTCTCTCTCTCTCTCTCTTTCTCTTTCTCTCTCTCTCTCTCCTCTCCTTCACTTTGTCCTCTTTCTTTCTCTCCCTCTCTTTTTTTCTCTTCACCTTTTTTGCATTCTCATCTTTTACCTCCATGCTTCCTTTTATTTATCAGGCTCTGTGTAGTAAGCCCTGTTTGTTTGTATTTGTTTGTCTTTGCTTTGTTTTCATCAAAAACATGGCTGTAGATGTTCTGTCCTCAGTCTACATTTATAGACCATAGTCGTCAGAGTGCTGTTCTAGGATCAGTTTGAGTTTGTGTAACTGCGTTCATTAGAATATAAGAGGCAAAAACTGGTGGGAGAGCAGCATTTTTACCCAGAGAGGTCAGATAAAAATGGCTTTTTTCTTAGGGCTGTGGATGATCGGCCTGTTTAGCAGAGTAATTGGCCTATTTACCTTCAGTTCTTCCACTGAATGGGAACATTTACTGTCTCCTTGCATTTCAGGAAAGGATTCTTTGTGCTTCAGCCATTATCAGTGCATAATTTGATTATAATTGTTCTAGCTGTCTATCAGTAAATCATCTTGGAGGTTATTTTTATGCAGACACAACACCTTTATGCTTTATTTTTATTGAAGGGAGAGGAAACCATTTTCATAAGATTCACTTTTTCAGATTCGCTTGTTAGGCAAATATGTTTTGACATTAGAGAAATTTGCCCAAGTACTCTCACAGTACATAACGCAGTTCATGACAAAACACTGGTTAAGTGTATCTGGATTCACTTTTGCACTCATGCATTTCTCTTTCTCTCTCTCTTTATCTTTCTCTCAGGTGGAGCTCCCTTCTCAGCATTACCGAGAGTCGGAGAGGGTGCTTTGTCAGGTGAAGGTCAGGACTCCTCATCCTCAGGAACACACTTTGACTTCAGCTCCTGCAATCAGGACCACCAGCAGGAGGAGGAGCCTGAAATAGACCGGTAGGCAAGCCTTTCACCATCAGTGTGCCTTTCAGTAAAGTAGGCTTGGGTAATTAGACAGCGTGATTGTCACAATGTGAACAGTTTTGACCAGCAATGTTATTTTCATGTTAAGATGATGATCTGCAACTTTCAACAGCTTAGTTGTGCACACATCTGGTGCAATAGAAGTTGTCTGAGACAGACTCAGATACAACCATGCCAAGTGGATTTATAAAAAGCAACTAGTTCAAACATGAGAGCTTGAGATGGAAACACTGTGCAGATGCTGTTATAAGATTGATTGCTATAATAATAGAATTTCTTTTAAAAACATTAAAGGGCCCATATAACCTGGAGTTTCTGTGCTTTTTTGAAATAAAAAGTTTGATGTAATATGTAAACATTGTTAAAGTTTCAAAACGTATTGTTCACTCTACGGTCCATACAGTCCTTATTTGGAAATTAAGCTGCAAAAAAGCAGACCGTTTTGAATTCAGTGTTTCTGTGAGAAGCAATGTATTTTTGTACATTCACCTATTTAGCTTACAGCAGTTTGGCCCCACCCATTCATCCTGAAGTTATAAGGAGTGTTTCAGCACAGACTGCACAATACAGGGCAGCTAATCAGAACAGAGTTCATATATATAAATCAGTCTCAAAGGCACAGTAAAAAAAAGCCTGTTTAATTCAGTGGGATAAAGGCTGTAAAATAGTCCATTTTAAAGCTCACATCGGCGGGTGAAAGCCATTTAGAACCACCCTGGCCACTTTATAAGCTTCTGATTTTCTAAGCTAAAGTAGTCTTATAACTTACTGATTTTTTTTTAAATGAGCAGGTTTTTGGTTTTTTTGGGATATCCAGACATTTATAAAATACCCATTTGTGACAGTATAGTACGACATTAGTGTAGGACAGTAGTTAGTTTCTGTCACATAAAGGTATCAGTTTCAGTCTGTTGGTTGCCTTATGTCTTACTCATTTCTTTTAGAAGCCAAATGACAGTCATTCCAGCTGTTGCTATGGAGAGAACAAGAACAGTCCCCATCTGACCCAGACCATTTTCAGACAGATGCTGAACACTAGTTGGAAACTGTATATTACACTATGCAGTCGAACATAGCAACTAGCGTCTCTAGCAGATGTTCGTTTCAGGTCTCGCAGTCAGGGAATCCTTCTGCAGCCGTGACTGCAGGCCTCACAGCTATTTCTGTTCTTTCAGTATCCACGCTGGAGAGATACACACTCCAGCCTAAATCAAGCCTTTGTTCTCTGGCCCATCTCTCTCTCAGAGCTCTCGCTGGGACAGTAGGACACTTTCAGAGAGCCTGAGTGGATGCAGCTCTGCCATATGATGTGTGCTTGAAAGGAGGAGTGGAGGATAGTGGCAGTTGGGTTTAAAGGGGTTTCAGTGGGAGGTTTAAAGGTTAATACAGCTGTGCTTGTCTTTTTCACAGGAATCAGGAAGAAGGCACGCCCAGGCCACTGAGGAGGTGAGTGTCTGTCTTGGGAAGACAGGAGAGGATAGGGTTAGTTAGCACTTAGACTGCTGCTAACGAAGTTACATTAATGGTAGCCCTTGTAGTTTTGAGTTAATTTAGTTAAACTGTAAAAGGGATTGTATGTGTTCAGTGTATATGTAAGGGTAAACTGGAGAATACAGAATAATATGTAGGTATTAATTTTGTAGATATACTGCCTCTTAAAAGTTGTCATTTTTCTATTCAATTAAGTATGTGGTGAAAATAACTTTTTGCTAATAGATTGGATATATTTTGCTTTACCGCTCAGTAGGGGTTTGGGAAAAAATTGATTCTTAGATGCATCGCGATGCGGACGTGAACAATTCTGATTCACAAATGTCAAAAATCGATTTTCTAAATATTTAATTTATACCGTAATGTTGATGGAACGCAAAAGGCGGAACCTGGAAGTGCGGAAGTGCAGCGCCCGGACAGTCTGTGAGGTGCACGTAACAAAAACACACAGGGATGATTGAGAAATCCAACCGGCTCCCTCTGCATTAAAAGCCAGTTTAGGTCAGGAGTCACAACCCAAATGTTAAGAAGAGACATGTTGTCCTTTCAGCAAAAATCAAACCACCTTGGCAGCCACAACATTTATGTCCAGTATGTCTCAGGATGTGCTAATGTCCTGCTAAAAGTTAGGTTAAAATATAAACGAAAACGTGGATTTACTTTGCTCTGCTTTAAGCTTTAGCTATAGCCACTTTTTCTCCACCAGAAAACTTTTCCTCTAAAGTAGATCAGTTTCTTGTAAAATGTCTCTCAAAGTTCGGCTGTTTTACGAGGCTGAAGTCTTTTCTTTAAGTCGCTCCAGCTTCTTGTTCGAATTTTTAAATTCTGACTGAGGTGCCGAATGTAAAAGCGGCACCATTTAAGGTGGAATGGGAAAATTTGAAAGAGAAGTTACTTCATCTTCGCAACTTTTTAGTGTTTGATAGTCTCTCGTTGCAGATTTAGCTTGCTAGTAAACCAACAGCAGCACTTATGAAGGCGAATAACGCATCATTGCTAGGTGACCTGCAGTCGGAGAACGCAGAGAGAATGGTCGTTGTGAAACAGGGCTTTCGCGCTATGTTGTACACGTCCCGAAGATATTTTACTGACACAGCGATCCCCCCGCTCTCTACAACGAGACCAAAACCTAAGTTATAAAATCACTAACGAAAACGGGCAGGACGGCTATGATGTGCTGCATGGACATCCATTACCACTGGATCCCATTTCACCGTAACTACGCATTTTATCGCAGATGAGCGATAGCAAGCAATAGCAGTGAATGAGAGCCTTCTAGTTCACTTGCCACATCACTTCCATTTGATTTATTAATAAAAGATATTGGAAGTAAATGCATTATTGATCATTACAAATACTTTGCTTTAAAAGTACCAAGTCCTGACACAGTAAGAAAATAGAAATCCTATATAGAAAAAAAAAGATGCATCGATAATCGTTTTATAATCGCATCGCAGGCCTCTGAATCGTAATTGAATCGTGAGGTGCCTAGAGATTCCCACCCCTACCGCTCAGCTTCATGTTCCTCAAAGTGTCTTCCTAAACAATGATGCTGTTTGCCTAAAAATGACCTTGATGAGTGCTGACATCACAAAAGGGTATAAAATGTTATGGGTTTGTGATTATTTCCAAAATAGTCACAAATATTTACACCTATGCAATGATGGCGTTTTCCTCATAATAAACCTTGATAATCTTTTAATTTTTTTAATTACAAACCAATATGTCATACAAATGTTGTTTTTTATTTATAGTAAAAGGTTTTAAAAACCTAGGTGTCCCCAGACATTTTTTTTCTATTTGTTTATACATGCTTGCTTTATATAGTAATTGCTGTGTGTGTGTTGTAGGATGGAGCCTCTGAGCTCAGGGGAAGTGCAGAGTGAGGATGATCAGGGGGCTGAGGTGGAGCCGGAGCAAGACCCTCCTCACTGGCAGACGCTCGTCAGCAGAGACATCCTTGCACTGCTGCCCCCACACGAGATCAAGAGACAAGAGGTCATCAATGGTGAGAAACACACACACATATTACAGAACCCTGAACCTGCTTGGACACACTAACAGAGATGGATGATTGCAGACACGGTTTTACAGTGCTTTCTTTTGATACTAAGTACTTGAGTTAGACAGAAAATGAACTAAAAGCTGTAAACACTTATCTGAAAACCTGACATTTCTTTCTGGCTAGTAGTTGCTGCAGTTCCACGCTAAATGTCCTTAAAGATTGACAACATGCAGGTTTTCTGGGTTAACCAATGTGTGTTTTTCTGGGCAGATACCAATTATGAATAGACATGGAGACTGATGGTCGATATCATAAATTTGAAATATAGTGTGAAAATTTAAAATGACAGAATTCCTGCATAAACTGAATATGAACTAAACACTGCTTAATGGTTACTGAAATACTGACACTTAACATTTGAATAATAAATAAAGTACATGGACAGTAAATGTTCTGAAATTATGAGAAAGTGCAATGATATCATTTAAAATAAAGTTTAACTAGATTAAAAATAAAGTTACAAACAGCTATTTAAAACAATAAAAAAGAACCCCCGAAAAATAAAGCTCATAAACAAATACAAGATTAAATGAGAGGCCCTAATTCAAAGCTATGAAGAGCAGTAAAACACGTATATTTAGCATATCTAATGTTTCTTCTTCATCTTCTTCTTTTTGTTAGTACTATTATTATTATTGTTGTTGTTATTATTATTAATATTAATATTATTGGTAGTTAGGAATTAATTGATACCAATACTAGTACTGGGTATTAGCCTGATACCACGCTCATTTACTTGTACTCATAAAAATGCACCGATACATCCAATACCACCTGATGCTGCCGTGCTAATGAACAAATGACTCAAACTGGCAGTGAATGAGCTCAAAAAGCGAAGTGTTGCTGATGCTGTGGCAGTCAGACACCAAACATCCTGCCTTGGTGAAAAAAGTGACTTTTGCTACCAAAGTCTGTACATCCTGACTTGACTCTGTTTGGTAGAGTAGAATTGCGAGGTATAAACATTAATACGGCGGTGGTGTTTTTTTGTTTTTTGTTAAGTTGTCTTTGTAAAAGGCTGTAGAGAGACCGTAATGTCCTACCATGTACATCGCCCCCTAGTTTCAGTGCACAGGGTGGTACAAGTAAGCAAAGCTGCTGTAGCTCAGTGTGTTTGCTCAGTACTTGGGCCCACAGCGTGTTATTTTAGGAAAGCAGCTTTTGATAATTGTCCGTAGACAGAACTGTCTGTAGCAGACCGAGCGTTTTTGTACAGTGTGAATATATAAATTGTTGGCTTTGTCTGTACACAATGGTGTATTCAAAAGCACAGTGTGAGTCACCAAAGAACAAGATTTTCTAAAATCGCACAGTGTATTCCTGGTTTTAGAGGACATTGAACTACATCTCAACCATCCAACCACTGAAAAGAAATTAGCCTCGGATGTGGTTTTTGCTGCCCCTGTGCTACAGAGACAGATTAGGAGCATAGGACATACAAAAACTATGAAACATGAAACAACTTTACCTACAGCTGTACAGAAGTGCTTTTCTGATGTGGAACAAAACCTACTCTACTTCAACACCACTCGATTCAGGGTATCTAATGTAACAGCTAGCTAAAGCATGTCATTTAAAATCAGCTAGATTTTATTTGTTACTGCACTGAACACTGCACTCATTTACACTAACAACTATTTAATTCTAATTAGGTTACTCAGTATGAATCTGAGTCAGTATCAGCAAATACTAAAAACACATTCATATTTGTACTGAAACAAATGGTATCAAGGCATAACTGATTATTATTCATTATTGCAGAGTTTTTGTCTGTTATCATAGAGACCAGTTCATTAAGTCTTCAGTCCTTTTCTTTGTGCCTGTAATATTTTTATTTATAAAGTGAACTTGCAGGCTGTTATTCTCCAGGTGACACATAAATCCACCAAATACACAGCACTAAAAAGGCACCAGTATTCAGAATTTCTCTACAAATGGCAGAACGCATCTTTTTCTCCCATGAACAGTAAGCTTACTCTGAGTAAATGAGACAATTCAGACAGGTTTTAGGAAGCATGCATGGTTCACGTTTGTTTTGGCTGCAGTGGACAGCACATCTCAACTACAACTGCTCAGACTCTAAAATCTCCCCATGAAGCTGTATGAGCAAGAGGAAGTGAGTGAAGTACTGTATGAGCTGTTATTTTTGCCAGATCATACTACATCAGCGCTGATCAACCACTGATCCGCTAGCATGTCCTCACAACTCATTACGATGTAAACGAAAATTTGTACAGCTCTTTTTTTTTTTCTCCCCCCTTTCTCTCTGTAGTTGCATCCTTTGCAAACAGAGAGAGAAAAGAGCATCTGATTGGTTTTACTGGTGGGTTTCAGCCAGTTCAATAACCCTGTGGGTATTGAGACAGGAGAGGTTTTGATTGGTTGTACTCCACATATTTTGACCAATCCAATAAGGCTGTGTGTGGGACATTGGGCCAGAAGCGTTTGCCAGTCATGGTTTTAGAGATGCGCATAACTCACATTTAAGCTTTGTATTGGCAAACAAGTTACAATACCAGTTCTAATGATTGACAAAATGCTACACATCAACTGGGCCAATAATCGATTAACCCCTATTAAGTTCTGTGGCCAGCTCTGCACTGTACATGACGCAATTAAAACTCCAAACGCCTGACTCATTTGGAATTTCAAATAATTCACCTTTAGCAAGCTTTCTTTTTATTTAATCCATGACAGACAACTATTAAGCCTGGCATTGTTGTACACATATTTGATTGTACTGGAGACAGAATTTAGATGTGAATATTCCTTACAAAAAAAAATACTACTTGATCTAATGTCTGATGCTTTGCTGCTTAAAGTTTGCGCTAGAGCTATAAGCTAACAAGTAATGGAAAATTGAAGCCACCTGTTAGCATATTGCAATTGCATGACTAAATCGTAACACGTTTGCCTTTGAATATTTTCAGTTGTCAGCTTTTTTTTTTAAATAACTTAATAAATAAAAATAAATAGCTTTTGTAGTTTTGCTTATGTCGTTTTTGACACTGCATGTTTTCTGTTTATTAATAAAAGTGGGGAAAAGAACTGAAAAAATTCAGGCTTCAAGACGGCTACTTCTGCTTTAGTTGTGTAACACTATGTGGTGCTTTTTTTTATATATAAATAACCGTGTATTATTTAATGTCAGAAACCACATAAGCAAGTCTATTCAATTATCCAAAAAAAAGTTAAAAAAAAAAAAACACAAATGGAGATACAGGGTTTTTGCACGACGGCAATATGTGTCTGTTGTCCACTGTCTTTGATATTCTCACTGGTTCTCCAGAGCTGTTCTACACGGAACGTGCACACTTGCGGATGCTGAAAGTCCTGGATAACGTGTTCTACCAGAGGATGACCAGAGAGGCCATCTTGCCCCCCACAGACATCAAAAACATATTCACCAACCTAGAGGAGATTGTCCATCTGCACAGTAAGCAACCAATCAGTCAGTCAGTCCTAAAACCTTTAAAGGTCACTTCAACAGAACCTAATGTCACTGTAGCCAGCAATGAGTGAAGGTTAATACTGCCAGTTAGACATTGATTATTATTACAGTCTCATCACTTTCTTTCTTCAGTGTCTATAACGGAACAAATGACAGCTATTCGGAAGAAGAACGAGGCAGCGGTCATAGACCTTATAGGAGATGATCTTTTGTCCTGGGTGAGAAAAATTATTTTAGTCCACTGTCATTTCCTTTTTCTTCACATAGATCAGCATAAATGTAGATAATTTAAGCACACTGAACTCATTGTGTGGATGTCTCAACTGCTTTGCAGTTCAGTGGAGCAGAAGAAGAGAAGATCAAACGGGCAGTGGGAACGTTCTGCAGTAACCAGCCCTTCGCCCTGGAGCTCATAAAGAGCAGGCAGAAGAAGGACCAGCGCTTTGCTTCATTCGTACAGGTCAGACAAAGGCTTCATAGAGAGCTATGGGTGTTCATAGAGAGGGTCTATGAATCTTATAAGAAGAGTTGACAAAAAAAGTACACGATTTTCTGTTTACGCTCCTTAATTTTCTCTTTACTAAATATGGTCGATCAGCTCAGGCGATGTGCCATGTTTACACTGTGCAACTGAATGACATACTATTGTCTATAAAAGTGAATAAAAATATATCACATACGTAAAACGGTGCTAGTAAACAAACTTGCATAAATCTGTTTCGGTCTGGTAAAAATGCTCTAAAATTATTCGGAAAAAAGTTACATAGGCTTCCATTGTAAGTTAAGAATGTAAAGTGAAAAGTTCCCATTTGGAGATACAAGGTTTTGTATGAACGTTGATGATGCATACATAGTACATATGAGATATATGTATGACCATGTCGCAACGTGTTTATAAAAACGTGTATATGTGTGTCTCAGGAAGCGGAGAGTAATCGGCAGTGCCGTAGACTTCAACTGAAAGACATCATTCCTGTGGAGATGCAGAGACTGACCAAATATCCTCTCCTGCTTGAGAACATCGCCAAATACACCGGTACTAAATCCCCCATTTCCCCTCTTCTATCATCTTCTATTATCTTCCTCCTCTCCACAAATCCAAAACTCACGTCTGTGTGTGTTTGTTTTCCCACAGAGGATGTAGAGGAGAAGAGCAAGGTTAAACGAGCTGGCGAATGCTGCCGGAAGATCCTGAACCATGTCAACCAGGAAGTGAAAGAGGCTGAGAATAAACAGGTGTGAAGCCGTGCAGCAACTGTTATCAGTTCACTTCAAAACAGCAGCACTTTATAATGTCTTGATAAGTCTCAAAGCTGCACTAAGCCTCTCTCCTGCCCTTTTTTGTCTTTAGAGGTTAGAGGACTACCAGAGAAGACTGGATCTCTCCTCACTGAAGCAAAGTGAACTTCCCATGATTGCTGAATTTAAGGTAAGATTATTCCAGCCTGTCCTAACTGTTCTGTAGCCACTGTGAAATGCTTAATTAAATCACGTTTGAGATTTTCTAACAAAAGCAGCTTTTTTTTCTGTAGAGTCTTGACTTGACCAAAAGAAAAATGGTGCATGAGGGACCACTGTCTTGGAAAGTGAACAAAGACAAGACAATTGGTAAGAGTTCTCAGGTCCCAGCTGTGACCCTTTATTACAGTAGAAAATAAATAGATTGACATATACATGCATACATACAATCATTTGTATCTATATGTAATGAGAAACAATTAAATATCTAAAATTTACAAGAGACTAAAACAGTGCTATGGGATCACAAAGTGAGCTTGTATGCAAGTGAATATTTATATATGACAACATATATGCAAAGTAATATTTACATACATAGTTGCTAGGGCTGTCAAATGCAGTAAATTAACATCACTAAATATATATAATATATATATATAAAAATACTACAACCTTATGCAAACTGCTTCATGGATCATATGATCTGCATGATCTGTGAAATAATGTAGTGTGTTTGTGTTGTTCAGAGCTGTACACACTCCTGCTGGAGGATATCTTGGTGCTAACGCAGAGGCAGGACGAGAAGCTAATCTTGAAGTGCCACAGTAAGAACCTGGCGGGCACAGCCGAGACCAAACACACCTTCAGCCCCATCATCAAGCTCAGCACTGTGATGGTGCGCTCTGTAGCTACCGGTGAGTCGGCCTGAAGTGCTGGAGGTGAACTGTGAGAAAACTCCAATTTGAGTAGAAAACGAACAGCTTGTTTGTGATGTATTATTATTATTTTCCCAAATATAAAACAGTATGTGAATATGATTTGTCTTCAGACTTCTGTTTCTGCTCAAATGCTGTATTGTTCACAATCCTAATTTGACTGAAGAAGTTCTGTGGGAATGCTGAGGCTTTCAATTTTCTCACTGTGCTCAATATGCTGTTTCACAGACAACAAGTCATTCTTTGTACTGTCCATGTCGGATAATGGAGCACAGATCTACGAGCTGATGGCTCAGACTGTGTCTGAGCAGAGAACGTAAGTACAGGGTAACTCCATTATAATAATATTAAGGCAGAACATTAAGCTTGCACTAGTGATGTTTTTTGTGAACAAATGGCTGTTGAGCTGACTTTTTTCAGTAAACATTGGGAGCTGACTCACATTGCTTATGTGTTTGTTGTGGTGGTTTGGCTCTGGTTTTGTTCTTCGCGGTTTTCATTTCATTCTTAGTCATGTTTACAAGTGCGCCTCGTCAGTTCTTCTGATGTTTAATGGACTGGCTGGTGGATTTGTCAGCTTTTTGCTTATCTGCTTTTTCACAATCCCTAACTTTTAAAATTCATCCAGTGGAACTACTTGTCTACGTCTGACTTATTTGGTTTTTAAAAATGATAAACATTGCAGTTTTGTTAATACATTACATAAGACTAAAGTTTATTGAAAAGTAAATGATAGATAATTTATGGAACGAAAAACGGACCATGCTACTAAATAAAGAGCCGTTTGGGAGCCAAAAGAGCCGGTGTGGAATCTAATCATACATTCCTGTCTTGATCTTATTTCCCTTGGTTTCTGGTCACAGCTTCTGGGCCGTTATTCAATAAATCATACATATCAAAACCTTCAAACAGCAAATCTGGGAGGAATCTCAAAAGGCATAGGTAGACAAGTATGTGCCTGCCTTTTTGTAAACTGTAATATATAAATAAACAATACAAAGCTAGTACACAGCAGTTAAACTCAGTGACCAGTTTTGCATTTAACTGTAATGGCTTGCATGACAAAACGTAACTCTGCCCAGGGGTCCTTGGAAAATGAAGTCAAGATGGGAGTGTGAGATTGGGCTTTACACAAGCTCTTATCTGTGAGCAGAGCCAAACTGTTCTGGCTCACTGAAAAGGGCCAGTATACCCATTACTAATTTGCAGTGGAGCTAGGAAGCTAATATAGCGAGCAGATACCTCATCAATTTGCTTGGTGCAAACCACATGCATCCATCATCACACTTGCCTCAAATTGCATCGATTAATGTCAAATTGACTTGCTTATGTGGTTTCTGACACTGTATGACATAGTTATGTGATAGCTATGCAACATACAGTACCGTCTATTTTCTAGGTAACAAACATTAAACTGGTGAAGAAAATTAGGATAGAAAGCTTTTGTGTCTTATACTAAGAGTGCTGATACATGATCAGGTTTCCACTGGAGATTTATTTGGTTTTTTAAAAATGATAAACATTGCAGTTTTTTGAGGCTGTTCTTTAAGAGGTGAGAGGTAAAACGTGATGTTGGTTCAGGACTCTTAGTCTAAGGTCGACCATTCGGTACTTTCACTGTTGTTGTTTTTCTTCATTTCAGTCAGTGGATTTTAATGGTTTGGGTTTGGGGCAGAACAATTTTTCAAAAACGCTAATGTGCCTGGTGGTGAATAGAAGTGAGGTAGATCAAGTAGTATGACCCATCTTTCAGTCAGCGTTACCAGCGTTCAAATTTTCATAAGACATTTTACTTCAAGGATTTAATGTTTTTGCCTTAACTGTTTGCCTTTGAGAAACTGAGTGAGACTCTTACAGCTCTTTCACTTCTTTTTGTTTATCGTTGTATTTGTGTATTGTTTTTGTCATGCAGGTGGCAATGTCTCATTACCCAGAGAGCAGAGAGTATGAAGAGACAGCAGTTGAATATAATTCCATTACCTCAGACCGAGTGAGTTCAGCCTGCTGAAAATGAAAAATTCATGCTGTTGCCAAGGCATTTCTACTATATGTGTAAAAAATTATTCATTTTGGCTAGTTTGTTTGATAAAATTGTAGCGTTCCTGTAGATTGATCATTCATCTTGCCTTTCATCAGTTTGCTTATTACATGTGTATTACCTTTTCTGCAGTGGTGAGCGCGAAGCTGTTGAGATGATAAACTCAAGCGTGCCGAAAATGAACAAAGATCCAGATCGCATCTCCACTGGAAGCAACCAGTCCCCAGGTATCTGAGTCATCCATAATAAAGTGTTCAAAAATATTATACTGAAGTCGCACATGCTTTGATTAATCTTGCCTGAACTTTCAGCATAAAAAGTTGTACTTTTATCCCTAAAATCAAAAGTTACCACCACACAGTTGTTTTTAGAGGAGCACTTCACCTAAAACAGCTAAAGTGACTGAATAAGCAATAGAACACGAGAAGAAATGTGTTACTGTAAATGATATCGACTCAAAGGGGAATGCAGTTAGAACCATTACAGCCATAATGTTACTCGTCGAGCATTTTATTGCTTTTATACAACATTGTTGCAAATAAAGCAGAGAAGCCCCAACCATTGTTTCAAATATGTCATTGCTGTCAGGACCTCGTACCTCAGAAAAAAAAGTAACTTTACAAGAGAAGCAAACAAACATGCTTGACTTTCTATGTAAGTTAATGCAACAAGATTTTATTCCAGGTCATTTTGGATTATTTGTCTTGATCCGTTCATCATGAACTTTTGACACTGTCTAAACGGCAGCTGGTATTTTCAAATTAAACAAACAAAATGTTAAAAATGATAATAGAAGGTTTTGTTCCGACAGTGACTACATGGTTTTTAATGCAGGGAATTTCTTCCACCAAAAATAAAGTTCAGAGTAAAGTGACCTCTGTTGTTACTTGAATAACAAAACAACTGCTGTATAAATAACATCTATTCAAAATTTCTATTCAGACGATATTTTTGCAAAAGGCTCTGCTATAAGTTTTCTGTTTTATGTTTGCCCTAGAAAAAGATGCCACCTCGTGTTTGGAGATAATGCCAACCCCTTCAGCAGGAACCAACCCATTTGAGACCAAGTCTGAGGATGAAGAAGAGGCGGAGGGTTCCCTGCAGGTTCAGAATGAAGAGGATGAGGAAGAGGCGTTCCTGGATGCCGAACTAGCCAACAAACTTCCCTTCCTGAAGCAGCGCTCGCGGCAGGCCATTGCGATAGAAGAGAAGGACTCTGAGGTTTTTGACCTGCCTCCACTGATGGCAGATGAAGCGCTCCGAAACTGTGAGTGTTTATTCTCGCCACGAATGCCAGTTTAGTTTACTTCAGTTTATAACTTCAGAACTGCTAGTGAAGCGCTTACTGAAGCCTAGGAATGTAAAAAAGCATCAGTGTTTGTGATACAGGAATCTGAACGTGAAAATTCAACTGCATCAATTAAAAAAAAAAATAATAAATTAAGTAAATAACAATATATGCTCTCATTTGGCCAAAATAAACATTTCAAACATAAATATAAAAAAATGAAGCAAAAAGACTTGGTGTATTGTTTTCTCCTCAGCATTGTACTACTGTTTAAATAGTTACCACAGTCACATTTATGTAATCCAGGTATTTTTTAAAAGAATTCTGAATTCTCATTATGCATAGAATCATTATGTATCATTATGTAAAGAGCTGTAACAGAATTGAATCATTCTGAGAGATTACCGAGAGATTTTTAAATTGCCATTAGTGCCCTGATATAATTTTCAAAGCGTGAATGTCCTATCACTCTTAAGGCCTTTATACACTAAATGCGATTTATTCTGACTTATTCAGCATCTTAATATTTTACATTTTCATGTCCTTTTCTGCGTCGTTTTCGGTGTATAACTCCTTTTATAGCTCATGTGGAAGCATTTCTTTAAGGAGCAAAGGAGATCTTATTTGCACTTGAAGACATTCAGCCCGTTTGTTTTGTAATTTGTCTTTTGTGAAGCTGCATCTCTGAAATCAGCTCAAATTGAGCTGCAGAGAGCTAAGCTGTAAGTGAAAGTCAATAAAGTTTAAGATCCTGAAAGAAGCGTAGAGTGGTGTGCAAGATACTGTCAGTTATACACACGCTTGAATTGATGTATTGTCTTCTGAATGAATCACATTTAGTGTGTAAAGGCCTTGTGTGCCTCTTACTACTATTTAAATCCTGCAGCAACACTACCCTCACTTTCTTTCTCTCTGTTTCTCTCTCTCTCAGTGGCTGCTCTGAGGCAGCTCCTGATCAATCACATGGCCAGTCAGGAGGAGGCAGAAAGGGACCGAGAAAGAGGGGAGGTTCGAGAACATGAGCTGAAGACAGGCTCTCGGCAGGGTCCAGAGGACTGTGCTGCCCCCAGTGGCGCAGTCGAGAATGGCGCAGAGAAGACCGAGGCGGTGCAGACCAGGCCAGAAAACACTCAGGAGCTGCCCTCTGGAGATACAGGCTTCTTCGAGACTTCAGAGGACTATGGTGAGATCACATAGACATCCTTGTTAGGGCACTGTGGTATGTCCACCTGTCTGTCTGCCTGTTTGTCTGTCCATCTACAAATTTCATTTACTCCCCAGGGTATTTATGCAAACCAGGTGACCCAGCAGTATCTTTTGAAATGTGAATCGAAAAGTCAAGATTGTATTTACTTCAGATTCCTTGTCTTGTGCCAACCAACACAGCCTCTCAGACCATATTGGATTTTGAGTTAATTTGCATAACCAGAAACAACTTATCCATGCAACATTGGTTTAAAAAATTCCATATTTGAATAAATGTAATTTGTAGAAGGATGCTAAGTAATAAATCGTGTTGACATTGGTAAACAGTATGATCAACACATGCTAATCTGTCATTCACATGTGGAGTTTTGCTAAAACTTTTGACAGGCTTAACAGTGGTGGGTCAGTTTTGTACTTCCTTCTTGTCAGTGTCATTTTTTAATCACTTGGCCACTGTAGGAAGCTACTCATGTTTTCATCTGTTAAACTAAGTATATCATCATTTGTGTCTCCATTTTTGTTGTTTATTTTTTGACACAGTGTCAAAATACCAGTAAAATGGTTCAAAATGGCTTGGAATAAAGTCTACATTAACATCCATTGAAAGTCAAGGACATTTTTTTATTCTCTTGCAAAGTTACCATTTTGGAGATGCAAGGTTTTTGTCTGACAGCAACCATCTGTGCTGCTCTATTTACTTTGTGGACATGTTATTACCATCAAAAGATTTGCCTCTGTGAGCTAAAACAGAAGTGTTTTTCTGTGTCTTGCAGAAACTCCTCACATCTTGAATTTTTTTTTTCCAAACTAGCCCTAGACATTCACCACTCTGTCTTGAAATTGTCCGTTTTTGGTTTTTTCGTTGTTTTGGTTGTATATGCAGTTTAACATGGACGTTTTTGTCTATGGCTGTGTAAAGATTAAAAGATAATCCCATCATATTGTTATTGCCCTTTTCTCTCTCTCTCTCCCTCCCCCTCTGTCTCTCTCAGCAGGCAGTTACATGGTGCTGGAGGGTTATGGTGGCTCGGGTGAGAGCAGTACTGATGATGATGTTCAGGGCAGCAGCATTGAGCCGACGGCAGCGGGAGACTCCGGCATCGACCTGAAGAAGCTCCTTTCCTCCTCTTCCTCACAGAGCGGAGGACCCAACCTCAGCAGACAGGTCATGACCCACTTACGCCTGCTCCAGGCCAACCTGCAGCAACTGAAGGTAACAGCAGCTACACCAGAATTTGACAGTGTGCTGTATATATTGCTAATTTGAGTGTATATCTAGTGCTAAAAAAAGGAATAAGGGTAATGGAAATAGGAAAACGCAGGAGATTTTTTTGAACCAGATGCAGGTTAGCTGACAGTGACTTCATCAGTGTGGTGTTTATACTGTTGTGCTCAACTCTGATCCTACCACTTGAATTTCCTTTCTGTAGGATGTAGAAACTAAATATAACCAGCTATGCCAAAAGCACCCAGAGGAAGCAGCTACTGACTCAGAAGAGAACAAAGGTACTACTCCGCTACATTTGCCTTTATTTAGCCTTTAGAAGCTTTGCTATAGCAGCAGTATGACATATCGCTGCTCTCGGAACCAAACCTCATCTCCATTTGTGTCATTTTTTTCAGTTTTTGATATAATTTGGAAATGTTTGTTGTCCTTTACATTTTGTATACATTTCATGATTAATGACCTGAAATTACTTGCGGTCTGGTTCCATTGACTTACATTAAAAGTAAAGTAGGTTTTTTCCTTCTCCTGTAAAGTTACCATTTTGGTAAAATGCTTTGTTCCAACAGCAGTGATATGTACTATTAATCTACTTTAATGTTTATGTATTTTTGCATTTGTCTCAATATAATGTTCAGATTAAAAAAAAACATCTTGTCTATTTACAACATTACATTTCACAGATGTGTTGATTTGGAAGATGAGAATCTGCACTTTCAATAGAATTTCTTTGCTTGTTTCTATAAGCTATAAGTGGAAAATATATCGATCATGACTGTGATTTAGAACACTATCCATACACATCCACATCTAAATCTTTAACTCTGCACTTTTGTTTTCCTCTGTCGCAGATAAAAGCTAGTGTTTCTGGACCTGTGGACTCCATGCTGGATGTACAGGAGATGCAGAATCATTAGGAAAGTGCTGTAGTCCTTCTACTCCAAGCTCAACACACATGACTCTTAAAGCATATCAGTTACCACACTCGGGCAACGATTCCCCCTTCCCAATCCACCCACACTCCAGCACACCCTTGAACACATTTTCCCAGCACATTCCGGCAGGAAAAAGATGATGGCATTAAGACGTTCCATCACCTCTCCATCTACCAGCTGTTTATTGGAGTCGTGGATATTTAGATTGAACATTCCACTTCCTGTCTGCATGCACCGTCGGCCCTTTGAAATTCTCCAAAAACTCGTAGCGCAAAGCCTCCTTCTGAGTCAACACTGTGCTTGGACCGAAACGAAGGGAAGAGAAGATGATGGCAGGATATCACCGTGGATAAACTACAGCCTGAGCTGGCACTTCCCCTCTTCTACTGAGATTTCACTGGTTGTTGTTTGAGGGAAGAAATGAACTGATGGTCCAAAATGTGTCTCATTGCTGACTGGATGAGATTAGGTTTGATATTATAGCCAATAAATATACCAGGTGTAGTTTTGAGGTTGTTTTTTAGGCCTTTAGCTAAGCCTTAGACCTCAGTTACAAAAAAAGACTAAATCTGATGCGTGAAATGTCCTTCATAAGGACTGCCTAATACCACAGCCTACTAGTTCATTCCTTATTGTGTATGGATATGAATGTTAATGCATGGTTGTGAGGAACAGTGATGGAATACTGCCACCTAAACATGGAGTTACAAACACCTAAAATTGGACCACTAGTCATTTTATTCAATTGAGCAGGGCAAGGCAGTTCCCTTGAGGCTTTAGCTCATAGGATAATGCTATTAAATTAGTTCATTAAAGCTCAACCAGATATGCTAAAATGGCTAGCAATGAATGAAAGCATTTGCACAATGCTGATTGAATGCTATTCACTTTCATTCAGTGTTAGCAACGCTAGCCTTTCTGACTGTTCCTTAACAGTAGTGGCTGTTAATTCCCACAAGGCCTACAATCCAGGTTCCTTCTTATAAAGTTATTTTTGAGGTTATATATAAAAGGGTAGAATTCTGAATCCTTTTTACTCCCAATAAAAGTGAAGGGCCAAGATGAAAAGGACTATATTGTACTGCTGTTACTGGGTGTAGGGATAAAGTCTAAACGTCAGTATAGAAACTGTTACAGTTTGCGGTTTGGAGCGCCTCACCTCGAAGTTCTCCGAAGGGACGTTTCAATCTCCTCCCCAACAACCTGAAGCCTTCGTCTGTTAAGCTTTCGAAACTGTATTTATCGTCGTCTGCGGGCTGCCTCTCTTCTCTCCACTCTACCACATTCTGTTGAATGAAGCTACTGAAAATCTCTGGCATATCAGCAATGACCAAGAGAAAACCAGACTCATCCTCGGCATCATGGGTTGAGGCACTATATACTGCTATTGTACAACCCAACCCAAACTGAAGTCTTATTGGATTATCACAGATTTTTGTTTTTTTCTGGAATTTGGGAATGAAGTTATATGAAGAGAAAAGCTTCAGAAAAGAATGCAAAGACTTGATAAAAGACCTTTTAGGGGTCTATTTTTAAGTGTAAAATTGTACAATTATGACCAACACTGCATCTCTTACAGAGACCTAATTCCTTGTTTTTTGTGTTTTTTCTTCTGCTTTCTACATCATACGAGTCATTGTATTATTTTAACAGAAACTACTAAAGGAAGAAAAAAATAAACGACTGCAAGGTATCCCTAAATATTAATGTAATCTGTATTTTTATTTTGTGTAGACATTCATGAGGTATTATATTTTATTATATTATTATTGAGCACTATTAATATGGTCTTTCGGCTTTCTGTTGGAAATATGAATAGCTCTAATAGATTCTATTAAATTTGACTGAACTGCTATATTGTTTAAAATGGAAAGAAATATTGCACACTGTGTCTTCATTTTATCACCTTATTTCAGAAGGAAGAGTGAAGGAGATGTTGCTTTGGGGTTTAATCACCAAAAGAACAATACCAGAACCACTTCATATGTTGCAAATTTATTCAATAAACTGGAAACGCAAACAGTGAATCTGACTTCTCATCCCAGTCACTACTTTCTGCACGCTTTCAGGTTTGGGAGGGGATCAGTTAAGAGATCTAAAAAAATAACTAACAGTACTCCTGCATTCATTCACATCACAAACTAATGTACATTTGAAACTAAAGATAATTCTCAACGTGAGAAATGTTTACAAACTATATTAGTCTGACAGCAACCAGGTCAGACTTTGTGTGTATTTGCTTGCTGTCAACCACTTGACTTTAAAAACAGGCAATATACAATACAGATGCCTTGTTGATATTCCTGATTCCAGCTTTGGCCTCTGCAAAAATGCCTGGATCTGGTACAGTTTCACACCCTAATGTCTGTAGCCCTGTTCATACCTGGTATTAACAGCTGTCTCATGTGACCTGATGAGACCTGTTGTTTATACCTGGCACTTCCATGGGTCTCGACTGCAAGTCCAGTGACCGCTTTCGATCTAATTTCATAACTGCTGTGATGTCGTTGTTTAGGTGGTCCTGCTCTCAAGGACTCATCAGCGTTCGTATTACAAATGTTGTGTGGCTATACAACAGACCACCTTCAGAGGTTGTTTGAGTGATCCGACCTCCAAGTTGCAATGGAACCCTTTCACACCTGTTTTCACACATTATGCTGCTGTCCACTTAAGAATGGACAACGCATCCGCATGTTAATGGCAGGTGGGCCTCTGTGTTCAATTTGCTGGGGAAAAAAACACCTGGAATCCAAATGTACCCAGAAATCCAGACCACATGTTGTTCATAAGTCTCCATTACTTAGGTGTTTCTGCTTCTTTGTTGCCTTCCCTCCATAGTCCCTCTTTCTCTTCTGTCCACTTTTAGCCTCCTCTTGTCTGAACTGATGCCTGAAAGAACAAGCGTAACGGTTGGGACCTGCCCGTAACGTCAAAACCAAATGAAGTCTATTAACGCTGAGGCTGAACTCACCTGGACTGCCAGCGCCTGCCGCTGTTCCACACTCGTCCAAAAGACGGCAGCCAGTTGGCACCTGTGTGAGAGCTGTGGTCGAAGTTGGCCCCCACACGGTTGGGTGGGAGTTTTTTAAGCTTCTCCTGCTGTTCTGTGAAACAGTTTGAGAGAACTTAGCTTCAGGACAACCCCACAAAGCCAGACAAAATAACAAAACACTAACATTGCGATGAGCAGTACACAGATACCAGGCACAGTACCGTCTTTGGTAAATCTATCTGTTTAAACACTACCAAACTTTACACAAAGAATGAAGGAAAACATTAAAATCATCTCCACATGTTAGAATACGACAGTCATTACTGGAAGACAGGTCATGGTGAGTTATGGACCCAAGTGCCTTAAATCAAAAATTTAAACTACACATTTTCCCTCTTACTCCAAATTTAGTTAAACAGACAAGCCACGTCTGAAGTCTATACTCCATCAGAGGTGTCTAAGATTTTGGTCAGAGGTTCTAACCTGCCTGAAGTTTACCACGCACTGGATTAGAAGTGGCACGCCACCCAGCACAGTACAAAACCTCAAGCTCAAGTTTGTTTTATACCCTATTCGTATAGATTCGATGGAATAACAATTTCAATATCATGTAGTAAATTTATCAGCTAACTAGCTCTTCACAAAGTTGCTGACCTTGAGCTGAAAAGGTACAAGGTGAAAAACATCACGATGTGCCTAAGCTACTAACGCTAGCTAAGGTAACAGATGATTAGCCTTAATCCTCTTTAGATCAACGGCCTTTCTTGGAGTTTCCAAGATTTCTGCAAACTTTTCAAATTTTTTGAATAATGCCTTATAAATTTGAATATTAAATCTGACAAAAACCCTTCGCTACTTGTTAGCTACGTTAGCTTCATAGCAAAACTAAAGAAGCAAACATAATACACCAAATGCATCTTGGCTGATTATATTATTAAATATATTTGGGGTCAGAGGAGTGGAATTATTTGTTAAAGGTCTGCCTGGGCTGGAAAATGTATCACCTGTAGACAGAAATTACTATTATGACAACACTGATTAGTAACTGCTTACTGTGTTTAAGGAACTCCTGTACAGAAGGGCCAATCTCCTGTTTTGAGCTCCCTGCTGACTCATCCTTGGGGTCCTCCAGCAGCCATGGAGGCACAGCTCCTACAACCAAACTCATGCAGTGAGCCTTTAACAATATCCAACCACAAACTTCATACACATCAGTATTTACATCATTCAACCGATGTTTCACTCACCTGTGTGAACATTCCCACTGCCGGAGTCCTTCATATGAAAACATGACACATTAGCTTCTTGAGACAAGAACGACAAGTAATCAAATGCAAATGGTACGACAGCACAGGAGATCCACAGAAGTTACCTGATAGCCAATGAAAGTGAGGCCATGTCCCATTTCTGCCATAAAGGGGTCCTCGTGACTGGGACCTGCATGCTCACCATGTCCATACGAGTGAATGTGAAAGCTTTCTACCATGTCTGAATTCATGCTATTGAGACACAAAAGGCATCAAATCTGGTAGGAATAGTCAGACCAAGAAAGACATTTCTAAAAAGGAATGGACGATACAACAATATTGTTATTGTGACAAATGTCAAGTAACAATGTTCTTTCCTGAGCATATCATGGACATCAGTACTTGACACTGATTAACTGCTTCATTACAGAGAGAGCATCACTGGTCCTGTTTAACTGGATTTAGTGCAACATAGTATTTAAACGTACTACATTAAAAACAACAATTTATCAAACCTTAAAAATTAATAGTGATGCATATTATCGTAAAAAATGTCATACATAGTGTCATACTGTACTGATGTCATATCACTCACTCCTAATGCATAGTAACAAGTAGCTCATCAGATGCTGAACAGTTTTTTTGTCCTTCAAGTTCCTTCTTAATTTTACTTAAATACAAACCTCAGAAAACTAGATGTCATGTTGCATATTGAAAATGTCTTGAAGTATCACAATACTTCACCCCTATTTCCAGACCATCTTTACTACACTGTTAGTAATAAAGGTTCTGTGCTGGTACACTTTTCATTCATCAAGGTACAAACAATGTAAACGTTCCCTCAAAAGGTACAACAGTGGTTTTAAGGCCCAACTTTCTCTTAAATTTGTTTTTCCCAGGTGAAAAGGTACAAATATATACTTTTCATAACCCAATGATTTAAAACAGAACAATAAAATAAAAAGTCTGGAGACGAGACGGGGTGTGTTGAGTCAATACAACTTAGAAAATATCATTTCAGTGGATTATGGTACAATTATGTTCCCTGACTAAAGGTACTGAGATGTACCCTTGAGGAAACCACCACAGTGGCAATTTCATACCTTTTTTTCTGAGAGTGTACGTTGAACCTACTATATTATACTAAATTCAACATTCCTGGCATTGTCAGTTTTTTTTATATTGTGACCCAGGCTATTTATTTAGACCAAACCAATATGAAAATTGTCACAAAGGCAGATGTTAAGGGGCTAAAAAATCTGGTAACTAAGAATATCACCTGATATAATTTTATATGGTCAAATATTAAACAGATTCCAATAGCTTTAGTTATGCAGTGCTTTACTGAGTGTCATGATTATCAGCTGTCAACTGTGAACTGTCATACCTGACTGTTAGTTCTCAACTGTCAACTTCTTAAATTAAAAAAAAACAGCAGAATCTCATGGTTATAAAATAATTTAAAACTGTAGCACAGTCAGAGTTAAATCCATATTCCCCAATACTGGCCTATTTTATCAGTGTAACAGTGGCATCCAATATATTTTTTTATTATACAGGTTACATCGAGAGAGACATTCAGTGCATATTTGCTATCATTTCACATCTACCTACATCGAATATACTACATTGAAAATTTCTGGCATTGCCCATTTTCATATAAGTGTAAGCATGTGGCTCTCTTACCAGGCTGTCTGCTCGGTGTTCTGCTGGCCCTGTTCAGCAGACTGCTGCAACTCTGGATCAGGCTGGATTTGATTCAGGAAATATCAACAGAAATGACTCTTTCAAATAATCGCCTTTAAAATTGCATCACACAAGCTTGTGGAGATAAATTAGCCTTGCAGCTCCAGCGCAAAAGTACAAAAGCACAACTTCAAACACCAAACATATCTAGGCTGATCAACTACTTTCAGTGTAAGAAGAAAACTGGGTAAATACTGTCGCTTTGAGTTACAGATGTGAGCTACCGCTAAGCAAACATTTCATATAAATCTTTCACTCATCGTACATCTGCAACTGCTATATATAGAATTGTGCTTTCATTAAAAGTTGTTTGAAAATTGCTGGGATGTGGATACGGTTGCTTCATTCCAGGAAAACAAACCTCTATTAGAGACTGCAGGACCTCAAGCCTGTGACGCTCCTGAGATCTGATAATGGCAGCTTGCTAGAGAAAACAAAAAATAACAATAATAAACCACATTAGTGTGTAAAATTCAGTAATTACATTATTACAACTGTAATTCAGATTTACTGAAATGTTCTGCACACTAAACTTGCCTCTTTTATCAGTGTGTCCTCCTTCTCTTCATACTGGTCAAGAGCTTTGGCGACTTCCGTCTTCAATCTACAAAAACGTTTTACACTTACAATCTCAAGATGCATGGAAAATTGTGACATATGAAGGCAACAAGCTTATTATACCTTTCGGCCTCTTCCTCTGTGATGATGAATTTTTCTTTCAGTTTGGGATCTGCTTTATTCCTCCACCAGAAAGCGTGCGTGTTGGTGCGGTGTTCACGGCTAAGGGGAAACAAAAAAAAAAAAGTTTTTTTAAATTAGAACCACAAGATGCACAGGACGTTTCCACAGTTAAAGAAATATTTTAGTGAAATACTGAGTTCTCCTTATCCTCAAATGCAGTGGATCTCCCAAGAGATTGGTGTTTGGTGTCTGAAGTTTGCTACAAAGCTCATGAAGCTAACAAGTGATAGACACTCAGCAATTAGCACCGTATAAAACCACATGTCTAAATCAAAGTCCGTCTAACAAAGTCTAAAAGTCAAAATTGCATGTTTGCATCTAACTGTCAAGTCTTATTTAGACTTGCTTATGTGGTTTGACATCATACGACATGCTGTCATTTCTAAAAATTACAGCGGTTTGCTAAAAACAGTAGCAGCCATTCTGAAGCCTGAACTTTGTCTATGTTGGTTTTTTTAAAGTCACAGGAGCTGATGCTGATGCATCAGAAACCACAAAAGCAAGTCTATTTCAGATTACTAAAAACTCCTCGCTGTTTGAGGCATGCAGTCTGCATGATGCTCAATGTATACTTGATAGCTACATTAGCCTCATAGCTCCAGAGCAAAACTAAAAAAAGCAAACTTTAGACACCGAAGCTGTTTTCGTAATGTGAATTGGATTTTACTACTGAAGTCACAAGTGACAGATTCAGACAGTGCCTTACGTGCTCATGTGCTCCAGCAGTGCTCCATGCAGCACCGTGACTCTGCCATCAGTGACGTGTTTCTGAACCTCCACTCCACAACAGTAACACCAGAATTTCTTATCATGCTCAGTAGCATCGTACTTCTCCACCTGAGGATGTTTAATGGTCCGTCGTGCTTCCTTCACCTGAGCACAGAACAGAAAATGAATGTAATTAGAAGGGACTCAAATCAAGTGGAAACTTTCTTTACCCAAAAGTGTAAATACTCACCTACAAAAATTCTCGGTCAAAAGGGTAAATATTTCAATTGTTTTTTACTTAAGTTATTTCCAATGCCAATCAAAGATGAAGAAAAAAAAATCCCCAAATAAATAAAGAGATTATTAATCCATTTGTTAGGAATTTGGTTCCTTAAACAACTTTTTTTGATATATAATGAGTGAGTAAAAGTTCTAAATAAAAGAAACAAGTAATATGCAGACACTTGAAAATAGATGTTTAATAGACTCAATCCTTTGTATCTACAAGTCATCCATAAGCTAATACAGTAATGGAATAGTCTTTAAGGTGGCACTGGATATTCTCCTAAGGGATAATGAAGAGGGCAAGGTGATGAGGGAACATTGAAACAGCACTGAAACTGAAGATCCTGTGCGAAATATTTCTGCTCAAAATTGTGCTCAGGAATCTCTGCAACTGTTTAACATGTTAGTATTTTAAAATCCAAGGAAAGTCAGACAGTAAAAACATTTCAGTCCTGCCTCAATGAACATGTTCTCATTTTTGTTCACTCCAATGCACAACCAGGGTGTGTTTAATAAGGGAATCTATTAGGATGCAGAAAGCCCATAATCACCATTTCAGCTTTACTAAAAATGTATCAGAATATGCATGTTTGTAACAATTTGGGGAAAATATGTAACGTTTTTCTGATTAATACTGTGACTACAGTATTCATTTAATAACAGAACTGTTTTTGTGGCCAAGAAGACCAGAGTATCTACTGCCAGTGAGTTGTGGTTGTGATGTCACAACACGAGGAGGTTTGACTGGATCTAACTGGTCCAACATATCTACAGACAGTTCACCAGTTCTGTGTTAAAATTTCCCCAATTTAAAACAAGACATTTTGATAATGTTGGCTATAATTTAAAAAAAATTGCAGCTATTGCAATTTGCAAATTACACTCAATATAAAATATTTCAATATAAAAATGATTTATATTTCAGCCCTGGTTTGTAAATATCAGAGATATGGGCATATAATGTTTCATAAAACATGACTAAGGCAACAGTGGGACTGAAACATGGGGGCCATGGAGTTGTTTCTTATGAAAACTTCAATGAAGGAAAATAAGGTCCAGCGACTATAGGGCTATATCCAGAACTGGGGGAAATACAGGACATGGGGAACACAGGGCATCACTGAGGAGTTAAAAGCGCTGGCCAACATCACACAATTCAGATAGTTTTGTAACTACTGTCTAGCAAAACACTTTAAAGCATTTATTTTAGTACTCCCACGCTTAAGTAATGGTACAAAGATATTACAGTGTGTTTTTGAAACACAGCCCTAAAGAAATGTCCAAACTATGACAGGAGAAAAATTAAATTCGCACTGATGAGATTTGACCAGTCAACCACCCGGTGTAGCACTGGATATGCTTTCGTTATTCTGGGATATTCAGAGAATCAGCACTACCCAACGAAGCTGAAGTCAGCTTCTAACTTAGTTCGAGTCTTCCCGTTTCACCTTAACTGCTACCCATTTAAGGTGGAACGGGAAAATACGAACAATCCTCTGTCGAATAGGTGGCCAACTTCAGGCTCGTCAGTCTCCGTGCAGCTCAGACAGACGCCGCTAGGTTAGCTAAGCTAACTAGCTAGCTCACTGTTTTCCGGCCAGTCCGCTGTAAGGCGCTCACCTTCTCCAGGAATTTAACCAGAACTACTTTAAGTTTGCTCTGGTGACTTTTCCCATGGATGTGTCCTTTTCCTGAGAAATCCGTTTGGCGACATATCTCACAATAAAACGCCCCCATTTTCACTCCTCACTCCACACAAACACCGCACTGGACACTTACTGCTGAACGTCTCGCCAACATGCTCGGAAGCTATTACTGGCCCCTACTGGCTTGGAGGGACCATTACAAAAACATTCACAAAACATTCGGTTACCTGCAAATAATAACAACATATTTATTCTCAAAATAAAAAAGGTGACAAAAACACGACACATCAAGCCATGGAAAAATAAACACAAATGAAAAACTTTTCAATTTCAACAGTTTTTCCACTTGTGCTCAAACTGGGTCTTCTCAAATCTTTGTGAGGCACCTCAACCAGACTACAACTCAAACAGAGCCTGAATCATATCTGTCAAAGAGAGAAAAAAAGACTTTAAAACATAAGATAAGAACAACTAATCATCTTATACAACGTTTTACTGGTTGAGCTTCTATATAAAAATGCACGCTATTGCACAGCTCACAGAGAGAGGTATAGTGTGCCTACCTTAGGATAGTTAACAGTTTTAAAAATAAATAAATAAATAAATAAATAAATAAACACACACACCTTTTACTTATTAAAACTAACTTGTACACTGCGTGTACTACCTAAAAAGTATGTATGTCTAATTGTTTACATTTTAAAAAAATACAGATATAAAAAAATACACACTACATATTACACACTACCAATTTTTTTTTAATTTATGTATAATTCCGTCATTAGGATGTGAACAAAGTTATTCAGAGTGGTTTGATGTAAAATGGTTCACTGTAGAGAAACTTGCCAACTCATTTCTTTACAGTGGTGGTGAGAGGAATCACAGATCACAATGTCTACAACACAAATAGTAGTTTACAGCCCAAAATAAGCAGTGAACCAACACGTCTTAGTTTATATATTAAACACTGTTTTAACCCAAAAGCGTACCTCAAAACTATCATGAAATAGTGTTTCAGATAGCAGTGTCAGGCAGTGTATTCATAACCATTTCGTGTTATAACTTTCTGAGAGGGAGCTTTTAGAAGCTTTAAAACATTTCAGACGTCTGGTTTCCATCACCACCAACATTGGAACATTACATCAGGCAGGATCTCTGAGCTCCATTTAGGTTTATACATATTTCAGATGTAGAACAACCAAAAAGATACAAGTATGTATGCATGAAGAGCTTTCTTTAAATTTGTCTGCTTTCAGTGTAGCAAGCATGACTCCACCTGCATGACTCTCTTACCTGGGTAGTTCATGCTTCTCTTCAGCATCCTGAAGGAGTCTGCAGTAAGTGTATGGATTTCGTTCCTCAGTCTCCGCCGGCCGTCTAGGGTCAGATGCCATAGGCACGACTTCCTCTTCCCCTCTCCAGTCACCTGCTGTGGGGTCTTCTTGAAGCTGTTGCTAAAGCACAGATTGTGGCGGATGGTGTTTTTCCAACCGTCAGGAGCCGTCAGGAAAAAAGGGAAGTGCTCTCTGGAAAAGAAAGAACATTCATGAGATCCATAGTGGAGTAACTTCCAGAGTCATTTAAACAACAAGGGCTTTAGAGTGGAGATACTGGAGAGTTAAATAGAGAATCAAGTTCAAATTTCTGCATAATTAAACAAAGTGTCTTAGAGTGGTTTGATGCCACCCTAAAGAAACTGACTTAGTTGTTCCCAGGGGTGGTATTAGCAACTAGATTTCCGATGTCTCTAAAAGCTCCCCCACAGAAAGTCATTATATGAACTAGTTACAAATACACTACCTGACGCCTGTGACAGTTTTACAACAGTTCTAAGATCAAGTTTTGGCCTAAAACATTTAAATTTCATTATGGCAGAGAAGGTAGAGAGGGCAAAGTTGCATTATGGCATTGTAAGGCAAAGCAGTCATAGACATAGGTTTGCTGATCATTTTGAATAGATAGAATGGCTATATTTGTGTTGCAGACATTGTGGAACTGTAAAGAAGTTGGTAAGGTTCTCATCAAATCTCTCTGAATGACTTTGTTTACATCTCAACAACTGAATTATGGAGAAATGAAATTAAATTCCCTCTGTACAGAGCAGGGGCTGCACTTCAAGGCCCTGGCCACCAGGGGGCCCTGGGGGCACAACAGTAACAGTAAAAGCAACTGAAAAATGTACTTTTTTTCTGTTTTTTTTCTGTTGCCGGATCAACATTTCTCTTTTGTGATTAATATGTGGTGAGTTGGTAAGAGGTCCCAGTCAACAGGTAATCTACACAGAGTCCCACCTTCATTCACCTTGTGAAGTTGTAGATCTGCTGGACGTTCAGGCTCCCAGCGCGGCTGCTGCTCAGCGCCATGGCGATGAGGATACAGTAGTTGACAGGCGGCCGAGGCCACGCCCCACTCTTCAGGTTTCGGCTGTCCTGCAAGACTCTCTGCAGTCTCCGGCTCTGAGCCAGGCCCAGCCTGCGTGAGGATGGTTCTTTTGGGGCTCGGCCCTTCCGAGCACCTTTCACCTTACGGCAGATCGGCACATCCACAGAGGATGTGTCATCATCTGTCAGCTTGAGCAGCAGAGGGGTTGGGTGAGGTTAAATCACAATGACGAGTAATCCACTCAGATACAAAACTATTTGAAGCTACTAGTTGTGCAGGAAGTTTAATAAAAATAATTTACTCAGTTTCCCCCTTTACCCCAAATATAGTCAGTCAATCAGCCAAGACATGTTTGTTGTCCTAAGTTCACTTCTTTAGCTACAAAGCTAACATAGCCAACAAGTAATGGGGAGGGTTATATCACAGTCCTTATAGGAAAGTACACTTGGCAGCCATCTTTGCCACACAGACTCCCATCTCTTTGAATAGACCAAAGAACTCAAAACTGAAGGTCAATTTACTGTTTTAAAAACATGTGAATCATTGGTAAAATCTGACAAAAACCTCAGAAGTAGTCTGTAGCATTTGGTAATGCACAAAAACGTTTTTCTGGGTTGTTTTGGCTACTGCGCATGCATAGATCTCCACAACAAGGCAGGTTTTCCCAGCTAGCGGCACAACTAGCAAGCTGATTGGCTTTTAAATCAAAGGGCGGGACTTCCCCTCATAAACAGACATCATGTTGAGCATTACAAGCTCTCTCGTATTTCAACCAGTGACTGGTCACTTCATTTACAACATGTCTGTTTATATGCCATCAACTAGCATTGTGCAAACAGCATGCCTAAATCGTCACACACTTTCTGACACTGAATTACATGCTGTTATATATAAAAATGGATAAAAAGTACACTAGAAAAGCAATAGCAACAGCCATATTAAAAGCTGGATTTTGACCATTTTTATTGACAACGTTATGTCAGTGTCAGGAACCATGCAAGCAAGTCTATTTGAGACTACTGGCAACTTGACAAGTGCATCATGATTCACTACAGTTATGTAGATGCAGTTTTGCATGATGCTGATTGTTGAGCTGTATGTTTTCATTAGCTACATTAGCCTAAGTTACTAGCTCCAATTGCAAAAATAAAGAAGCAACTTCGAGATGCCACACAGGCCTTGGCTAATCAACTATATTTGGCGTAAGTATAAAATATTCTTCACCAAACTATTCCTTTAAAGCCACCAGCTTCTGCAGGGAGTTAACAAACGAAAACGTACCATCACCAAAATAGTAACTTTACAGAAAAAGGAAACTTTTAAATGTAACAAGACTTTATTCTAAGTAATTTTGGAACAGTTATAAGTCCATTCATCATGAAATGATCACACAATGTATGGGGCAGCTGATATTTTGAAGTTATGTTTAAATAATTGAATACGTTATATAAATTGCTCATTCATGCTGTGCTACTTGATAAACATCTGGGATGTGAATTGATGTGAAATTTGCAGTACGGAGGCTTGGACGTAATAAGAACTGGTATTTTCCCTGTCAAACACTAACTGGGGGAAGGAACCAGACTGCAAATCTGGGGGGTATTTTACATAGCAGGATTTCTCAGTTAGCCAGAACACTTAAGCCCACAGTTAAGGACTGTCCAATAGGAGTGTCCCTCAGCTCTTTTCCTTTTGGACAGGCTTCATGTTGGGCTTAAGTTATCTGGCTAAACTGCTTTGTGAAATATCTCCCTGGACCTCTGGGGCTGAGATGAGACTGTTAAGGGAGTGGTGTCTTTTTAAAGCCTCACCTGATATTCACTTGAGAGAGAGGTGTCATGCAGTGACTCATCCAGGCAGGTCTCATCAGGCAGTGGAAGGAGGTGCAGGTTTCGTACAGGTGCAAGCAGGGAAGGACTTGGGACAGGTGTGTCCATTGTCAGTTTTGGGAGTGACTGCTTATTGGCATTAGGGTATTTTATGGGGCAGGCTAGATTGGGGTTCACCATCAGCCACAGACTTGGCTGTATTAGAGATTCTGTAAGTCAAAAGTTAAAAAAAAAAAGAGTTATGGCTGAAAGTTTAATGCAAGAGATCTTCAGGAGTGCCCAAGTGAGGAAATGTAAAAAGCAAGGGTGGGCAATATGACGATGTGTCATTATTGTGAGAAATTATGTCACAGTCCTTTTTACTGAGTGCATTGCAGGTATATTATATTGTCAATGTATCAGAATATTATCAGTATTTCAGGAACATGTTTGGTAAAAATAAAATAAAGATTTAGACCAGTTGTAGAAAGTGAAAAACAATCAGTGGTGGGTCATTCCATGAAGATGCCATGCCATCTGAGTCCACAGCATTAGTTGCTAAGTGTTTTTCACGCTTTTACATGGCTGTGTACACCAGGGGTGCCCACACTTTTTGCATAGTGGGGCCAAAGTGAAAGATGTGTGGTGGGCCAAGAGCCCAAAAAAATCCAAAACAGTACACAAATAAAGAGGTTAGACTGGTTTCAAATTAAGTTCTTTAAAAAGTATTTTTAACACTAGATTTTGTTCCTAAATACTTCAGAATTTTTTTAAAGGACAATAATAAGCTTTAATAAGCTAAACAGTATACAAATATGTTTGTTCTCTTATTGGGTGAGGGGTAGGGTTAGGGAAGTTTCTGGTCGGCCAAATCAAACGTCCTTACTGGCTACATTTTATAGTACAGACGGTCATTAAAAACATTACTAAATAAAAGTTAAACTTTTGCCATGCTCAGATGTATCCATTTCAACATTAACAGTACATATAACTAACATTAAAGCAGTAAGTAAGTGAAGTAAAACTAAGTCAACTTTAAGAATTTATCTGTGTGCTTTTTCCACCCCCTCAAACCTTAAAAAAATCTGATGGAATGACCCTGATGTCACATGGTCAAAAACTGTGTAGTAACAAGTAGCTGTTGGATGTCAGCCTGTTATGGCACATCTTAATTTTCATCCTGCTCCTTATTATACAGAGCCCCTAAGGTGACATGGTGATTATTTTTAACAAGGTATGGGCATGAATTACTATACTGAGGTCAGGAATTAATATATTAAGGCCACAGGTTTCTTAATATATAGTTTTTCAGCATATAGTTACTTCTGGCCTCAATATACACTGTTAGAAATAAAGGTGCTGTGCAGGTGCATTTTTTTTATTTATCAAGACGCAATAAAAATGTACTCTCAAAAGGTCCAACAGTAGTTTTAAAGCCCAATTATGTGCCTTAAATAAGTTTTCCCAGGTGGAAAGTACATATTTGTACCTTTTCACAATGTAATGTTTTAAAACAGAAAGAAAAAATAAAAAGCCTGGACACAAGACGGGGTGTGTGGAGTCAATACAACTTAGAAAATATTTCAATGGGATTATGGTACAATTATGTTCCCTGACTAAAGGTGCTGAGATGTACCCTTGAGGGTACCACACCAGTGACAGTTTCATACCTTTTTTTTCAGAGTGTAGCAAACTGTAGCCTCAATATAGTAAACTGTGGTCTTGACAGAGGAATTCATGGCCTCAATATATGAATTTATGCCTTATTAAAAAAATAATCACAATGTTACCTTAGGTACTCAATATGATCACATTAAAATCACTGCATTGTTTCAGCATTTTGATTTAGTGTTTTTTAATGTGATACATTTTAAGTATCGTGAAGGTCTTCTGATATCGCGGTATCAGCTCTGTGCCACATCGCCCACCTCTGGTACTGAGTCAGTGCGCACCTGGACGGTCAGCGGGGCCTTGGTTCACTTGGCTCATGTGGTCTCCTCCAGCTAAAGTTCTCCTGGAGATTCTGGCGTAATGCCACTGTGCCAGATACTGCTCGTTTCGTTTGTCGTCTGCTAAAAGTTTTTTTTACACGTTAACTCCTCAAAACAGCTTGTCCTCCGTCTGTTTTAACGTTTGAATTGTTTCGTACCTTGACAGAACTGGTCTGTTGTCGTCGTCAGTTTAATCTCCTCGTTCATGTCCCAGTCGTGCAGCCCTGTGGTTAAATGGAGGTCGAGGAATTTCTCTCTAGCTTGAAGCTGAAGAAACATTTTTGCCCTAATTCTGTCAGATTTACACGGTCAGTTTTCATGTTAAGAGGGGCATTCCTGAACCAGCTGTGTTATACGAGGAAACTGTTATGTCTGGTGAGCCATAAAAGGTAAATATACGTCGTAGCTACAGGTGCGGGCAATCACAGCCAAATGAGCAAACGAGGCTGGATTTCTGTTCCACCTTAAACGGTGTAGCAGTTACGTTGTGTCCTCTGTTCCCGCTGCACCGTTTAAGGTGGAACGGAAAACTCGAATAGGCGGCCAGGTTCAGCTCCGTGATAGTATTTCTGAAAGTATTTGCTGAAGGGTTTCCTCTTGTAACAGTGCAGGCCACAGCCTCCATTAGGTAGGTCTGAGCAAACCTGGCCTAGGCGAGTTTGAGTATGTCATGGCACGATTGGGCAGGCATTTGGCCGTAACTCCTAAAAATACACTTAAAAAATCAATATTGAACCTAAGATAACATGCAACCATTCAAGAATGCGTTGACCCATCTCAGGAATAATATCTCTTTTTTTTTTTTTTGGTGCAAGGTTTCCGACAGTGTCGACTGTCAACAACAGGGCTGAACAAAACAGGGTTGAGTTTTTAGCAAAGACTTGGCACAAAATATGGTTAGTTAGCATCCATGCTAATGGGGTGACGACATCAAGGACTTTACATTAATTTACTTAATATATCTATTTTTTCAATTAATAATGCTTTCGGTCTATGATTTGGGTAAAAATAATGAGAGAACTTTGCTTCTTCCCATTTTTAGGAAATTCAGGTGATGCTAACTCACTTGAACATCTCACTACTGGGACATTCCAGACATTTGACAGCAGTGAATGTGTTCAGGTTACAGGGCTGAGTGAATATTGTGAGACAACTAAATATACATTTTTGATAACCTACTATGGATGACTTATGAAGAAGTATTGTTTAGAGATGAGATGTTAAATGGATTCACACATTAATGCAAATTAAGACTTTAGAAGTACTTTAATAATGATATTTGATGGTAAAAGGTTATAGTGAGGTAGGGCAACAAAATATTTTATATATAAAGTGCTGTAGATAGATAGGTTTTATAAATGCTTTAAGTTCTGAAACATGGACATTGGGTGATGTGAAGGACACTTTTCCTATGTTCAAAATTACTGTTTAAGTATTTCAAAAACACAAAAAAACCCCACACATTATTGAGACAGAATGCTTTATTGAAATGATTATCAGCTTTGAAATACTTATTTTGGGGAGAAAAATATACAGACGAATACAACTCTTTTTACTACGCTGTTATCATTATATAGAAATTAACAGCACCCTCTTTGGACTCTTGAAATGTAGATTAAATATGAAAGAAAGAGTTAAAATTCTTATTTTGAGAAGACGTGTCTAGGCTCTTTTATGTTGGCTTAATTAATAGCACATGATAATTCACCCTCAGCATACCCTACATGTTTCTGAAGCGTATATATATTTATATGTGTAAAGACTTATTTCTTAAAGGAGTAGTTGAGTAATTGGCCTATTTTTCATTTCATGCTGGCCTAATGAAGACCTGTAAGATAATGACTGCATGTGCACACATCATATATTTAAAAAGTGTGCATATGAGAAAAGTGAATCTCTGAATGTAAAATGTCTCGGTTTCAACTAGTTGACATCACCGTACTGAGAATCAGGCAGATTAGCAGAAAGAACATAGCCAAAGACAAAATGACTGTGATGACCACCATCGCTCCACTGCGTGCTGGGAGGCCTTCATCAATGACATTGTAGTCAGACACTGAAAGCAGACCAGATGAAAAGACATTAGTTGAGTTTACCTTTTGTCTCATTGATTCTTTAAAGCAGCTGACATGGAATCCTTTCCCACCAGGCAGAAGAGAGAAAAATGCTTCTTTTTGCCTTCTTTTCTATTTTTGGCAGAGGTGCATGAAAACGACCTAGCGTCTTGAAATAATGACTTATTTTCTCAAAATGTTGACTTAATATCTCAAAATAATGATTTATTTTCTTCAACTGTTGGCTTAGTATCTTAAAATAATGACTTATTCTCTTTAACTATTGGCCTTGTATCTTAAAAAACTTAAAAAGTCATTATTTTGGCATAGTCACAGTTTCCAGACACTAAATCATTATTTCAAGAAAAAAGTCATAATTTCCACATAGTATATACACAGTCGAGTCACATTATTAAGACCCCCAGCTAATATCCAGAGTAACTGCTGTGTGCAGCACAGACAGCAGCTAGACGGGCTGGGAGTGACTCAATAAGGTCCTGGAAAGTTGTCACAGGTATCTGGAGTCATGCTAACTGCAGTGCATCCCACAGCTGCTGGAGGGTGCATGGGGGAGGATCCATAGAGCGAACACAATGATCAAGGTGGTCCCACAGATGCTGAATTGGGTTCAAGTCTGGGGAATTAGGGGGACAGGGTAGTACTTGGAAGTCTTGGTCATGCTCTTCCAACCAATGTCGGACATTTCTAGCCATGTCACATTGTCTTGCTGGAAGATCCCATCCACCCCAAGGAAGACAATCAGCATGTATGGGTGTACGTGATCTGCAAGGATGGATACCCAAATCGGTTGAGAGTGCCTTCCGCATTATATACCCACCAAGCCAGCTCACGACATGTGACTTCCTTCATGAGTTACGCGCTGCCGCCATCGAAAGTAGGGAGTGGTCATAATAATGTGACTCGAATGTGTAATTATTTTGACATAGTCAATAATTTTTAGAATTATTTCAAGATATTAAGTCAGTGTTTTGAGATACAAAGTACAAATTTGATGCCATATACAGAGAAGGAAAATGGGCTTCCATACAACTGACAAACACTTCAGTAAAAGGTTAAAATAATAGTTCAGTCAATAATATAATTTAAAGAGTTTTCAGTTTAACCCAAATGTCAATCAGCCAAGATGTTTTCTACTCCATTTGTATAGATAACAGTTTGTCATACAGTGTCAGGAACCACATAAAAGTATGTAAATATGATACTGTTAAACTGTTGCTTTAACCACTTGTTAAGTTACCTGTTCTTGTAGTTGCCAATATGTAGGAACTGTTGGTTGTTCCAATCTTGTAACGGAGCCTGAAAATAGAACGTAGCTGATTTAGCCAAAAACGCGCACACAGACTTACTTTCACATGTTGTCCATTGTTAATCAAGTTTTCAGACACTCACTTGTACTCTGTGCCGTTGGTGAGGTTCGTCACTTGGTAACCAATGTTTCTGCTGAGCGTGGCTGATCCAGCAGTGTAGACACCATTCGTGCAATTAATCGTGAAAATATTGGACAGAATCTCTGTGGAAAAAAAAGTTAAAGTAAAGCTTCAGTGCTTACCTTCACAACACAGCAAAGTGTTCAACAGAAGTAATTAGCAGTTAGAGTTACATCTACATCAAACTCAAAGTCTCATGTGAATGGACGTTGTCTGCATTTGCCCGTTGCTGGGGATGGGAGGATCGATACTGAAGAATCAGTACTGATTTTTCTTTGTGAGAATCAGTCCTTAGAAAAATACATATCAAGGTAATATTTGTTAATATATGTTATGTATTTTAATGAAATTGAATGTGTATACAGTGCTGAAAAAAGAACTGTAGCAATTATATGTACACACATAGGAATTATCCTTGTATATTGTGAATATTTGTGGCAATACGTACTGTTTTCTGTTAGCAATACATACTGTTTCTGCTAGCAGTACGTAGTATTTTCTATTAGCAGTACTAACTGTGTACTACTAACAATACATACTATTTTAGCAATACATACCATTTTCTCCTAGCAAATTCAGAATGTATTCTACTAGCAATACATACCTGTAAGCAATATATACTGCTTTTCTAGTAACAGCACATACTATTCTACTATTCTTCTAGCAGTACTGTGTTCTAGTAGCAAGACATGCTGTTTTCTGTTAGTAATGCATACTGCTTTCTGTTAGCAAAACATACTATTTTCTGTTAGCAGTACATGCTGTTTTTTACTGGCAATGCATACTGTTTTCTACTGGCATTACATACTGTTTTCTGTTAGCAATACATACTGTTTTCTACTGGCAATATGTACTGTTTTTTACTGGCAATACATACTGTTTTCTACTGGCAATACATACTGTTTTCTGTTAGCAATACATACTGTTTTCTACTGGCAATATGTACTGTTTTCTACTGGCAATACATACTGTTTTCTGTTGGTAATAAATGCTGTTTTCTATTGGCAATGCATACTGCGTTCTAGTTACAAGGACATACTGTTTTCTACTGGCAATACGCACTGTTTTCTGTTAGCCCCTACATGCTATTTTCTATTAACAAAATGTACTGTTTCCTGTTAGTAATACATACTGTTTTCGTTTGTGTTTGCGTTAAGGTACTCCAGGTCCACACTCTGGCCTGAATAGTTACAGGGAGGGAGGCTGAGCAGCAGAGAATCTGGGAAACGACCTGTGAGTACTCCGTCCTCAACCGTCAGCACTCTGGGTGCGAAATCTGTAATGCACATGTTAAACACACAAACCATGTATGAAATACGTCTCTGTTCATTTGTAAGGAATAATATAATGCAACTAATCATACCTTTTGAAACTACTGTGTTATGACAGATAAATTCACACAACACATCAATAACTAGACTGTGATATCCTGTAACCTGTCCTGGATATAATCTTCCTTCTTTTCTTTCAGAACTTGCAGTGAATGAATAACAGCAGCTTGTCGTGAATTCTGTTGATTTTGAGTTCCTCCATACCTGCATCGATCAAGGGAACAAATCCCCCAAGGACGAAGAGCACAGCTAGCATTTCTGCCCTTATCGTAGTTCTGTGTACAGTGCAGAGAGTTCTTGGGAAGAGAACAGCACGCTTGGAAAGAACACTGGCACAGCAGGATGGAGCGGGTGGAAGGGCCAATCGGATAGGAGGGTGAACAGGTTTGTCCAGGTGAACCTGAGATTACAGCAGTTCCTCCTTACACACCCTGAGGAGGACCGCTGTGTTACAAATCTGCTCTAACTGACAGAATGAGACTGTTTACACTTAATGCTTGTTTTTTTCACACAGGAATAGTTCAGTGACAGATCAAATTTCCACAGTTTTTCCTTTGACTGAAGTTTGCTTCTTTCGTTGTGCCTGTGAGATAGAAGGCTAATGTAGCTAGTAAAAAATGAAAGCTTATAGCCCAGCAGTCAGCGTCCTGCAAACTGCATGGCTAAGTAACTGGACGTCTCAAACTGCGGAGTTAAGTTATCTCAAATAAACTTGCTTATGTGGTATTTGACACTGTATGGTACTATTATATAGAAAGGACAAAAATGCATTGCATAGCTAAAAAAAAAAACAACTTTTTTTATCTTTTGTCAGGTGCAAAACCAATGAACTAATTAACTAATGATGATCACTTACGGCATGGAGAAAATGGTGTTAATTTCATTTGTTTGCCTAACCATTCTCCTAAAGGGCCCATTTTCTCCATTTTACTTGTATTTTAGGTTTTTTTCCCTTGAAGTCCCCTCACATTGGTGAGGTTTTGTTTAACAAAACAGTCACAGTTCATTTTTACATGACCATTTTCCAACCTCTCTTTATCTCTTAGAATCAAACTGGCAGTTTTTGATTCTAAGAGATGTGCCCTTGAAGACTGATATTAGATAAGCATTCATATCCGTGTGGACAAGCACGTCTATGTGTGTTAGCACGAGATAATTTTACTGTGTGGTTTAGACAAAGATTCAGCTCATCCCTTCAGCCAACGGTGCTGAAAAGCAGACAAGTATTCCCATTTTTATTTAGTTGTAGATAAATCTTTACTGTAGTCTTCACCATCTGTGTTGTCCCTCTTTCACGTAAATGATATAAATGGGGAGCACAGTTGGTATCTGTCATCAATGACAGTGATTAGTTGTTGCAGTCCTAATATGGAGACAGCATTATATCATATTGATATAACATATTGTGTGTTCATATACCGCTAGTTTAAAGGGGACAGGTGTTTGAAGATTCAAAACATTAGGCTCATTGAGATTTTCACCCTTTACTGCAGCATGTGTTACTGCCCTCTAGTGGAGGCTAACTATGTAATCGAAAGGAAAATGAACTCAGGTGTTGTAGTTTCATGTCTCCCCTGAAACCTGAAACCTGAGTCACATTAATAACTAATGATTAAACATTTTAAAGCTAAATCAGGTGTGTTTGAGCAGGAAAACATGAATATCTGCAGGTGAACTGCTGGGAATCTACTACATAATTGGCCATAAATAATACAACAAGGAGAAACAGAAGCGATCTGTTTAATCTGTTTAATGAGTGTTAAACAGTGAAACATAGCATAATGTTCAGCTCTTAAAATGTACAACAATGGTTACTGCCATTACAAAACAAAAGTCATCAAACACAAGCAAATAAACAAACAAAATAATGGTATTAGGTAATCAAGTCATAAAGGCAGAGTGTGAAAATTACAGAACTTCAAATGCTTTGGACCACGTTGTATGGAAAAGGGAGATAAACTCAAAATGTCCTTTTCCACTGTATTTTTCTTCCATTCCAAAAACGTAGACAGTGAAAAGTTTAACTTAGAAACACAAACATTTATAAAAGAAGAAATGCATTAAGACTTAAGTCTGGATTCAAAAACCTGACCAGCTGATGACAAGTGCTACATAATCTTGTAAGTGGAAACTGCATACATCTATTTTTAATGTAAAAAGCCAATAAGTGAAATATTTGCATATTTAAATTCTGATATTGTTGCTAACTGCAGGCAGGCAGGATGTGTTCATGTTGTCTAATATGAACTAGATATATACACCTTCATATTGTACCGTCCCAGTAGGGATCAGCTATGAGTGGTCATGTAAACAGCATCTTCAAACAGTGGGATTTCTCCAGGCATTTCAGAATGATGGCATGAAAACCACCACATACACTTGAAATGTTCGTTTGACCCAATTATCTCTTGCTTACCAGAGTTTGACCTGGGTAGAGACAGCTGGCTGAAATGTACTGCGATTGTTGAAATAATCTTATGAGACGGGACCTTTTTTCCTTCTTAACATGCAAATGTGTACTTCAGTGCTCCACCAGTGTGGAGATGTTTGTGAATCAGAACAGTGATTTCTCTGCATTGATGCTCACCCCCCAAACAAACTGTAAACATTGTCATTTTCACTTTTTCCCCATCCAAATCCATCCTGGCTTATTCAGTGGTGATATGCAGCGGTGTTCCAGCGATACCAGGATCTGGAAAACAGAATGCAGGTAGGTTATTGTTTGGTTTCCTGACCCTTAACTCAAAATGTAGGACTATATGAGACTATTTTCCCCTTTTTGCATTCTGTGTGACTGCCCTCTAGTGGAGGGGCACCATATCAAAAGCATGTATGCGTTCATATGTAAATAGGCTGCTGCTTTGTGCATCCATCTAGGCATAGTCAGCACTGATCAACATGAACAGTAATTATCTTAAATATTGTCAGAATAAAACATGACGAGCAATAAATCTGCAAAATTGAAGTACTTTTCAGATTTATTGCTGGACATTTTTTTCCCCTCATGTACCAATCTGCCAAGAATAGTTTTAAAAAATAAGATCTTGTAAAAATGATAAAAGAATGTCTCAGACCTCAGACAGCACATTCATACCCAGTTCATGTAACATCTTTCTGTGAAGGAGCTTTTAGAAGCATTAAATGTTTTAAATGTCTAGTTCCTGTTGCCCCTACTGTGAGCAACTCTGACGGGGTAAGTTTCTCTAGAATGGTGTATTTCACATCAAACCACTCTGAATGGCTTTGCTTACATTGTAATGAATGAATTAGGCTGAATTTAAAAAAAAAAAAATTGGTGGAATTCCCCTTGCTGGCATGCCCAATTTGATTTGTTAAACTATTCGTTTAAACTGTTAGTTTAAGCCGTAGGAGCCCGTGTGATGTGTAATCAAGTTGGTGGGCTTTACCCTGCAGTGGTGAAGGATTGGTTGACCCCCTGTGATGTCAGAGGGCTGGAGGAAGAAGACAATGTGTTGGGGGATGAGCCACGACTCGGGCTGTTGGGAGAGGAGCTGCTCGACACTGTGAGAAAGACCCGCCTATTACCTCAAGAGTCAAGTGACTAAGTATACAGTATATGTGTTCAGTATTTCAATGACAAATCCTTCATTCAAATCAGACTTACCTCCTCCTGAAGCAAGAGGACTAAACGGTCTGGTAGTTGGAGGCTGAAACAACAAGTGACCTTTATTTGCTGAGGACTAGGCATGTTCAGTAGAACTTGGGTTAGTTTTTAAAAGACTTAAAGTACATTGTATTTCCCTGTTAGCAAGCTAAAGCTACTTTTGTCAGCCATGGTGCTGCTATTCATTAATATTGATGGAGAGAAGAAATTGTCTTCAAACATATTCATATGTTTGCATGTTGATTATTTATTCCGGTAGGTCTAGTAACGTTTCTGTCTGTTTATGTACCAAAAGCAGTCTTAATTCATTCCTACATGACTATTTTAATGATCTCTCTTCATTAATTGTGTCTCGTTCAAAAAGCAGTCCAGGCTGCTGTTTGCAGTAAGAACACTCCCTATAACTTCACTATGAATAGATGAGTTAAACTGATGTGAAGTCACAACCATGATGTTTTTGCACCTCGTACATGCTGAATGGACTGAGCGGTGAATGGTCTCTTTTTATTTCCTTACATTTCCTTACATTTTTCTTTCAAAAAGAAAGAAAAAATCAGCTTTCCATTTTATTAAAATCCCTTGGACTCACCAGCCTGGCGTTGTAGTTATGTGGTTTTATAGGTGAGGTGGACACTGGGCAGAAGATCCTCTTCTCCTTCTGCCGCCGGTTGCAGAACCATACTCGCACCACTTCCTTCTCCATTGATAGCTGCTCTGAGATTAGGGTGATCTCCTCTGAGTTTGGTTTGGGGTTCTACAGAGAGTAGATAGAGTTGTACTGTGGTGGCTAAAACCATCTACAAGGGTCCACAACCCTACTTATGGCTAACAGCTAACGCTACCCTTGCAGGACATCAGATACTCACATCTAAGAAGCGTTTCTCCAGTGTCATTTTGATGTTGGTCTCAATACTCGTCCTCTTTTTTCTCTTCCTCCCATATCCCTCCATAAGAGGTGGTAAGGTTGCAGGATTGGCCATCGAATCAGACGGAGAGTTTTCTGAGGACAACAACAAAACACAAACGTTCTAACATTCTCCATGGAAAAGTAGTGCAGAATAGTCAACATGGCATTCCTGACTTCGGATTGTGTCACCATATTGGGTGTGAATACCTGCATCACTCAGCCACTTCTCTAGCAGAGGTTTGAGCTTGCACATGTTCTTGAAGCTGAGGTTGAGCGCCTCGAAGCGGGAGATGGTGGTCTGACTGAAGTCATTGCCATAGAGTTTCCCCATAGCCAAACCCACGTCACCCTGCAAGATCCATCAAACACCATCTCAGACTGCTTACCAAACTGGACATTCATGCATAGCCTTCTGTGCAACATAGCAAGGGTACATTTGTAGTATATTTTCCCAAAACCAGTTTTCTTTGTACTATCTATGTAACTCTAAAGCCAGTGGGCTTTTTATGCGTTAAAATGTTAATTTTATTAAGTCTTATTGCCTGTGTGAAGCCTAGCTTGATGCGTCTTTGTTTGAAGGACTTGGCAAACTGTTCCAGCTCCTCCAGGTCACTGGGCTCATCCTGCTGCGAGGGACCCACGTGCTTAGGCACCTGCAAGTGGGACATGTCCAAATGTCCATCAATAGAGGGCCCAGCCAAGCCTGTTCGACCCATTGCCTATGCAGAGAAAAGCAGTGGTGTAACACATCTGTGAGGTAAATAGTGTAGATAACAGCATTGTTTTCAGAGAATATTCCAGCCTTTTTCAGCCCATTATTTATACAGCGTGTCTGTATCGTATCATCACAGTAATTCCAATTAATTTATCAGTATTAAGATAAGAACAGAAAACTATGCCTCTTCCCGCCAGGTAGAGGGAAAATTTGTCTGTTTTTTTTCTTTCTTCCTTGTTTCTGGAAGCAGTATGCAAAAATATTGACTTAGTGTCAAAAAAGAATGGCTTCATTTCTCAGAATGACTTGGTACATTGAAAAAAAGACTCCTTATTTTGACATAGTAAGAAAATAAATAATTATTAAGATACCAGTCAAAATATTAAGAAAATAAGTAATTATTTTTAGTCACTAAGTCTGTTTTGACACACTGCTGTCCAAAGCAGAGAAGAGAAAAAAACAGGCTAATTCTTCTCTTCTTAGTGGCAGATATGGACTCCCATGGAAAACCCAACACAGCAACACAAAAAAGCACTTTCAGTTACTTTTGCTTTGCCAAACTTTTTCTGGTATCTACGCGTGATCAGGCAGGAAGCAGTGAAAACTCCACCCACGCTACTATGCTGGTAACATATTGTTAAAGATTCTTCCTTGTGGAAAAAAAGTGCCATCAATAACAAACACATGAAACAGATTTTCAGTTTTTTGTCCATAACTTTTTCACAAATTCCTTGACTTAAAAAAATGAAGGTGATCTCTAAAAACATGTTTTATATAAATGTTTACTGACAGAATTCAGCAATTGCCCATTGGCCCCTGTGTTATCAGCCATGCACTTTAGGTGCAGCTGACAGGCTGAAAAATGCTGGAGTATTCCTTTAACTTCTGAAAACGTACCTGAGGAGTGAGGGCCAGGCCGGGCTGATGTTGCAGGAGACCTGACTGGGTCTGAGATGGCAAGGACAGGAGATTTGGCTGCAACAATGCTGTGAGACAGTGGAGAGAAAGGAGGAATGAACAGGCCGCCGTTTTATGTTTTTGCACAGAATCTTTGAGCAGGGATTTTTATGTGAGTCCATGGTATTTTAGAATTAAAAGGACTTCAGTGACGTTAGGTATTAGACATGAAGTTATATGTTTTTGTCTTTGTTCTGAGGATTTCTGATGTGAATATTAGTCCTGGGAAAATAATCATGTAGAATCAACAACTAATAATTGTTGTAGTTTCATAGCGCTCTGTCTAGACCAGGGTGCCACTGACCTGCCCTGCTGCTTTGTACCTCTCCCAGCAGCAGAATCTGTCGTTCCAGTAAACATGCCCTTTTCAGTGCTAGGGCATTACTTGGTAGTGTCTTAGAGACCAGCCAAGTAATATGATATTCTGTGGTATTTTTAAGGGGAATTTCAACACATTTTTTTTTATTTCTGTATAATTTAGTGACTGAGATGTGAACAAAGTCATTCAGAATGTTTTGATGTGAAATCGTTCATTGTAGAGAAAGTTACCAACTCAGGTTTCTTTTCAGTGGTGGTGATAGGAACCAGAGGTTGGGATGTCTTCAATGCAAATATAGCCTTTTTATTTACTATCCAGAATAACCAGTAAACCCACATGTCTTCTGAGTTTCTATATGTAATGTTGAATAGAAAAATATGTTTATTTTCAGGGACTATTTTCTCTACAACACTCTGCGTGTATCTCTCCACCAGGAATGGATAAAAAATGTTTTAGGCTAAAATTTATCTCAAAACTAGCATAACTTTTTGTGAGGATGCTTTCAGGGGTATTAACTGCTTCAGACATCTGGTTCCTGTCATCACCACTGTGAACAATTCAGACTGGTTTCTCTAAAATTACTGTTAAGACCTTAATGATTTAATTGAGCAGAAATTGTGATAAATTGGTGGAATTATAAAGCCTAATGACTAGTTAATTGTAAGAGAACCTAATTGTCATAAAGAAGTCAGATAGAATAGTGGTGAAGTCCATTGATAGATAATAATATTTCAGCCTCTAGTGGTTTTCTACTGCACTAAGTGTTATTTACTTATAGGCAACTCAAAGGAATACCTTGACCTAACACGGCTAACAACAAATGGAAAATAATAGTTATCAATACCATGACCAGCGATGCCAACATAGTTAACAATAAATGGAAATTATTAGTCATCAGTAGCTTGACTGAATGTGCTGACATGTCTAACAACAAATGAAAATCAATAGTCATCAGTTAGCATAACTGTATTTGCACAATGCTAGCAGTGGCTATTCCCTTTCATTCAGTGTTAGCAACCACTTTTTGTCTATTCCCTTAATAGTACAAATAACTCCGAGGGCAGTTGGGAAGAACTGCTTTCATTCAGTGTCCTGTAACGTGTACCTCCTTTAAGCTTAAAAGGGTTGTTGTACCTTTGCAGTGGCAAATGTTGTCCCACATTGATATCTGTGCAATCTTTGCTCTATTCATAAATTAACCGACAGAAACTATGATAATTCCGTGTTTAGAATTTTTATTTTAGTGATTTTTAGTCATGTTGTGCATGAAAAGCAGCACAGCACATCAGTGACTTCACACATGCTGAAGTCTGCTTGTTTGATGCCTGTCTTTCAGTTTAAATAGTAAATGTGCATTAAAATTATTGCATGTCCTATGTTAAAATTATTTTAAATATGTAGATATATTTATGTTCTGATAATAAGTTGTGTCCAAAGATTTTTTGTCAATGAGGTTACAGAAGCATATGTCATTAAAAAAGAAAGACTAACATTGAAAAGTCTCTTTTTACATTTTTGATCAGTATTATAAAACGCTGGCTGACTTTAAAATTGTGATAAAATAACATGAATATAGTGTCTGTAAAGTTTTACATGCTGTTATTTTTAATTCTATGTGAAATTAAGTGGCTGTGGATTATGTTTTGAAAAAAGCTCAGATTTTAGTGATTTTGTCAGTGGTGTTTACTGATCTTGTTCAGTATGACAGACTACGATTTATACTTGAATTACTTATCAACATTTGTACCCCTGTTTGCCACCACAATGGTACAATGACCCACAAACAAATAACTGAATAAAATCCTGCAAACATTCCTGCACATATCCAGACTGTCACCATACGCTGACTGACCTTGATGCGCAGGCTGAGCCTGGGAGAGGAGAAAGGAGGAAGATGGGGTGAGATGTGAGCCAGACATGAGGACCAGCTGGGGCAGGGGGTGTAGTGATGGCAGCTCCTGCAATAACATTGCACACAAAGGCTTCTACATTGGCGTATGTCCACTGCATAGCTAAAGGCCCACTGGAAGAGCCAGTAATAACAACATTATCTGGTTCACTTTGATAAGGAGTAGAAATGATAATGGTGTACCCCAGGCAGCTGCCCTGTCGGTGCTGGTGATCCCTGTGTTAGGTGACATGCCTTATGTGATGAGGTGGAGTGGGGAGAATCGTTCAGGTCCTCTGTCTTTATCTGTGAAATGGGGGAAACTCAGTTAGCTGCTCTGATTAAAGCAGTGGTTCTCAAAGCAGTCCTGCAGGCTTTCCGGACATGCTGTGTTTTTTGTTCAGAATCCTAGCTTTCAAAGCAGCAGAACCAATCCATTAGGAGCATTGAATACCTGATACAGGTGCTTTGGAAGCTGTCTTAGAGCAGAAATGTGGACAGGCTGAGGATCGGTTTGAGAAGCACTGGCTTAAATTGATGGTTTGGCCAAAATCAAGTTTGCATAGTTAAGTATAAGCTGTAAAGTTTGCGTTGTTGGTTTTGCGTTGTTAAGTAATCTTAAACAGACTTGTCTATGACAGTTTGGTATACCGTTATCTATAAAAATGGATAAAAGTCCAGACAAAATCCAGGCTTCAAGATGGCTGTAGCTTTTTAGCTACAGTAGGGTCCAAAAGTCAGAAAACACATTAAAATTCTTTTTTTTTTTTTTCATTTAAACCTGGAAATTTTCAACAAATAAGTTTTGGAATTCAGAAAAATATTAAACCGAGAAAAGTAATGACAAGTAAAATGAAGAAATAGTCAAGATTCTGCACTATTTATAGGTCACTATTTGAATGTAAGCAAGTTTATGACATTGACTGTGTTAAAGCCTTTGTACAAAGATTTTTTTGTCTTATACCTTTTATTGAAGCTTGTGTTGGAGACACGACTCATAGGTGGATTTTACTTAAAGGTTGCTTTAAATTTATTTGATTTAAATCTATACATAGATTCCACATGTATAAAATATATTACATCAAAACAATTCTTGCCAAAAGTACATAAACTGAACGACAGCAATTATGTTAATGTAATATGATTAATTCATGTAGAGCCAATGGACACCTCTTGAATCAAGTACTTTTCAAAGCAGACTTTTTTCAGTGTAGAGGCTTTTGCACAAACTTGTCAGTTGTCATTAAAGCAAGAGGGGGGAAATGCCAAAAACAAAGAAATTTAGAAATCCATGTAAATGTAAAGATTCTACATTTCACTCAAATTGTTATGCTGAATAGAATTTAATGAAAAATTTCATGTTAAATGTGGAATAAAAATGCAAAATAGCAGCATTTTCACTTATGGACCTCACTGCGTTACATACATTTGCCCATTGTTATGGATAACAGTATGTCAAACAGTATCAGAAGCTCATAAGCAAGTTTGTTTCAGATTACTTAACTCAGTGTGGTGTGTGACGGTTTAGGCATGTAGTTTGCTAACTGGAGACATACACTTTCATTATTCGTTAAGTACATTAGTGTCGTGGCTCCAGTGCAAAACAAAGGAAGCCTCAGACACCAAACATGGCTTGGCTGATTGACTATTTTTAGGCTGAGGTTTATGGCTGAACTGTCATCTTAAAAGGGAGGTTTATGTATATTTACTTGCTGTATCACTTCCTTATTGTCAAACTGTTAGCATAGTGAAAGTTGTGTGTTAAATATTTTGGCCCAAACTGTAATATAAGAAAGTTGTCAAGGTAAAACTCTGAAGGAAGAGAGCAGAAATTATTTGGAGAGATGTACACATAAGGACATGGTAGAATATGAAACAGTACACTATATCTGGTGCATATTTCAGGAGTTCCAGCCCTGGAATAGGGCCACAGTGACCTCAAGTGGTATGTGGACATTTGTGCTATTCTTAAATATGTATTAAATGAACAAAATGTCAGACCAAGTGGCATTTATTTTAAACAGACTAGTCAAAGACCCATTTTCTTTTTGGTGTGTTCTTCGGTGATATTCATATTGAATCATTTCAAACAAAATTAATCAGTTGCTTTGATCTGTTCTGATTTGATTTCATGTAGGCTAATATTTAAAATTTCACTTATGGAAGTATTACACACTCATGTCTGAGCACAGAAAAGAACCTTTCGCAAGTTTGTTGCGAAATCTGTTCTACTAAGCTTAGCCTGTTTATTTACAGTATTCGGCCATTATTAAGAATCTGTCTTAAAAACTTGAAACCTCAGTAGATTTGATGCCAAAAAAGGGTCGTAATGCTAAAAAAGGCGAGCAATGAATATCTCTCTCTCTCGCTTTAATTTCCAGCTGTTCATTTCAGCCTTTGGGCAGTTTATATTCAAGCACATTTGATCAGCATTGTTGTATGCAAAAGCAGTAGGGACTCTACTAATTCTGATTGGAGGACACTGAATCCAGTATGTGATGAGGCGGAAAATGTGCATTTCGGAATCTCAGCTTCTAACACAACAGCTCCTAAACAATCAAAACATATCGACAGTTCAGAAAGTGCCTGGTGTGCTTCCGACTGTTATCATTTGACCAGTTTCTTTGCAGATTCTGCAGGTTTTTTATCCATTTTTTTATCTGTTCCTGAAATTTGCACACAATGTAAAGGACAACAGGCATTTTCAAGTTTTGTCAAAAAAAAATGAAAAATAAAGATACAAAGTTTTCTTCCGACAGCAGCGATATCTTATTGATCTGGTGAAGCATTATAGTTCATCTAGACTGCTTCACTCAGCTGAGGCAGGCTTGCCATATGCTTCTAAGATCACTTACAGCTCAGATGGTGGAAGATTACTTTCTTATGTAGCTCCTAAACTCTGGAATAGCATTCCAAAGAATATTAGAAATGCAGGCTTCATAGGTGATTTTAAGTCCAGGTTCTTTGTTTAGGCTGGACTGTGCCTACAAGTGATGTTGCTGTCATTATTATTCTTATGATCCCATCAATGAACACAAGATCATTGACACCATTGCAAGAAAAACAGCCCCAGACTTTGACGTTTTCACCTCTACAGAACTCTAATGCAGCTTGTATTGGGGTCCAGGCTTCTCCAGGCTTTCTCCACACAAAAAAGTCTAGCATCAGTTTGATGTTGTGCTAATTGATGATGTTGTGTGTAGTGTTTTCCTCGTCAACATATTTTCTCTTAAACAACATTTTGTGATTAAAGATGACCAGTGGCTAAATTGTTGAAGTCTAAATACCTTTTTGGGCCACTGTATAGTTTATATTTTTGTATGTGTGTATTCACACCAAGACTAGTAAGGCTGCTTGACTTGTTCAACGGGAGGGAGCTTTTGAAAAACATTCCTTCCCTCCCCTCGGGCTGCGGCATATGCAAATGGCTTCAGAAGCCTGAGGCTGGTTCCTGTACATGGAACACACTGCAGTCTTCTGCATGAGATCAGATGACAACACATGTATTTATGACAGATCACGTTAATTGGAGCTGCCGTGGACCACATTAAAAGAAATAGTAAAACCTAACGTGTATAACGTTTTCAAGTTATGGCCTACTGTGTGTCATAACGGCTCAAGTGGCCTTCAGCAAAAGTGTCTAAGAATGCATAGAGAGACAAGTAGAGGAAAAGCTTTACTCAGTATTTACCTGTCTTGTGAAGTCAATTCCATTTTGTTCAATGTCTGTAGAAAGAAGGGAATATTGTTAAATAATGAAATAAATTACTAAAAATTGATAAAGCCTTGATAAAGTTCCCCACTCCCACTTAGAACTACATTACTTATTAGTTTCATCATTTTTACAAAGTAACTTAGTTACTGAAAAATATGTCTTGGGATTTATGACTGTTTAATGCAGTTAAATGGGCTAAGCACCATAAATAAACCCTGATTAGCTCTGTATCGGTTTACACTCTTAAAAGAACACCAAATTAATGGTGCCGAAAGGGTTCTTTGCCCAATGCCGTAAAAGAATCATGTTTGATAGCCTAAAGAACCTTTTAATGCATAGCTATTTTAGAGAGTATATTAAATATATGAGTGTGAAAAAGTTTAAAAGTTTAAAAAAGTTTTAAAAGTTCAAAGAACCACCACATAATCCAAAGGTTTTAGGAAGAACCCTTAAATTCTAGGAAGAACCTTTGTATTATGTGAAGGTTCTTTAAGCCTATAAAAGGTTCTTTACACTCACAGATCTCTTTGACAAACATGGTTCTTTAGGGAACCATTTTAAGTTCCCATAAAACCATTGTAAGTTCCCTAAAGACCCTTCCATTGGATGGTTCTTTAGAGAACCATTTTTGTAAATGAGATTTGTGAGTGTGAAGATCCATTTTAAAGTTGAATAAACCTCCATATAATGCAAATGTTTTGAAGAGAACCCTTACATTCTGGAAAGAAGCTGTAAAGTAAGTGAAGGTTCTTTAAGCATTTACAAAGTTCACACTCTCAAATATCTTTGACAAACATGGGTTTTTAGGAAATCAAAAGTGGTTCTTCTCTGCCACAAAGGGTTCTTTCTATAGATTAACCAATTTTGGGTCCCTAAAGATCCTTTCAATGGAGGGTTCTTTAGAGAAGCATTTTTGTAAATGATATGTGTTAGTGTAAAAACCCTTTTCAAAGTTAAAAGAAAATCCACGTAATGTAACAGTTCTAAGAAGAATGTTGAAATTAATAAAGAACCTTTATATTATGTGAAGCCTTTATAAGGTTCTATATACACAAACCACATTGTCAAACATTTTTCAGGAAACCAAAACTGGATCTTCTGTGGCATCACTCAAAGTAAAAGGTTCCGAAGTGATTCTTGGTGTGGACATGAGGTTTAAAAACCTTGAATTGCAATGGAACCTTTTTGTTATGTGGAGATTCTTTGAACTTTATAAAGGTTCTTCTCACTCACATCTCATTTAGATGTGTTTTTAAGAACCATCAGTTGAAAACTGGTTCTTGCTCCAAATATTTTTATATTATTATTTTTTTCATTTGTATTGAACATGATACACCTGTTTGTAATTTCTGCAGGTATTTTCTCCGTGAAATGACCAATTTCTTGCTTATATCTGTCTCTTCAGGACTTCTGGAGCTTCTGCTTTTGGCTGCAGATTCCGTTCGTCTCTGTGCATTGGCTCAGAGGGTTCAAAGGTCGCCAGCGCCAGGTAATATCTCCTGATTTGAAATTCAAATGGGCTTCTGTGAGGCTGTGGTTAGCGCATCAGTGCACTCTCGTCCCGCGCTATGGAAATCGGCCCTCCTCCCCCAGCCAAACTTCCAGTATGGAAATGAATCGCCCATGCAAATGCGCAGGTATCCACAGCAACCTTTCGCAGGCCCTCATATTTGAATGTTTACAAACCCCCAGGTGCCTCTCTTACTTGGTTCTTCTCTGTTGTGGTCTTTTTTTTTCTCTTTTTTCGCGGTCTTGCACACACTAACAACACATACGTGTATACAGACAACTAAACGATTATCTTACAACATTGCCAGAAACTTGTTTCAACTACAAACATATTTATTGTAACATAAGTAACTGAGTTTAAAATGGTAGGTGTTGAAATTCAGAACTATAAAACTCATACAGATGCTCTTTTCAAATCCTCTTGCACTTATCTATTTAGGATGGCTATTATACAAAAAACTGCAGCAATATTCATTTTTTAATTATTTTTGTAGTTTAAACATCTTTTTTTTTCTTTGGGTTCACCTAACTAAGCATCGCAACATTACAAAGATAACAAAAGTGTTCAAAAAAAGGAAGACATTCATGAAAAATAGGCAAGTAGAAAATTCTTATGAACGTGTAAGTGCACTGCATCTTATTTATTCATGTGTGCATCATTTTCACACGAATAAATTACATTACATCAACACCATTTTGTGTTTCAGTTTACTTCCTTTTGACAGTAGTTGTGTTGATGTAATATGTAATATTCATGTGGAGATGATACATAAATTTAAATCAATTAAATTCAATGCATCGCCTTATTTCAGTGCAGCAGTTTCTAATGCCAAAGAAGTAATGATGTGGGTGTGCTATTATTATTGTCTCTTTAGAAAATCAAAAGTGCCAAAGGACATCCTGCTTTAGCATTGAAAACAGCAGCAGGTTTACTACTGAATACTGGAATTATTCTCACCAATGTATTATTACTCCTAAATGAGTTTTGAACAGTCTGTACTAGTGGTGCACAAGCTTTTATTTCCTGTTGTGTGGTGGTGGTGGTGTGGTAGTGCAATGCTGATGGTAGGCCAGTGGCCAAAAAGAGAAAACAGTAGAAAAATAGAATATAAAAAATGTACACATTTCAAAGTAAACTGTATTTCAGTATTAAAATACTTCTAAAATACAGTGTTTAAACGAACAATAATGAAAATAAAGTTACATATAGTACAAAAATGTTTGTTTTGTCGCTGGGTGAGTGGGTGGGGTTGGCGAAACAAATCAAATGTCTATACGGGCCAGCTTTGGCCTGCAGGCCACACTGTGAGCAGCCCTGCTTTAAACCAACTTTATATATCAGAAACGTAGTTTCTGTTTTCTTTCTCACTGTATTCTCACATTACATGGAATAAGGCATGTACTCAAGTTACGGTGCAGAGATGTAATGTATCAGTTGCTACTTTAACCTTAATGATTCTTTTTAGAACCTCCATAAAACAAAACATCTGATGATTTTGTGAGCAAAACAAAAATGTCAGGTTTAATTTGGCTTTTTAAGTAGGATTAATGAAAAAAAATGAATATAAAATTATCATTAGCTGATAGTTACTCACTGACCTAAAACAGTTTTGGTTTGAAACAATCAGGGTTCCAGGACTTTTCAACTGAAGTTTGTTTGTTATTTGTTTGTTTGTTAGATTGTGATCCTGCAAAAATTTCAAAAAAAGTCTTGTCTTGTTATGAACAGTGCAGATATGTGCACTGAATTCATTTTTCTTGTCTAATATTTCTCATTTTAAGCAGACTGACAAAATCAGACCTGCAGCCTTACACTATCTTAAGAATTTCAAACTAAAATACCGACTATAATAGTTCAAAATAGCTGATAATCGTTCATTTTCACTCATTTTTAATGAGTTTTTAGGTAGATCACTTTGAAGTTCTCCATTATTATGTTAGTGTTCTATAACTGCTGCTATAGAAATGTTTATTAGGCTGCAAAAGCATATCGCCTTGTTACGAACAGTACAGATATGTGCACCTGTCCGTAGGATTTGTAACTGAACCTGATTATTTAACATTACGGGAAGGACTGCAACACAAAACGTTCATTTTCCAAATTGCGCTCTCTCGGAATCCAAGTTCCTCATTTCAGACGATGTGTTCCGTACTGAGGTTACTATCCTATGCTGCCTCAGGGTACGAACGCTTCACTGCAAACAACAACCCCCCCAACCCCCACCATACATCCACACATCCTGGTAGACTCCATGCCCATTATGAACATCACATTCTAGAGCTACATGCAGCTTGTTTGAGTCATGCATGATGAGAAAGAATCTGCTGCGTGTACCGCTAGTCTGAGAAAAGTTCATAACGTTATTTAGTTGCTGGATAGTGGAAGAATGTGGTAAAGTAGTCTTTATACTGCAAATGTACTCCTGGTCGAAAAAATAGAAAGAGCTTTTTTGGCTCAATACAAGTGGAAAACTCATAGTCTAATAGTGTTAATTGGGTTATTTCATTGTCCAGTAGAATTATAAAATGCTAGTTAGACCAGGATAAAATATGCTTTATTGTCCAATAGACTTAATAAGGCTATGAAACTCGACTTGGACTAGGAAAAAAACTCTACTTCATTGTCCAATAGAGTTACTTAGACTATAAAACCTTACTTAATCCAGGAAAAACTACTTCACTGACCAATATACTTAGTTAGGCTATAAAACTCTAAAACTAATTAGATTGTCCAGTAGACGTAAGCTAAAAGCTCTGATTAGAACATGGAAAAACTGTAGTTAGATTAGAAAAAACTCTACTTCCTTGTCCTACAGACTTATTTAAGTTAAAAACTCTAGTATCCAGTAGACTTAGATTATTTTATACTCTAAATTCAAGTAGATTTAAGTTATGTAAATAGATTTAAGTCAAGTTAATACTATACAGCACAAAAGAAAACATACATTATGGCACCTCTGGCATATTATTCTGTACATCACAGTTTACAGTTGGTGACAAAGATAAAACTGAAAAAAAGAAAAGCTAAGACAGTGCTGTATAATGTATTTGTTACAGTTGTGAATGTCACTAAGGGTTTTGCACAGACTTGTCTGAGAACGAGACCGTGACGGCCAAGACAAAGAGCTCCGCTCTGTCACTGGTCAAAACCACAAACGGCTCTGACGACAGACAAACGGCACGCCACGGCTTTCTCGTGAATCCGTCTCAACCAGACGCAAAGGTCCACCAGCAAAAGTCAACAAAAAATGAGTTCCAAATAAAGCAAGCCGCTGGAAATATGCCATCAGAAACAAATGCTTTGTGTTAAACAACCCTTTGACCCAACACTCATTTCAGACTATACAGACTTATTATAGTTATAATGGTTGATGATAGTTAAGAGTAAATAGAGTAAATGTAATTGTTGAATTCAGGCCTGAGCTCCTGGCCACCACTTCTGACTGCAAACTATGAGTTACAAAACAGTTGCCTTTATTTGCGAGTTTGTTTGTTCTGTTATTTTTAAGGTGTCTGTTTGTTATATGTCTTTTATACCTATTGCTATGGAAAAATCATGTAAGCCATAATTTTTGAGTCTTATTATTTAGAAATTTTTAGCTTCTAGGTATATTTTGGGTTCATATTAAATTCATATAACTTTTATAATAACTTTTATAAACAGTAATTTCTGGGTTTGTTAATAATACGCACAGTACAATTATACAGTTTTAAACAACAGTTGATGTAATTATTTTGAAGTCTATTTCTGCTACTATTTCTACTGAACTAAACACTTAGACTCAGTCAAAAAGATCCAATTTGTTAACACTACAGAAAAGAATAGCAGAATTACAATGATGCATTTCCTTTTCACCTTAATTTGCAGATTCTTAGAACAAAATGACCGATCCCTTTATCCGTATCCTCCATCTTTCCTTTTAAATTCCTTCCAACACCTGTTGGGTAAACAAGTGGGTCAAAAACAGCCCAGCTGGACTGACCATGGCTTACCTGTGTGTTCATGCGGAGGATCCCTCTGCTCCACAGCCTCTGTGCTCATCTTAATATCTGTAAATGATAAATACAGCTGATTTTCCTACAGGATCACAACTTTATGCGGACACTGGGGCCAATTCATGGCACGGGCCCCACGGTCAGTAAAATGATCTTGAGGTTTATTCTAATAGCTCCGACTTTCAAATGGTCTCCCTTTATGTAAAGGGCTTGTTGTAATATTCATAAGGGCTGAGGTGATCCCCGGGCTTAGGCTTTCCTCTCTAATCTCTTCTAGTCAAAAACATTTAAATCGGTCAATATGCCGCGCCAACAAGTGACGGAGCCCAGTGATACGATTCTGGCCATAGAGAATGGAATAGGGCACTGGGGAAGTGGCAACTTCCAAACTTGTTGGATGCTAGCAAAGAGTTTTAGTACTCACCGTACTCAGGAGACGGTGAAAGAATCCTTTTCCTTGTCTTCTGTGTCTTCCTGAAGGTGTTAAAGAAGAGGAGCAAAAAAAAGGGTTTTAGATGCTAAGAAGAAACTCTGAACATTTGGCAAAGTGGGTTAGTGGTGGAGTATTCACCTTTTTCACGATCCCACATGACCTGATAGACAGGTGATTTGCATAAGGCCTACGGTGCGTCCTATCCACACTCAGTCATTTTGCATAAAACAACAAAGGGGGAGATGGCAAACTTTGAAAGAAAAAAAAAAAAAGCTCTACAGCATGTGTGACTTCTCCAACGTGAATATGTGTGCGTTTCTCAGAGCCAGTGTTTATACTGATATGCTACCATGCCTGTAAATGGTTTAAAAGGCAGACTGTTTGGTGTTGAGCTGGTACATGGCTTGCAAATGATTTAAAAGACTAAATGAGTCTGCTGTGAAGGAGGGAAATGGTTTATGACAGTGTTACACAGCTTTAAGTCCCTAGAAGTATTACTTGGTGTGTTGTATTACGTTTGTGATGTAAAATATTTCAAATAGGACCTATTATAGACATAAAGTGTACTACTGGGCTACTCTTTACTTTCCCTTTTCACCTTTTTACCTTAGTATTATCTCCTATTATTATCTACTACCTACTCTTACTCTCACTGCACATTTTTTATGTCATAATTTTTAACTGGCCTACTTTGCCTGGATATTTAAAACTGAAAGTGTCAATTGAGATTAAATTGCTGCTCCCCATTTACAGAAAAATATAGAACTATATGTATATAAATTATTTCTGTCTATCAAAAATACAGCAAATTAAAAAGGAAAAAATCTACTTCAGTTCAGTTTTAATTTTGAAAAAAGTTCCGTTTTAGTTTGTGTAGGTTGTTAAAGTTTTGTGAAGTAGCCAGTCAGTCCAGGCTACATTTTTTTTAGATATTTAATAGACTGTTATATTTAATAACTCAATAAAACACTAAAGACACTACATTAGTTCTCACCGTAGCTGTGTGACTTTTGTCCCCGTTATATTACTTTGTTTGAACAGGACATCCTGAAAAGGTAGATCATGCATGTAGGAAGGCCACGGTCTCTGCTCTGGTGTGCAGTTATAGACAAATAACACTAGAGGGCAGTGTTCAAATGAGAAATGGTACTAACAGCTTCACAGTTGTCTACTAATGACTGTACATAAAGTCATTGTGTATGTAGTAGTAGCTAATGGCTTCTCCTAAGATGTCATCAACACAACACTAAAATGGTTTGCAATGTTGCGACTCATCACTTAGTATTATTATTATTAACTGTTGTCAGTTCCAGTTCCAGGCGATCATGTGGAGAGTGTTTCTCCAGAATGTTCTGTCTTCTGTTTGGATCTCTGAGTTTCTTAATGGCTTTTTCATGGTTAGTCTGCTGATTGTCTCCATCCGTCGTGTAGCTGGGCGTCTTTTCTAAGCATAATGGTTATAACAGTTTTGGAATGTGTCCAAAGTAAGTGAGCTTCAGTTTGGTTATCTGGGCTTGAGGATCCCTTCATATTTTTCTTTGCTGTCCAAGCCCTCAAAAGCCTTCGCCAGCACCGAAGTTCAAAGGCATCAATAATTTTCCTGCTTTTTTATTGTCCAGCTTTTACATCCATTAAGAACCACAGAAAAGACTGTTGCCTGGACAGTTTGGTCTTTATAGAGACACATCATTACATTTGAAGATCTTTTTAAGCGCCTTCTTCCTTGTTCTGCTAAGGGGCCAAACTGTGTCATATTTCTTGACTGCTGAATCTTTTGTTGTAAAAACTGAGAAGGCAAAAGCTGTCTACCACTTCTGCGTCTTCGTCGTCAGCGGTAAAGTTAGTGGTCCTTCCTGTTGAGCTTAAGTTCAGTCTTTTCAAGATGTTCTTTAACCTTCCTTATAAGGGCCTCTAGATCTTCCTGATTTTCCTCTATGAGAGTCGCATCACCAGCATATCAAAAGTTAATGATATTTCTAGCACCAGTCTTGAATCCTCGATCATCTTCCTCCACTCCTGCATCTCATCACTCATACTGTCATTCAGCACTTTCAGCGGATAAAAAAGTGAAATATCTGCTATATATCACTGCATTTTGCTGCTATTTATTAATTTAGCATGACCTGGGTTTGATAGTCAGCCTTCATTAAATAGGTTTGTCAAAACAGGTGGAGGCACATCTCATAAAATCCAGTTTTCTTCCATAGTTTTTGCACTGAAGCTAAGAGGCTAATGAAACCAGTCTGTGCCACCCAAAAAGTGACATTGACTTCCATTACTTTTTCCATTTAAATATTGGGATAGTGGCTCAAATAAGAATGTAGGCCTTAATAAAACACAGACACCAAAATACACAAATAAGAAGTTTAATCTTTATTTACACTGTTGTGAAATTAGTCACAGTCGCTGTTTAGTCACTTGCATGTTAAGTCATATTTGGTTTGTTGGTAGAAAACAAAATCCTTTATGCCACATATGGCAAGGAAACACATTTTTAAAATGTTTTTTTAAAACGGTCTGATTTTTTAAAACATTTGTAAATGTGTGTTTCCTCAAAAAGTGGCCTCAAAAAGTATTTGGACATTTGTGCTATACTTAATAATGTATTATGTTCATTGCGTTAGGAAACAAAATGCCAAAGAAAATTGCTTTAATTTCAAACAGACTATTTCAACACTGTAATTTTTAAGTGTCCAAATACTCTTTGGGGGCCACTTTATATGTATATATAACATGATATTATCATTATTACTCTGTACAACAGTGACATTGCATTATTTAGTGTTAAAATTCATAAACCTCTAGTTGCATCGCATTGTTTTGGCTGCTTTATGTCTAAGAGAAACCTGAGCAGAACGTATTTTTTTTCAGACAACAAATCACATACATTTTGTAGAAAAAAAAAAAGTGTAAACAAGTTTATGACTATCATAAATTATGAATACTTTATTGTAGAGTGTTATTTAAATATCTTTCATGAAGATAGTTAGTACTGTAAAGCACCTGACAGCTGTTTTAATAGACAGACAACTATTGGTACCGTCTTAAAACGGTCAAATGAATGCAAGAAGTACAAAAGTCCCAAACACAAAAACAATATTGAGTTGTGTGAAAGTTTCATCTGCCTGTCATGAGGAGCCCCTATACTGCCATACTGTACCAGCGCAAAAGACCACTCACAATAATAGGGTAATTGAAATGTAAATAAGACAATTAGTCAGGGTTACAGTGATCGACCGTTCCGTGAGTTGCACGTTTGGCATCACTTGAATATATTAGCAATAAATAGACAACACAAAAACGATCATGGATACTGTCTTAGCTGCCACTGTAGCTCCTTTTGTTCAAGAACTGAACATATTTCACGGCTCAAACTGCAAGCAAAATGAGATTGAACAGCTTATACTGTAGGATTAATTGGGACCTTCACAGTTCAGTCTAGTTTTAAGTGTGAATTACTGCAGGAAGACGTTACTTCAAAAAGGCACTAGAAAGAAATCTTACACCTCACGGTCAATATAAAACAAAATCAAAATATTAAAATGTACTAGATATGACTGACAGTTCAACTGGATTTTCCAGAACAGAAACATTTTGGGACTATGAATTCTGGATTTTTAAATTATTGTATTTTCTGTAATAGAGAAAGCACTGGATTCTGAAGTTTCATTTCATGATGAACAGACCAATAGAAATGGCCCAAAAGTACTTGGCAAAAATATCCTATTAGAAGTTATTAATGTTTTTTTCCTGTAAATTTACCATTTTGGAGATACAATGTTTTGTTCCGATAGCAACAATATGCTGAAAATCCATGCCTTACACTTGTCAAAAGCAATACTTTCACCAAAAACGTGAATGTTAATTTATGAATGCCAAGTTTGATCAAATGATTATGAAGTAATTATGACAGCAGACCTAAGAGTTATTATGCCACCAATTAGCTGACAGTTCAATTGGATTTTCCAGAATAGAAAAGTTTTGGGACTGAATTCTGGATTTTTAAATTATTGTATTTTCTGTAATAGAGAAGCTTCTGGATTCTGAAACTCTTGATTTTTCAGAATAGAGAAGTTAGTGAAGTTAATGGATTTTCAGTAATATGAACTTTGTGGATTTTGAAGTTATAAATAAGTGGTCTGCCATATGATGGCACTGCACCATCTGGCAACTCTGCAAGGTATAAAACAAAAAAAACAACCAATCAACCAACCAAAACAACACTACCCTGGAACAAGAATTCCACTATACACATTATTCCCTTAACAGAGCTAGAAAGATACTAATAAATGCTAATTCAAAATACATGCCCATAACTTCTACGGTATAAAATTCATGCAGAACTCTAAACAAGGAGTAAGACATAAAAGTGAGAATAGCTCTGCCCTAGGGGAGAAATTAACTTTTGACCACCACGATCATATGACTTCCTGCCCTGAGGCTACACAGTAGTGACAACAGGGAATAAAAGGTAAAGAACCAGCTTAATGGCTCGAGTCAAAACATCCTTTGTCCCTTTAGGCAGAAGGTGTTAACGCACAAAGATATACGAGTCACGGTCAAAACCCTGACCACATGAACCACTGAACACATCTATATGGTAATGGTGATGGAAATCTCCCTAGAAAAAAAGAAGGGAAAGTCACCATTTTAAGAGCTTTAAACTACTAAACAAATCATATTATTATTTGTTGAACTCAAGTACTCTAAATATACCTCAATTGCATATCTTTGTTTTAGATCCCAGGTATTCTGACATTACTCAAGAAATCAAAAAAGACAAGCTTATTTTAAAACAAAAATACTGCATTTTGTTCATACTTGACTCCATCTAATGCAGAGCCATCCTACTATGAGACGCATTCAAAGCCACCTCACAACTGTCAAATAAGTATTTTCCCACAACTGCCATAATTATTGATATTTCCCATCACTGCTGAAATATTATCACCTGAAAGTTTCTAATGACTCAATGAATCAAAGGTAACACGGGAGCAGTTAGCATGATCTTATCTGGATAATGCTAACAGGAGCTTATTAGTTACAGCAAAGTTAGCATTAGCCGTCTTCATCCCACATGCAGAGCTGCTTGTGTGGTGTGTAGAAGTCAAAGCGGTAGCCCTTGCTGCAGCTCCTGATGCCACACTTGTAGGGGCTGGACCCATGACCACGACAGTATTTCAGCATGCATGGGTACCACTCCAGTCTCAAGGTGTAGCTGCACATGCAGGGTTGCCATGGGCCAGCAGTGGAGCTGCAGCTCTGCAGGTCTGGACTCTCTAGTTTCTGGGGCAGCTCCTCAAATATGGAGCCTTCCACGCCTGCACAAAGAAATAAAGTCAGTACCAAAGTATAGGTCAAGTTACAGTTTAGCGTCCTTGGGTTTGTGAAAGGCGCTATATAAGTTGAAATTATTATTATTAATGTTATTATCACAGTGAGTAGGACCATCCATTATATTGTTGCTGTTGCACAAAAATCTTATTTCCATTTTTGGTGTTTTTTACTTTTTATTGCGCAATTTGAAAATGCCAGTTATCCTTCGCATTGTGTTAAAATGTCATGATGAACAGACCAATAGAAATGGCCTAAAAGTACCTGGCAAAAAATGTTTACATTAAATCCCATTACAAGTTATTAATGTTTTTTCTTCTGTACAGTTAGCATTTTGGAGTGTTTTGTTCCAACAGCAACGATATGCTTTTAAAAAAAAAGGTCTCACACTTGTCAAAAGCAATAGTTTCACCAAAAATGTCAATTTTATAAAGTGCTAATTGAATGAATGTTAATTTATGACTGCCAAGTTTGATCAAATGATTATGAAAGACAGCAGAACTAAAAGTTATTATGCCACCAATTAGCATTGTGTAAATTATGCTTAAATAATCACACTTGCCTCAAGCTGCTTTGAGTTAATGTAGTTTTTTTTACACTGTATACTTTTGTCCATAGCTGCATTAGCCTCAAAACTCTAGTGTAAAACTACAGAATTAGTATGCCACATCATAAAGATGCTTGATAGTTTGCAGTGTGGCAAATCTGCCTTGTCACACAGCAGAAAGTTCAGCAGTTTTAAACTTGCATGCATGAGTTTAGCTGCATTTAGCCAATCAGGCAACAGTAGACGGGTCTTAGTCATGAAGGGCTAACGTTCTCCTGAAAGTAGAGAGGGGAACCGGCTGAAAAGATCTGGTTTTATACAGAATTGTTGACAGTGACGATCTGGAAGTAAGACCTTTGTTCGGCAAGAAAAGGTGCAAGTGGACACGTAATATAAGGGTGTAACGAGTCACACAATTAATAATTCAGTTTGATGCAAAACATTAAAGTACAATTTGATTCGATACATTAATGTTAGTGTTTCCATGTTCAGTTTATTAGAACATTCAACATTATAAAAGTACATTATTTGCAAAAAAGCTCTCTAGCCACAAGCTCATGTGCTAGTCAGCATAGCTTGACAAATCCTTGTCCCTAGTATTTATGATAGCTCCCTGCAGTACAAACCTATACAGCAATGTATATCAGAGACCTCCACACTGCAGACACTAACCCTTTTCCAGCCAGTGTTTGACATCATCTTTGCGTGTGTAGACGAAGTCTCGGGCATCTCGGCACACGTTGTGTATGTGGGAGCTGAGCTGCCAGGATAAAGTCAGGTTCATCACCACATTCATACTCATCTGCTCCACACCACGATTCTCCTCTGCTGTCCGCACGACATGAGGGTTTTTCTAGAAGGTTCAGAGAACAATACAGCAATTTAAGACACATAACATGATTTGCTATGGACTTGCTAATGTGCCTATCACTGCTCTTTATTTAACCATCATTCCTCAGGGATCTACGGCCCAATTATTGGTTGAATTTTTGATCAGCTGAAGTCATACCTGTCTCAGTCTGACCATGGCTTCGCTGGGTATGATCTCCCCATGCTCCAGCGTGGTGATGAAGCACAAGGCCTGGTACTGCGTCTGGCCCCGCTCTGGCTCACCAAGAACAAGCGCCCGCAGAATCTTCACATGCTGAGTAGAACAGAAGAATCAGCAGTGTTAATGAAAAGAACAATACAGACTGATAACTCGGTTCAAAACAGTTGATTTTTGGGTTCTGTTCCAACCCTGAAGTAATATGGAGCTGTAGAAACCAGTTTACATGTGTTGGGAGATAAAACAAAAATGAGAACTGACCATCAGTTGATAGTCCTTGTTCAACCGTGACCAATTTTTTGGACATTACCATACAAACTCTATTGTGTTCGGTGTCCCTATAAAAACCTACTATCAATGCTGCAATATGTAACCACTGCCAAAGAGTCTACCACAAATTCCTCCTGTCTACTTGATTTTTATACAGGCAAAGCAAATACAGTGGTCTAACTGGTTTAACTAATGGCATACTGACAATTCAAATGAAGCACAGAGAAGATAAGTGGAGACCATGAATACAAGGCAGCAGCCAGTAGTGAAAAGTTAAGTCATATCAGTTGCCCACATTTTAATTTACCAAATATTCAGATAAAACAATGTTGCATAAGCTCACAAAAAGCTAAACTGCCAAAGCATTCCAAGGCAATAAAATGTTAAAAGGCCCCATAGCTAAACTTTAGGACTGTATCCTTTTATAAGGGCTGCACAGTAGATCATTAGTTAAGCATTAATGCAATATTGGCCTTTGCAATACTGATATCACAGAAGGCTACAATATGTAAATAAGCCCTCTAATCCAGTGTTTCCCTGTAGTCCATAGGGCTCCCAGACGGTCCACATTTTTTGCAAAGAAAAATGTGGACTGTCTGGGAGGCCATGAGGACCAGGTTGAGAACTACTGTTTTATCCTGGCACACCATCACTGTGTGCTAAGTATCTTGGCTATATCTGTCACAATTATTCAGTTACAATAAACAATTTATTAAATGATTTATATTCTGAATGAATCAGTTTAGTGGTTAGATGACAATTTAAAAGAAAAACAGGGCATCCAGAGGTCATTATAAAACCATTCTCACCAGTCTGAAGGAGAAGCTTTTAGCACACAGAATGCTTTTGTGAGCATCACTGAAAAAGAGGAAACCCACACCAGCAGGATCTCATGTTTGGAATGACAAGGTTCTTATGTATGAAGTAAAATTAAACTAAATGTATGAATATATGAAATATATCGATTTAACTAGGCTGAGCAGCTTGGCAGACAGCTAACAGGCTCCTCCACAAATATTCAGATTTAGGCTTTATTTATGGATACATTCTAAAACTGCATAGAAAAGTAAATTCAAAGAACATGGCACTTGATTGTCTGCCACAAGTTTGAGATGCTTCAAATGTCCATGTTGAAGTAGATCTGGCTTAAGTATTATTAAACATAAGTGTTTGAATGTACATCACCATTAGCTTGGTACTAACATATTCCCACAGAGGAGCTAGTGTACTGAGGTGAAAATTTCCACATTGAATACTGCTGTGTAATATGTGCAGCCATGACAAGTTAATGAAATTAGTGGCTCAAAGCAGCATTAAAGATGAACATTTTTAAACGTGTATTAAAAATGGTAAAAAAGCATTACACTGAATTCAATTTTAGCTTTTTTTCATTAGAATACTTTGGATTGTATGAAAGGATCTGCCTAGTACGTTATTGGCCCAGTTTTACTGTTTGGCCTGAAGCAGAAAAAACATACTCGAATAATCATCGAAACACCTGTGGCTCACTGAATTACTTATATAGTTGATACTGACAACCCTAATCTTGACCAATCACAGTTCCAGTTCCAGCGTATTTTCTGTCTGTGTGTGTTTTGATAAATCAAGATCTTTTTAATATATCGCAAAGTGTAGCAATATAATCGCAATACTGACATTTTTGTCCTTATCGTGCGGCAGTGAAACGGACATAAAGCTTCAGACAGCTGTTGACTCAGAGATGTTCAGCAGACCAAGGCACATGAAACTCAAGCCAGACCTCCTTCTTTGACCCAAGTGCCTCATCTGACCTAAAGACCTACACACAGAGTGGGCCAATGCCAAACCGACAGCTCTCATATTAAAATGATAAATGGTGGAACTGTGTAATAAAGTCTCTATTTCGTTACCACAGTGCTCCTTCTGTTCGGCTGGCCTGTCCAGTGCTGAGTCCATGTGGAACACTGTGTACTCTGAAGCTTAGTCTCTTGTAAGCTAGACTGTAGAGAACGCTAAAAGGGTTTGAAATCGCTTTCCCATTTTGTAACTGCTAGCCAGAGTGCTTATTTCCTCTTAAATCCAGCAAGCAAACCAGCTTTTAGTGTCGCCAGGCAACAGCAGCTGAAGCCAATCGCAAGCCAGAGCGCGTGTAATTAAGACACTCGGAAGGTGACATTCCAACCCTAAGAGCTAAAGTTGGACCTTTTAACTCTGAGAGAAGGGGGTGGGGGGTGCTAAAAGGAGGGATGTTCAAGCTGGACCTACTCTGGATTAGCATGATCTAAGGTCACTGTGTTGAAGAACCACACTGAGGAAACCACTTTCCTCATTAAAAAGCACTGGACACTAAAATGCAAACCGTAGCCTTTGCTACGATACAATATGATACAATTTGCCAGTATTTCGAGTATTACAGCCACATACTTAAATTCCAGCAACACAATTTTCACTCCTGTTTCAACTCCACCAAAATCAGATGACTTTCATTTCTAAGGCAACAACTCAGTATTTGGCAATATTTCTTAAGCGCCTAATAAAGCTTTTAAGATTTCTTAAACTTTGCTTGAATAAAAACTCAAATATGATTATTGTCTTCTTTTAACTCTGACCACATTTTCTTTGCACAGTACTCCAGGTGCAAAGAAAATTAGGGCGCCGCAGTGTATTAATTGTTGGCTTTTGCAATACAGTCATGCAATACCGTATCATAATGTGATATTTTTGCCAGATTGCCCACCCCTAGTATGTACACTATATGGATGGAATCAGAATCGCATCATATTGCTAAACCCATTTTATTCAACTTACTATTTAGAGGTAGGCAATACGTCAAAATATTTTAAAAATAGTCAATATTTATACAGTTTTTTTTTTTTTTACTGAAGTTTCTAAACCAGTTATTTCAGACCAAAATACACCGGACAAACAGTAGTAGCCACAAATAAGGCTATGAAGAAATAGGAGTAATTTTTTTAATTAAATGGCTGTAAAAATAAACTGTTTAATTAGGAACAAGATGAAAAATCAAACAACTGGTAAAAATAAATGAATAGAAAAATATATATATGATGTCAATCAGCTGACATCCAGTCAGCTACATGTTACTGTGTAGTTTATGCCATCACTATCCACTAGTTCAGGGGTGCACAGCTCTGGTGCTGGAGGGCCGGTGTCCAGTACAGTTTGGTGATTTACCTGCTCAAACTCACCTGATTACACTCTTCTGTTAATTGCCAGGTTTAGTGGATGTGTTTGAGTAGTAAAACCTCCAGAGTTATGCTGGACACTGCCCCCCCCCCACCCCCGGGGACTGGAGTTGTGCATCCCTGCACTTGTTGGTGGTGTTGTTATTTATGTCTAAATCTTTTTTTTTTTTATGATGCATGCAGTTGTTCAGTGTTCTAGAGTGCTCAAGATACCCATGATACAACCAGAAAATCATATTTTTACACAATTCACCACCTTGACAATGACATATCTACTACTTTGTATACCCATAAGGCCTCTGTGGGGAGGATTTGAGAGGAAGTCCCTAAAATGTCCCACTCTATATCTGACTTATGTGTTTCACCACTTTCAGATGATACATCTGGTAGAAGCAGAAGTATTAATAGTCAAGAGGAAGAACAAGAAATGGCAAAATAAAATAATCAGCACTTAATACTGTAAACAACATAAGACAATACAACGCTAAATAAACCGCATGCTCCATGTTCTGCACTGGCAAATGTATGACTATAAACCACTGAACTGCAAAACATGGAGGTACCAGAAGCCCAGATACTTCTGGGTTATTCTTACAAACAAGACAATACAAATAAATTTTGGTTAATCAAACTGGGTGAATCATAAAAAATAAATCTGAATGATTTAATTGACATTAAATTCATTTTTAGTTCCTTTTTTGTACCAGTTTCAAGTGAACCACATTCTCATTACCACAGTTTGAAGTTTGAAGATAAATCTGTAAATATAAAAAAAAAAAATTTTCCCAATCCTATGCTGTTGTTAGATTATGTATTTTAAAGCTAATTATGACAACATATATATTTGACAAAAAATAGTATTTTGCAATTTTCATCTCATTACTGCAACACATGGACAGATTTTACTATTTGCTTGTGCCACATAACATTTTAATGTTTTGGTTCACGTTCTTACAGTGAAATCATTGAAGTAAAGAGAATCAACAGTTCAAAGTAATACAAACTCGTTTTTTTCTAATTGAGAAAAGCAATCATAAATATTTGTAATGAGAAACGTTGCGGTAATGAGAATTAGGGTTAAAAAAAATGCAAGAAAACTTTAAAATAAAAAAAATAAATAAAAAAAATGAACCCTCAAATGTTTCTAAATAGAGCTCCATTTGATCTACCAAGCGATATGAATGTTGTTTATCTGTGTGATGCGTATGACACTTTGCCTCGCCACATATTTGTGGACATTAAGTGAGAATGACCCTCTTTGGACATTTTTGCAGATGGTTATGGTTATGGGTGGGGTAGAAGTGTCCTTTACTTGTTAGCTACATTAGCCTCACAGTTTCAATGCAAAACTAAAGGAGCAAACTTTGGATACTGAACATGGTCTTGGCTGATGGACTACATTTTGGGCAAAAGGAAATTTGTGTCATTTTAATTATGGGCTGAACTATTGGTTTGAGGTCTGTGACTTGAGCAATCAGCATAGTGAGAAATCTGCTTCCCTTGTCCAAATTTCCAGCTGAACCACAGTATATATATAGCACATATGGAAAAATGCATGTTCCCAAAATGCCTTGTGTTACATAACTGGCTGAATTCTTCTTCAAGGCATTTTCAGTGTCTTTAAACATGGGGTACGCACTGCTAACAGGAGTTTGTGTGTTGGAAACCTTCTATCTGATTGGACCTGCATAACCCATACATGCACAGTAAACAACCTCCACTACTGAACAAAGCCACCCGGCAGTGGTGATGCAACCTTCTCTCCTGGAGGGTGGATGATATATAACCTGAAACTTATATCACAGTATATGTGGTATTATATTAGAAAATGCTAGTAAATAAATAAATGTAATCCCATATTAGCCTTTTAAAGTTAATTAAAGTTACAAGGTTCTCAACCCTTGGCTACAGTTATCATTTTGCAATACACCCAGTTAACATTGCAATTAATTTGAATGTAACTACATAATTTCATAACTAAGTACATGGTTACAAAATTAATCACCTTCTATGTACATTCTGTATTTCTTTGCTTCTTTGCTTCACTCTGCAAATGCAAACTACTGCAGGCACTCCAGTAGCGTCTTCATATGCACACACAGGCAGGATTTTATGGCTGGTGTTGTCATCTTCACAGTCGTATGCACAAGTTTAATGTGTTTTGCTGATTTGAGTTAATAGGTTAATGCATCCTCTACTTGGGTCAACAAAACATTGACCAGGGGCACACAAACTTTTGCATACAACTGTAACTACACATTTCATCTTTATGTGACAGTGTAATCTGTATAGGACTGGACTATACAAAAATATATATCATTATCAAGATAAATTACGTCACAATACAACATGCTTTTCTGAACATATTGTGTATATGGTCAGTACTTGTAGACACTGACCAACTGCATGTTTCATTATAAGGAGGGCAAAATTAGTCCAGTTCAACTAAATTTAGTGCAACACAGTATGAGAAATACTGAATACTGAACTACTTTTTCTCTGTTCAGATGTCTGAAAAACTATTGCGGCATACTATGTATCATGAAATTTCTTGACGTACCGTGATATTAGATCTTAGCCATATCGCCCACCTCTGTACTGCTAATCATACGCTTTAATATTGGTAGCTTCCTACCTAGAGGTGGGTGTTGTGACAAAAATATACCATCACTATACACTATATGCATCATAATATTTTAATTTTCTAAAATTTGGTAAGTTAGAACAACAAAAGTGTAGTGCCACATTTTAAAAAACACTCAAAAACAGTACAATAATTAAAAAAAACTTCCATTTACTGCACTAAATCCAGTAAAACAGGCCTAATTATGTTCCCTCTGTTATGACACATGCAGTTGATCAAGGTTTTAGCAACTGATGAAATCCACCATGTGCTCAGAAAGAAAATGTTTTATATGTGATGCAGTTTATCACAGTAATGATATCATGACATTGCCCAACCACCCAACCCCGCCCGCACATGCCTCTCCCCACCCCACCCTACTCTTTTTGCCACTCTAATTGCTAATCGTCATAGAAATCTCACACTGCTCCAGGAACAGATCGCTGCTTCTTCTTTACTTCTCACCAGTGAAATGATGAGTCAGACGAGAGTAAGACACAGGCAAAAAATAAAATAAAAAGCCCCACTGTAGCACAGATGAGTAATATCAGTGGGTGGAAACTGGTTTTGACTGACCTAACTGATTTGACTATAAGCTCCACTGACACTATTGTTCAGAAGTTTGGAATCAGTTCACATTAACATTTTTTGTTATTTTACATAGGAAACTAACCAGTAAAAACAAAGTAGAAGTAGATATTTTCAATAAGGTACTTTTAGATATTGATATTTCAAGTATTTTGGGAATGAAATGATAAGTATTGTACTGTAATTATCTTTTCCTAGCATTTTTATCTAGTTATCGTTATTGAGATTTGACACCACGTTTTTAATCTGAGACATTTTGGATGTTAATTTTATCATAACATTCATGTTATTCAGACATCTCAATTACAGAACTATGCTACATTGCTGAGAGGATGGGAGATAGCATGTGCTTCCACTGAGTGATGGGGACCCACCCAATAAGCAAGGCCTATTATCACCGGAGATTGAACCGGTGAAGCGGGACCCAAATTGGGTTTAATATTACTGAGAACACTGATTCAAAACATTTCCAGTATCCTGAAAAGAGGCATCAAATGACTCACACTGATGTAGACGGACTCGAGCCCTGCAGAAAGCTACACTCACTCCTACAGTTCTACAGTCCTGGTAGATTTACAGCCTTTTCACCTCCTTCACTGCTTTAGATGCTGCTGGAGGTTTTGCTCTCTCCTCAGTAGACTGCTATACCTTTGCAACTATTTCCTCCCTCAGAGAGGCTGCAGTGTTCAGTCATACTGTAACTGCTCCCTGGCGTCTAGCAGTTACACTCCATCCAAGTTTCTCGGCACTCAATGAGTGCAGATTGGAAGCACAAGCGAGGGGGCTGGGCTTAAGACTGAAGAAAAGATGCTCTGTTCCAGAGAGACTGGGCCACACGCGACAAGCTCTGGATGAAAAGTGCTTTGACAATATCAGAGAAGAAAAAAGTTTTATGAAACGTCGTCATCCATTCTGATGCTGAATTTAAGGATGTAAAAATTCTGAAAAACAGTAATTTTATACGATGCAAAGTGACACAGCAATGTTATACATGTTTTCTTAGAGGTATGCTATTCTACTGCTAGGACAGGTCTGTTATTTTAACCATGATGATAAACTTATTCAATTGAATATCATTTTTCTTATTACTTGTGAACTTTTCCCTTTTACTATTACTTTATCGCTGAAATGTATTTATTTTATTAGTATACTAAACATCCTAAGTCCATACTCTATTGTTAACCGGCTGCAAAGTTGATAAACCAACAATTATGAATAATATTGGATTATTTCAGTGGATGTTACAGTTATAATCTTCTTTTTCATCTTAATCACTTTATTCATGTTTATTTTGTGTGTATTTGTTTTTAAAGTCCATTCAGAATTTCTACAAAATTCACCTGTTGAGAAACGTACTGACTCAGTTTTCTTAACAGTAGTGATGAAGGGAACCAGGGCTTGTGAGGTTTACAACACAAATATAGCCATTTTATTTACTATTCAAAGCCACCAGTGTTTATATGTAATGTTATGTTTATATGTATGTCGCTGCTGGCAGAAGAAAACCTCATATCTCCATTTTTGTTTTTCAGTTTTTGACATGATTTGAAAACTCCTTGTGCCCTTTACATTGTGTTTAAATTTCATAAAGGATGGACGAAAAGAAACGACCCAAAATGACTTGGAAAAAGTCTGGTTCCATTGACATTAAAAGTAAAGGAGGTTTTTTTCCTTCTCCTTTAAAGTTATCATTTTGGAGATACAAGGTTTTGTTCCGACAACAGCGGGGAAAAAAAAATATATATATATATATATATATATATATGACAGTAAAACAGTAATGGGTACTATTTGGCCTTACAGTCTTCCATTAATAGATTTAAAAATGCCCAAACCTTTTCTCAAAACTGTTGTTAAATAATTTATGAGAAATCATGCAAAATATTTGCAGTTGTTTCATGTAATAGACTTGTGTGAGATACTTTTTCAGACGTCTGGTTCCTATCACCACCACTGTGAACAATTCTGAGTCTGAAAGTTTCTCTAGAACAAAGCATTTCACATCAGACCTCTCTGAATGACTTTGTTTACGTCTCAGTTATTGAGTTCTGTGCAAATTCTGAAGGTTGGAATTTCCCTTTAAAGTTCCCAGCAAAGTTCCCAATAACTCTTTTAACAGCATTGCAATGTTCAGCTGGCTGATATTATCAGTATCTTTATTTCATTCTATTCTGTTGGTTGGTATTCTCGGTTGTTCCACAAGGGTTCTTTAGTAAATGGAATGGTTCTGTTTAAAAGCATGGGTTCTATATAGAGCTATGGGGAATGTGTGGTATATGGTTCTACATATAACCTTTCAGAAAATGATTCTATATAGCACCAAAAACGGTTCTACTATTGTTACAAGCTTGACATTGTACACTCTTAAATATGATCGTTCTTCAAGGGTTCTTTAATAAAGAGAATGGTTCTATATAGAGCCAAGAATACTCAAAGAACCCTCTGCATGATTTAAAGAGTTTTTGCATCATTAAATAGTTCTTCTAATTGATGGAGAATGTGCTGGTTCTATATAGAACCTTTTTGAAAAGGGTACTATGTAGCACCAAAAACAGTTCTTGTATTGTTACGATGTCAATCTTGTAACAATACAAAAATGCTTTTTGGTGCCATACAGAACCCTTTTCAAAAGAACCCTTTCACGATGCAAAGAACCCTTTAATCATGCAAAGGGTTCTTTGAATATTCATATCTTTATCGTATTCTTTACTAAAAAAACCTTTGAAGACCATTTTTTGTGTATACAAAAGCAGAACGCTTTTTGGTGCCCTATAGAACGCTTTTCAAATAAGGTTCTATATGGAACCATCCACAGCACATTCTCCATCAATCTGAAGAACCATTTCACGTAGCAAATAACCCTTTAATCATGCAATGGGTTCTTTAAGTGTTCATGGTTCTGTATAGAACCATTTTCTTTACTAAAGAACCCTTGAAGACCCATCATTTTTTAAGTGTGTAAACAATAGCAGAACGCTTTTTGGTGTCATATGGAACCATTTTAGAAAAGGTTCTATATAGAACCATATACAACATTCTCCATCAACCGGAAGAACCATTTCACCATGCAGAGAACCATTTAAACATGAAATGGTTCTAAACAGAACCATTCTTTTCACTAAAGAACCAGAGAGTGGATCTGTACAGTTTTGCTGCTCCATTAAAAGCAGATTTCAGCAGATCTTCACTTCACCAAGCAGTGTTTTGTTCCACAGTGTTGTCCACTCACCCGCTTGAAATCGGCCAGGAATGTGATCAGAGCTCCATCGGCCTGTTTGAACTCCAGAGTGATGATGTCCCTCTCACTGTCCGCCTCTAAGACCTCCTGAGTGATCTGACCACCGCTTAAGCGCACCAGAACCTTCAGCTCTGAAGCAGCGGCGCTCATCCACAACAACAGAGCCACAACGACGAGGGAAACTCGGAGCGAGGCTGCTGAAATCTCCCTCGGGCACATTACAAAAAGAGGACAGACCCGCTCAGGAAATTCGCTCCCAGCTCATTTAACACAGCAGTGGGACATTTCTCCTCTATCGCCCCTGAATCTGCTGAGGAGTTAAAGCCGACAGTACAGACTCTCAATCTCAGACACCGCGTTCAGACAACAGGCGCCGCTGCCCCGAACCAGCCCTCACTTATTTCTCCCCTTCACTCATCCTCAGCCCTCTCAGCTCCACAGCGGCCCGAACGCGAGAACTTTCTCTCCGGATTCCGGGTCGGCGGTGAAGTCTTGCGGTTTGATAGAGATTTTTATCGTGTTTTTCGTTCCATTTCCGTCTGTCTTTTTTCGCCCCCTCCGGCCGCGGAGCTTCAACTTTTCTCCAAAACTCCCCCCCGTCACTTCCTTCCAACTTCAGCAGCTCCAGCGAGTTGTTTGTTTTTATTCCCACCCGTTTTCGGACAAGCCCCGCCCCCTCGCTAAGATTCGGTAGTAGAAGGGGTGTAAAGAGTAACGAGGAGCTATCATTAAAGGGGAACTCCACTTTCCAAAGCGTTTGCATAATGAAAGCATTATCATTAAACAGTGCCATTCACCTCATTCTTTAGAAAAAAGTTGCTATCCTTCAACAAACAACTTCTTTTTTGAACTATTTTCTTGAGAATAATTCTGAGAACAACTGTTATTCTTGAAAACGTCATGTTCTGAAGTGTTTTCTTGACCTTGTGAGAGCCTCACACTTGTCTCAGGCTGTAATGTTTGACAAGGTGAGCATCTAAATTTATCATGGATGCTTCCTCTGCTGATGCTGCCCATCCTTGTCTCTTGCCTTCCGCTGTCACCCACAATTATCATAATTCCCAAGGAGGATTTTTTTTCCTGTTGGCTGTTTTTCCCACCATCACCTCTAGTTCTTGTTTGTTAATTTTTTTAAAAACTTTTAGTTTGATGTATTTCCTCTGAGAGGACAGACAGATATAAAAGTTAATACAAGTTAAAACTGTATCCCGCAGCGTTTATGGTAAGCTGTAAAATGCACCACAGCCTACATAAGAAAACAATGAAGATTCTGAAGAAAATCTTACGGAACTAATTAAGACCATCTTAAGAAAATATTTGAGAACTTCTTAATTTTCTTTGAGAATGGCATTAAAGAACATTCTTACAAACTTATAAATGTCTTACGAACATTCACAAGTTTTTTCTAAAAAAGGCTTTCATGAATCCGGCCCCGGACGTCTTGCATTTGAAGTCAACCTGAAATCAAAATTGGTCTTTTTTTTAAACCCATTCAGTTCATGTCCCCAGTCATATTAAGCATGATTGACTGGGTGGAGAAAATGACCAGTGGGCAGAGAAAAATATTATCCAATAATATCAGGTTTCACCTCGCCCAACTGTCATAGACAGTCTCTGCTAGCTCAGAGACCCCCCTGTAGCTGTGTCTGAAACAGTGCCCTGTTCACCATATACTGCACTATTTTGGGGTTTCACCATTTTGTCCAGTGCACTCAAACAATCCCACAGTGCACCACAATAAGTACTGTACAATGGACATACCCTAGCACATACAGGATACTCATCATGCACTGCTTGATTTGGTTTGATTTGCACACAACTTCTCTATGGAGGATTACAGAGCTCAGCTACAGTAGCAACATCTATAAAGTCCTCTCTTCAAACCTGTCACAGATGTAAAGAGGCACCTCTTATGTGTGCGGTCAATATATTATACTGGAGGCTTTTGGGGGTGTTGGGGCGGTGGTCGTGGGTTGGACAGTTTGGGGGAAATGGTCCACAACATTAGATTTTTTTAAAGGAATATAGCTATTTAAAAATGTCTGTATACACAGCCACTGAAATTTCATCTCAAGTATTACTAAAAAAAGTCTGATCTTTTTTTTCACATCAACATTACATATATTAATTTTAAAAAGAACCATTTATCATTAAAATAATTTTAATACATTTTAATATATCAAATATAATTTAACATTTAATACAAACACAATGGGATAAACTAATATTCTGTCACAGTGACTAGATAAAGTGTGGCGACCCTTAAACCTTTAAAGAAGCAGAAGCAGACTGAAAGCTGTTAAGTTCTGCTTTTGTTCAGCATTGATAATTTGTTGTTAGCTCTCTGTTGATCTAGTCAGTCTGCTCTAATGAGGACAGTATATAGTCCAATTACAGAGAATCTAGAGTATGGACCAGTTAAAAGAGTTAAACAAGCACAATAACTATAACAGTTATCCAACATAGCAAAATTATAAGGTGTAAATGCTAGAAATCACATATTAAAATTATGTTGGTTGTTGATGCTCCGGCTTGCAAAGCAAGAAATACATGTTTTTATTTCTATTTTGTTATGAGCTCCAATTTTTTGTGCTTTGGTCGAATATTGCAGTTTATTTCCTACTGCAGTCTTTGAACTATGCTTAGCAAACCCCTCAGTTAATACATTGTTATATTCTACATTTATGAAGTGCCTAATATGACAAACACATGCAAGGAAACGTGAGGAGGAATGAACATTTTTTTGCAAAAAGGTTGAGGGTCCACGTGAGAGAGAACGTTAAAAGTTTGTCCGCCAGAAAGTTTGTCTTCTCAAATTTGTCCTGCCCATCCAAAATGGGAGTCCTGTTGTTTCTGTTGGCTGTAGCTCTGTCAAATTCTTCACCTGGCTGTACTTAATATGTGTGAATTTTAAAGCTAACAGCTACACAGGAAGTAAGGATAGCCTGTCGTTAGCACTGCTCACTGTTTGGTTTGTAAGTAAGAGAGAACTGCGTTCATTCTGCAGCATAAACTGTGCCGTCATGAACGTTGCTCGTTATTGTTTAGTTTACTGACCAAGTTGATCATTTACCTTTTCATTTTCCTTCAGTTCTCTCACCTGTTTATCATATGTTTGGAGAATACTGACCTGCACAACTCTGTGTGCTGTTTTTTCATCCTTGCTCCTCCCATGGACTCTTATTCATTTTCAACGACATCTAGCGACTACTTGCAACCCCCTAACAGCCACTCAGTAAACACCCTATACACCATAGCAACCTAATAGCAATATGCTATACCGTACATTGTAGCAACCACCTGGGATACCATAGCAACTGATTAGCAAAACCCTAGCAACCACCTGGGATACCCTAGAAACCACCTAGGAACACCCTGGCAACCACTTGGGATACCATAGCAACTGCCTAGCAACCACATAGCAACATCTTAGCAACCTCCTAACACCACCATAGCAAGCACCCAGAGTACCACAGCACCCACCTAGCAACCATGTAAAATACCATAGCAACCACCTGACAATGCCCTAGCAACCGTTTTCGAACTGCTTAAGATGCACAGTCACTCTTTTTCCTTTAGGAAATGCACTTTCCTAGTTTAAGTAAACCGCCGTTGCCGGTCCAGAGTGTTTTTAATCAGTGAAAGCTAAACAGTAGTAGGAAACTTCATGAGCGTTCAGATTCATCGGTTGGTCGTTTTGTAAAAATGCATGAGAAATGTCAAATGGGGACTGAGAGCGTGAGATTAGACCGAATTGCTTGAGTCTCACAGTCAGTACGTGGCGTGTTGGTAGCACTGTATTATGTAATATAATAAGGTATGATAACTAGTATATAACACATAAGCTATGATTGACTAGTATTTTATACTCAACAAACAAAAGATTGGTATTTTATGTTCACATGTATGAGTACGAGATGGCCAATCTCGGTGGAGGGGCGGAGTTTGTCTGAATATGGTATGGGTGGGAAAAATGCAGAGCTTCAGGTTCCCAGCTTTGCATGGGGCCCAACTTTTATAGCTACAGCAGCAGCTTAAAATACTTACTGCAGCATTTTCACCTACAAAGCGCAGGCCAAGAGTAGTTTTTCCGTAAGTCAGTGAGTGATCTTTCATATGGAAGATGAATTACTCTTAGTTTCATCACAATCAACTAATCATGTAAATACATACAAAAATGGTTGAATGAGCTGACAAATGCATTCATGAAATTCAAGTGGCTTTATTACAGCTTCATGACAATCAGTCAATCAAACAATCGAGTACATAAATGTATGGAGTTAATAAGTAATTCATTTGTCTTGAAGAGCAGGACGCTTGGATATAAATGCATCTAGGCTTTCATTTCGCCAGTAGCACAATGTCCTTGGAGCTACAGCCAGCCAGTTTTTTGGCTCTGGGAAAAACGAAGCCCCTCTACTAGTCTTTGTGCAAATGATTTACAGTGTTTACGGTTGTCAGGGGAAAGTCAGGTTGTTAAATGTAGTGTCTGTGGGCTGGTATTCAATTCTTTTGCTGGAACTGGTGGAAAACTGGTCTAAGAAAGTCAAGAAAATGTCAGAATGACTAGACTGTCACAAAGATTGTAGATTTACAACACACATGTCATTCTGTATAATCTATCACTGTACTACACCTTCTCAGTCTTTAGGTATCAGTACTGTTTGCCCGTACAGTCATTTTGACAGGCAGGGGCTCAACAGATAAATGAGTGATTTCAATGTGAATTTAATTAAATTTATTATGCTACACTGCGCAAAAGTCAAAGACCACCCTCATTTATGTAATTTATTCTTCTGAATCCCCTGAGATAATTAGATATAAGATAAAACACTTGCACAAAGAAGGAAAAAGGCAAAGAGGAACAGGTGAGACAGGTTTTTTTTTTCCAATACTAGAGTTCCAAAAATTAAAGCTACAGAGAAAATGTGACTCTTAACAACTGTGCAAGACCTGGCAGACCACCAAAACTGTCCCCATCAGATAAACAGCACTTAAAGCTTTCGTCTTTGAGAGAGAGGAAGAAGTCAAGCTCTAGTGTTTCTTCAGATCTGAAAAAATCCACAGGTGTTTCTGTCCATCCTTCCACTGTGAGAAGACAACTCAACACTATGAGTCTGAAAAGATTTGTCGCTGTCAAGAAGCCTGCACTGACCACCCCGGAGTCCAGACCTCATGATCACTGGATGTGTTTGGGATTACTTGAATCGTGAGAAGCAGAAAGTGCAACCAACTTCTAAGACTGAACTTTGGAGGTGTGAAAAAATATCCCTGCAGATTTCTTCGAAAAGAACTGAAGCCCAATCTCCAGCACACACAACTACAATTGAGTCTCAGAATCCTTTTTTTAAAAATAATTAAAAACCTAACAGATTATCAGCGCCCCTTACTACCAACATTATGTTTGGTAATTGGTTAAAACTGCCACGTTAGAATGTGACCTTTTTTTCAGAAGCATTATCAGTGCTTTATCAGTGAGACAATGTTGTGCATCCATAACAGGTTGAAGTTACTGAAGTGAACTCTCCACAGGTGCCAGAGGAGGCGCCATAGAGCAATGGCGCTCATGGATCCCAAGCCGACCCACAACTTCTGTTCATGAGGAGAGGATGAGCCAATTGTGTCTCACCAAAACAGATC